GTATGTTTGTGAATGAATAATGAAAAAAAATCGATTGAAGACGCTATTTATATATGGCTGCCAAATTGCGGTTCTAACCGCATAGTGCCTTAAAATTAATTATTAAATGATATGTATAAAAATTCTTTAGATTAATTTTTTCAATAAATGATATATATGAAATTTCTTTAGATTAATTATTTTTTTTAATAAATGCTTAATAGAAGCTTTATGAATTTAACAACGTATAAAACACTTTGTCATTCGACTATTTATTAATTAAAACTTAAAAAAGCAACAGAAAATAGATGGTCGAATATGTATAAAGAACAAAAATAAATACAAAACAATTCAAAACTGACAGAAACAGATATTTATTAAACTATTATTCTTTCAATAAATTATATATAATTGTATAAAGCATAATTGCAAGGTTAACAATTGCCATTTCTTATTCATTAATCTTGCATTGTATGAATTGTCATCAGGTAATTTGTTAGCATTCTAGCTTTACGTTTCAAAAAACAAAATATAATAAATAAATAAATTAATTAATAAAAGACTGTCTTTGCTAAGCAACAGCTTATATTAAGGGCTTTATTAAATTATTTTGTTTACAATATTTAACCTCCTGGAATTATATTAATTTTTTTTCATATAACTTTTTATTAATATTTAATTTTAACGGTATACAATGTTTAAAAAACCAAATGATGACGAAGGTGGTGGTGAAGATGGTAATGGTGAAGATGAAAATGAAGATGGTATTAATGCTGATGCTGCTGCTGCTAATGATGATGATGATGATGCTACTAATGATGATGACGATGATGATGATGACGATGATGATGATGACGATGATGATGATGATGATGATGATGATGATGATGATGATGATGATGATCGTAATTTTACATTGCTTATTTTGGTAATATTAATTACTTGCAAAAAAAAAAAAAAAAAAAAAAAAAAAAAGGAAGAATCGAATTTAGCCAGTTAAATTAATTAAACTGTAGAAATTTCGGTATTTAAAAATTATCGTGCAAAAAATTTACCAAAAATTGTGGAATGTAATGTACAAAATAAACAAAAAGAACTTTAAACGTTAATATCTCTATGAATTCTTGACCAAATCTAACAAAAAAAATAGTTTTAAAATGAGGAAATTGAGCACTTTCGAATGGTGTAAAAATATTTATAAAAAGTTCATTTTCCAAAAAGTTGTGGTAAAAGTAGTACTTTCACATGGGGAATTTTTGTACTTCTACCAAGGGGAATGTATGGTGATATTTGCAATTATTTGCAGTGACTAATTATTAATTGTTGAAACAGGAATAAAAAGTCAAGCCCGACAATAGCAACTAAGCTCGTTTAGCTCAGTTGGTTAGAGCGTGGTGCTAATAACGCCAAGGTCACAGGTTCGACCCCTGTAATGAGCATATATTTTTATATTTTTTTACTTCATTATGCTATTGATTAGCTGGATCCTTTTTTTTTTTTTTTATTGAGTATACTAATGTAGCTTCCTTTATATTTTGTTAATACTTTCTATTTTTTTTTTCAAGTTTTTTATATTGAGGTAATTGTGGATTCAATTAATTATAGAATAAATGCTAATGATAATTAGACAGACTATATACTGGTTCTTTTATTAAGAAGTAAGGGAAACTGTTTTACATTATATAGTATATTTTTACGATATACATATATAATTAGGAGGGAATAGTAATAGTATTATTTACAATTTTAAATTGTTATTACTGTTGTATGAAATAATAACTTTAAGGACTATTATGATTTATGTCATTAATATTAAATAAATCAAGAACTTTGCTCTTCTTTTATATTGAAATATGAAATTATAAAATTATCATTGTTAATTTAAAATATTACATAACATGTATCATGTACCTTTCATAATGTTAACATAATTGTTTAAAGTAAGAAAGGCATTATTTAATTTAGTAAATTATTAATACTGAATAATTGATAATGAAGAAACATATTTGTATAATGAAAGAATAATAATAATAATAATAATAATAATAATAATAAAAGGATATCAACAATAAATTTAAGTTTCAAAAGTACATTTTGACAGAGCATTTAATAAATAATGTCAAGTATTAAGATTTATGATAAAAAAAAATTCGAACTATATTATAAGATGATTTTTGGTTGCATCACATAATAATAATAATAAAGATTTTAAATAGGATACGGTTTATTATTACAAATAACGAGAAAGAAATAATTTAATCTATAAGGGGAAGAAGAAAGAGAAAGATAGTTTAGATATTATTATTATATAATGCACAATTTAAGCGGAAACACAATGTAGTGCTTTTTGTTTAAGGATACGACGTTGAATCTTTCCAGAAGCTGTTCGAGGAAAGGAATCAACGATAACAACACCACCACGCAAACGCTTTTCATCTGATAGACGTTCATCCGCATATGTCTGAAGTTCTTGAACAATCCCTTCTGTGTGTCGCTCATCATTAACCAAATTAACATAAGCACGTGGTAATTCGGTTGCAAATTCCGGGTAATAGATACCAATTACAGCACAATCAGATACCTTGGGATGTGTCATCAAAACGTTTTCAATGTCACTTGGATAGATATGATGAAGGTGATATTTAATAAGATCCTTGGATCGATCAATGTAGTAAAACAATTCATTTTCATCACACTTGACCAGGTCGCCAGTGTGCAAATAGCCTTCTGCATCAAAGTTCTTCGCTGTCGCTTCTGGATTTCGGTAGTAACCCTTAGTAACAGTGGGGCCCCTGATCAAGAGTTCACCCATTTGTCCATCAGGGACATCGTGACCATTTTCATCAACGATACGTGCTGTAATACCTGGAGCCAAATAACCAATACTGTTGGCTTCAGTAAGTGCTGGTGTCGAATCAAAGGCACCAAGGACCTCCGTCATTCCATAGGTGTTGATCACAAGAAGACCAGTACGCTTCTTAACATGGAGTGTCACAGAATTATCAAGTGCAGCACCGCAACAGATAACAGATTTGAGACTTGAAATATCATAGTTAGTGATCATACTCTCCTTGGCCAAAGCAGAGATAACATAAGGTTGAGTCACGGTGATGTTGATCTTGAATCTCTCAATTACCTCACAAAGTCTGCACATACTAAAATGGGACATGACATAATTTGTAACTCCAAAATAGATTGCAAAATGCATCGTGACAGCAAGCGAGCTTCCATGGTGGAATTCAGTATAAGCAAGAACATTAGCATTCGTAAAGGGCCAATCAGATTTAAATTTCATACTAGAGATTATATTTCGTTGAGTAATCATGACTGCCTTCTTTTCACCTGTTGTACCAGAAGTAAAATAAAGATAGGCAGGATCATTCATGATCTCTTCAGGTGTATATGGATATGGTTCCGCTAATTCATCGTCAGTGCCTAAAATAATTTCATTTACTGCCCGTACATCTCCTACCGGAATACCACCAAATACTAAAATGTTAGATTCTGAAAGACCACAAGACCTTGCAGCTGCAAGTACTTGATCTAATGTTTCTCTATGTGCAATTATAATTTTAGCTTGAATAGTATTCAGATCTGTTGCAATTTTATCAAAGGAAGAGGCCTGATCGATAGCAGCTGCAACACCACCTACGGGATATTATAGAATGCCCTGTTAACTATTTTTTTTTTTTTTTTTTTTTTTTTTTTTTTTTTTGTGCTTGTATAAAATATTTACCAGCACAGACAGCACCATGAATAATAATAGGATATTCAATTTGGTTTGGAGAACAAATAGCAACAACATCGCCTTTTTTTAAATTAAATTCTCGCTTAAGGCTAGCAGCAGTCTTTAAAATTTGTGTATGAACTTGCTCAAATGTTAAAGATTTACTAGGATCTTCAATATCAACGTAAATAAGTTTATCTTCAGGTACATTGTTATGATTGTCTTTAAATAAAACATCATATACTGAAATATTAGTGGGGTAATCTTTAACGGGAAGCTTTGAAGTATAAACCATTATGGGAGTGGTGAAAAAAACAAAGAAAAAAAAAAAGAAAGAGAAATAAAACAAATCACAATTTTCTTTTTATGTCTTTTTAGCACAAGGTTTCTTCCACAGCTAATAAAGGACTTTCTTCAGCGGAAAAATAATTATGCCTCATTACAGCATTTTCTGCATCTTTTTTTTTTTTTTTTTTTTTTTTTTTTTTTTTTTTTTCAAATTAATATATAATTTGTCATACCGTAATAATCAGAAAGTAAAGTTGATAATAGAAAGATACAAATGGAGTAATTAGAGTAATATCATGTAGTTATGCCAATAAGACTATGTTAACACACTCAACTATAAAATAGTTAGACGTAATACAAATGATTATCCAGGGATATTATATTAAGCCATTAAAGTTATTCTCTCTCTCTCTACATACATATTTTACAAACCATTAAAGGCTTGCAATCAATCTATGTACATAATAACTTCTGATCCCTTGAATAAAAACGTTTGTAGAGAATTCTTATCAAAACCCTTTTTTTTTTAAATACACCTGAAATAAAAAATATTAATCCTTGAGTTTCATTTGATTGAATTTAGTAACTTAAGATGCTAGTCAATGAGCTTTGTGCACCTTTAAAAGTTTTTTAGGAAAAAAAAAAGGAGGCTGGTATTATAAAAATAATAATTATTATGTTTGAAGACATTTAACAACAATAAATTAATCACTCTACTATATTATTACATAACAATATCAAATAGTGGTGATAATCCATTGTCATTATTATTCTATCACTAATTCTTGAGGTTCGTTATTTTATTAAATGAATCTATAGTATTTACTCTTGGAAAAAAAAACATTAGTATATCATATGTACATAAAGTTGCTGTATCAACTAAAGGAGTAATATCATTTATTGCATAAATACGCATATAAAAGAGAGAGAAAAAAAGAAGGGTTTATTTAATATATTTTTTTTTATTCTTTTCTTTTCTTTTCTTTTCTTTTTTTTTTTTTTAAAAAAAATGATATTTGAATCAAGTTTATCTAACAAAGCTATTCCTCATATTAGTACCTATAGCCTTTTATTTGAAAATAATCTTGGCTATGAACGAAGCCGTGTCTGTTACACTAACGCAGAAGAACAGAATGAGACTTTAACCTTTGGTGAAATTCATGATATAACTTTAAAATTTGGTGCAGGATTAAAACGTTTGATTCCTGATTTTCAACAAGGAGACGTTGTTGCGTTTATTACAAAAACCGAAGTAAGTCTTTTCTCTTTCCTTTTAAATAGAAAAAAAAAAAACCCCTCAATTTACAATAATAATCATATACTTTCACATCATTATAGTTAACTTATCTTGCAGCTGTTCATGGCCCAGTTGCTATAGGTAACTTTCTTATACAATATTATTATTATTATTATTATTGCTTAGAAATGTTAACATATATACTATAAGGCGGTGTTTCGGCGTCTATTGATGCTACATTTGATGTAAATAAAATGATACATTGTTTACAACTCATAAATCCAAGAGTATTAATTGTAAGCCCTGATACCATTGAAAAAGCTTTAGAAGCTACTTCTTTAATGAATATGCCCAAGGAAAAAATATTTGTGTTTGGTGATCAAGATATAAATGATTGTAGATCCTTTAATAAAGCGTTTCTTGATCATGATCAATTCGCAACTCCCATTGTCTATACACCCGAGGAACTCAGTCGTGTTCCATGCTTTTATTGTTTTACTTCAGGTACTACTGGCAAACCAAAAGCAGTGATCATAACGTAAGATTGTCCTTCCCTTTGCTTTCCACTCCCCCCCTCTCCTCTCCCCCTTTATATAAATACATAAATGTGTACATATATTTATATATACAGATATTAATAATTTATAATAGCCACAGGATGATTGTAGCTACTACACTTGGAATGGAATTAAACGATCTTACTTCTTCCACCCACTTTTTATCTATGAGTGCTCCTCATCATGTATCTATCATTTATGTCCTTATGCATATGCATCTTTATTTTGGCTTTCATACTTATGTGCTTAAACAGGAGGAGACAACTGAAAAGATATTCAAAACGATCCAAGATTGTAACATTCATATCTTGTTTGTTCCACCACGAATTATAGCTACTATGGCAAAAGAGTCAACTCTCTATAATATTTCTTCACTTAAGGTTATTACATGTGGTGGAAGTGTGATGAATAAAGATGTAGCCTTAATGATTTATCAACGATTTAAAATTCCTGTTGTTAACTTTTATGGTATGACGGAAGTTATGGGACCCTTTAAAAATGGCTTTGATTATACGATAGCCGGTAATAAATATGTATATGTCTATGAATATATATAGAATTATTATTATTTATACTATATTATATAGGTCAAATAGGTGTTCTTAAACCAGGTTTCTCATGTAAATTAATTGATAAAGAAGGAAAAAGTACAGTCATAAATAAATAGTTATAAAGAAAAATATATGTGTATATATTTATATTATGTATATTTTTTTTAGTGGTTGGATTTGATACTCCTGGAGAACTTTGTATTAAAGGACCCTCACTTACACAAGTAAAGTTATTTATCCTTTTTTTTTTTTTTTTTTTGCTTGCTTGTTTAACATAGTGAATGACTTTCTTTAGGGATATTATAATAATCAAGAAATATTTAATCAATTGATCCATAAAGATGGTTTCTTTCAGACAGGTGATCTCTTTCAATGCAGTCAAGATGGAATATTTTCTTTTATTAATCGTGCAACTGATATTATTAAATATAAATCAAATTTTGTAAGTTTATCTATCTATTTCTTCTTCTTCTTTTACTAATAATAGTTTATTATCGAAGATCAATCCTCAAGATATTGAAAATGTTTTGGTAAAGAGAAAGAGAAAAAGGAGGGATGGAAGGGGTACTCATTTTATTCATATATAATTAGATGAAACATCCCTTAGTGATTGACTGTGCTGTAGTCTCTTCATTCTCTGAAGAAGAAACAGTCTATGTCCCTCGTGCTTTTGCTTTACTTTTAAACAATGACAATCATACAGAGGTTAAAAAAGAGATGCTTGAAATGGTGAAAATCCAACTTCCTGATGTTATGCAGCTTCGAGGAGGCTTATATATAGCAAAAACTTTACCAAGAACATCAACAGGCAAAGTAGAACGTAGAGTATTACGTTTAACTACCATTGAAAACTGGATCCTTAATTGAAGTTTTATATATATGTGTATACATATAAAAAAAAAAAGGGGAATAATATATTTGTAGCCAAAAAAAAAAGAAAAGAAAAAAAAAAAAGAGGGGGAAATCATGTTATTACATTATTCTTCATTGTCAGAAGGATAACCATCGTCAACTAATAGATTTTAAATTAGCTGATATTCTTGTAATGCATTTAGTGTAGTTTACTTACTTTTTCGTCTATATAAAGTAATTTCTTGTTGTTTAAAGTAGCGACGATTTTCTTCATCAATGAGTACTAAATTTAAGTAATATCTAGTAGAGAATTTCTTATTGATGTCTATAAGCAGAAATAGAATGTTTAATTGTACTAGTAATTGATATTTAAGGAATTTGTAACAAACCTCTAAATGTGGGCGTTAATTCAAAACCACCAAGGAATAGACGAATAGGAATTGTTTCACCTGAATAAATGCAAAAGACATTATATATAAAGCCTTTTTTTTTTCTTTTTCTTTTTCCTACCTCTAACAGGCGCACCATCCATAATTTCAAACTTGGTAATTGTCTCACTTTCATTATATACATTTGGCACTTTTTTGAATATAATTAGCCTCTTCCCTTTCTTTCTTTCTTTTTTCTTATTATAAACTTACATGCGCCTGTCGTTTCACGTCTAATAATAGATAATTCCATAGTTTTAATCTTGATACGAACTAATAAAAAGTAAATCTTTCCAACAATGACATCTTTTAAATGGTATCTTGATTTGATTACAAGTAAATACATGTCTTACTTTCCAAATAAAAATAAAAAAAACACTTACTTTGATTTATTGTATTCAAACTCAATATGAAGACAGTCTTCAATACCAACTTCCATTTTAATAGAATTATTGACTTCAACTGGCATTTTGTATGAATGAACCCACATATCCCTTTCACGAACAACATCTGCTAAACGACGGGCAATTGTGACACGAATAAAATATCTAATGAATGAAATAGAATATTAACCCTACAAGTGTACATTATTCAACTTTTACTTTCTTTTTGCACTTGCCTTAGTTTCACATTAATACCATTATAACATTCATATTGTTTCTCAACATTTTTAAATTCAAACTCGAAAGCAGTATTTTGACGTAATTCACCAGGAGCAGCAAGCTCTTGTGAAAGTGCTAAGAATTCGTGTGATTTTCCTTTATCATAATACAGGTCTATCATTTTTGAAAAAAAAACTTAATATAAATCTTTATATTCATTCTAATATCCAATTTTACCTATGCTACCAACAAACTCAACTTTAATACCGTTATGTTCTAATTTTCTTCCTTCTTTTAAACCAATGCTAACCTAAAACTCTATGGTTAGTAATCCATCTCCTCTCTCTTTCTCTCTTTTTTAATCATCGTCGTCGTCATCATCATTATCAATATCAATGTCTAACCTTGCCACTAACAGTTTCACCATCAAGAAAAACAGGAAATGTTTCTTTTTTGTCTTTATCAACTTTAACTTCCACATGTTTTCTTTGTTCTTCATTTGTAAAGGAGACCTCAATATCTACAGGTGTAGATAACCCAAAAAGACTCTATATATATTTATATACATAGAAAAAAAAATTAGTTTTGTGAAATATAAATTTTTCTTAAGAAAAAAAAAGGGGTAATGGAATTAAGAGGGTGCATAGAAGGAAAAAGAAATTTCAAATGGTCCTTACTGCCATCGACATTTTCTCGAAATTGATAATAATAGAAAAGAATAAAAAAAAAAAAAAAAAAGGGAAAACTCTCCATTCAAACATACACACGCTACTACTTACTTTTTGTTATTAACTCCGCATACAATAATGCCTCTCTTTTGATGTCGTCACGACGAGTATTTTTTTTTTTCTATATTAAAAAAAAAAAAAGAGAGAGGGAGAACAATGCATAAAATTCATGATAAATGATGACATTTGACAGTATCATACACACATATAGATTGTAAAGAACATATTCTTCCTTTAGAAGCAAATATAACACATATATACATATCAGAGTAGATAAAGATGAATACTGTTTACTTGAATGAATAGACTATACTAATGACTAATAATAAAACAATAGACAAAGTGTATTCGTTTTATATGGATTTATTATACTAGGAACAAATATAATATACACATATTTATATTTATATAAAAAGGCAAAATAGTCTAGCTCGTCTTTTCATTCCCCACTCTCCCTCTCACTATTATCAAACGGACATTTAACAACAAAATCGAGCAGCAACAATATAGCAAGTATTTTTTTTTTTTTTTTTTTTTTTTTTTCACTGTCAAAATCCATATTAGTTAAAAAAATTTTTTTTTCCTTCTCCATTTTTTTTTATCAAAATCTAACTCATCATGGAACGCTCATTACCCAATATATTAGTAACTGGTACACCTGGTACTGGTAAAACAACAACAAGTGAAATGATTGCAGAAGCTACTGGTTTAGAACACATTAATGTAGGCGAACTTGTAAAGAAAAAGCAACTGCATGAAGGTTATTTAGAAGAATTTGATACTCACATCTTGGATGAAGACAAAGTATGTTTCATACATTTACCAATTATGATGCATCCAATTAAAGCTTTAAATTATATTAAATTAAATTAAATTAAATTAAATACAGCTTCTTGATGAATTAGAAGATGTTTTAAAGGAAGGTGGAAAAGTAGTTGATTTTCATACTTGTGAGATCTTTCCTGAACGATGGTTTGATTTAGTACTTGTACTTCGTACTGATACCACCAATTTATACGATCGTATGGTGAAAAGGTAAAGAATTCATAAGATACTTTGATAGATGTAAATATGTAAATGATTTTTTTTTTATTAGAGGATACAATAAACGTAAAATTGATGAAAATATGGAATGTGAAATTATGCAGGTTGTGCTAGAAACAGCTCATGAATCTTATGCTCCAGAAATAGTTGTTGAACTTCCAAGTAATACAACGGATGATATGGAAAGTAATGTAGATCGAGTTAAACAATGGTTAGAAGCATGGAAAGCAAATAATAACTGAATAAATGGACTTTTTTTAATTTTTAATCATTTTCAATAAAATAATTATTTACATACAAAAGAAAGCAATTACAACAACAACAGGAACAAAGGGAATTATTTATATGTGCGTAGTAAAACCATATATATTTGTTGTGCATAGTGAAGGAGAGAGAGGGAGGGAGGGAGGAGGAGGAAGAGGAGGATGGGGAGGGAAATCTCGGTGAATACTATTTATATAAGGGGATAACTTTTCTTATTTCTTGTTTTGAGCAGCAATATGTGGATGAACCATAAAGTTATCTAAAGGTTTGCCCGCAGGAACCATTGGGAATAAAACTTCATTTTTACAAACAACAGCATCCATCAAGACAGGACCCTCATAGGCCAAGAATTCTTTCATCTTTTCTTCTAACTCGGATGCCTTTGAAACACGAATAGCCTTAATACCCATCGCTTCTGCAAGTTTGACAAAGTCAGGATTCTTCATGACCGTACTTGAATAACGGTTATTATAAAACAAATCTTGCCATTGTTTCACCATACCTTGGAATGAGTTGTTTAACAACATGACTTTAACCCCAATATTGAATTCAGCTGCCGTCGCTAATTCCATAGCTGTCATAGAAAAGGAGGCATCACCATCAATGTCAACCACGATATGATCTGGTTTCGCTACTTTTGCACCTAATGCGGCAGGTAGACCATAGCCCATTGTACCTAATCCACCTGAGGTAATAAATGAGCGAGGCGTCTTCCATCGATAATATTGAGCCGTCCACATTTGATGTTGTCCAACTCCGGTCGTGATCGTGACTTTGTCTTTCACGTCCCTTGTCTGTCGTTCCAGTTCTTCAATCACCTGTTGAGGTTTCAATTTTTCATCATCCTTTGTTGTCCTTTCATAGTAAAATGGATAGGATTGCTTCCAGCTAGCAATTTGATCAAGCCATTCATTTCGTTCTGTTGTGGGTTTAATGTAAGGTATCAATTTCTTGAGGTTCTCAGTCACATCACCTTCAATCGCCTCTGTTGCTTCTACTACCTTATTGATATTCTTTGGCATAATTTCAAAGTGAAGGATCCCGCCACGTCCTTCCTTAGCAGCCTTCATTGCCTCAGGTGCAAACGCTGCCACACTACCCGTCACACGATCATCAAAGCGAGCACCGAGAGCAATGATGAGATCAGCGTGTTGCATCGCTAGATTGGCATAACAGGAACCATGCATTCCCAACATATGTAATGATTTAGGGTCCGTTTCATCATAAGAGCCTAAGCCATGAAGTGTGGTTGTGACGGGGATATTCCCTTGATTTGCAAGTGTCGCTAAGAAGTGAGGACCCTCTGGGTGACTGATGACGCCATTACCAGCATAAATGACAGGTCGTTTCGCGTTATTAATAAGATCAGCAGCACGAGTAATGGAGGGATGAGGCTTTGAACTCGCTTCCTCTGTAAATGCAGCTACAGCCGTATTTGGAATGGTGGTAGGTCGTTGAGGAATGATGGCCGTGGTTGGAATAGGACGTTTGAGGATACCTGCTGTGACATCCTTAGGTAAATCAACAAGAACAGGTCCAGGACGTCCACTTGTAGCGATCGTGAATGCTTCATTAATACGACGAGGAAGTTCAGATATATCTTTTACCATGACATTCCATTTTGTACATGCGCGAGAAATACCCACAACATCAGCTACAAATAAATAAATACATAAATAAATATTATATTATATTATATTATATATATAAAACTAGATCTCACTTTACCTTCTTGAAAAGCATCAGTACCAATGGCAGAAGTAGGTACTTGACCAGTGAAAACAACAAGTGGTACACCATCAGCTAAAGCATCTGCCATTGCCGTTACAACATTAGTTGCACCTGGGCCTGAAGTGACGAGAACTACACCAGGTTTACCACTATTTAAAAAAAAAAAAAGAAGAATCAGACAAACATATATATATATGTATATGTATATATATACTATAAATTATATGATATTTTACGTTGCTTTAGCATAGCCTTCTGCCATATGTCCAGCACCTTGCTCATGTCTTGTAAGAACAAACTCAAAATATTTTGATTCATAAATGGCATCAAAGACAGGAAGAATGGCACCACCAGGATATCCAAAGACATGTTTAACACCATGTCTTAACATCATTTCATGAAAAATTTCACCACCAGACATACCTACAAAGGAATCATCCATTTCAATCGTGGACGCTCGTTTAAGTGGTTGAACTGTCTTTGATAATTTTTCAGTTGATACAACAACAGAGCGATCTGACACGTTACTGAAAAGGAATGTTTATAATTATTATTTATATATATATATAAACAAAACATAAAGGAACTTACGGTGAAGCAATAGCAGCACTCTTTATTTTATGTGTTGTATGAAGACTAGCATAACTAAGAATGGCTCTGTGACGATGATAAAGACCAAAAGTAGTTTTAGAATTAAATAGTTTTCTAGTTGTATTCCTCGCTGCTGTAGATGCCAACATTGTAAAGGTAATAATAATAAGAAGAATAAGAATAAAAAAAAAGTAAAAAGAAATATGAATACGATAAGTTTTATATTTATTTTATTTTATTTTATTTTATTTACTTAATTATTTTTTTTAAAAAAAATAGATCTAATGCATACATAAACATTTTAAAGTAGGACGAATCATCTCATTCAGATGGCGATTTAATAAAAATGAGTCAAACAAAAAAGAATGCAAAATTATTCGTTTATGCCTGCCATTTTTTTTTTTTTTTTTTTTCAATACAATTCTGTTATTTATAAAGAGCTTTGCTGAAATAGAGTCATGGCTCCTTGTGCTTACATTATTGATATTAGAAACAAAGAATAATTTTGTATTAAATAATTGATTATCATCATTTTTCTGTTGTACATGTCATTACTAAACGCTATTATATCGTTTTACATGTGAAATCCAGGCGAAGAGCTGTTATGAGTCAAGCCAATCAAAATCAATGAAATATGCATGTTTTGAAATTACATAAATATATACTTATTTATATATATATAATGTATATCAATAACTATATGAGCCTTATAATTTGATTTAACTTTTATATATATATATATATGCGTATATATTAGATGACATATACATACGTATAAAGCTTTATCATTAGACATAGCTTATCAAATAAATAATATAGATGATCGTTGATTGGCTGATCATCAATATGATGCTTATTTGGTCATTCCACAACAAGTATAATGCGGGGAAAATGAAGCGCCGACTCTATTTATTACTGTTAGTACTTTTATTTTTATATTAATTTGTATAATAATGATCTCCTGCTATGGTGGTGAAGACAATAAAAAAAAAGGGGGCTCATAATAAGTATTAGACAATGGATCTCTTCTTTACTACTAAACACTATTTCATATGTCTGATATATTATGTAAGAGACTTTTTTTTTTTTTTTTTTTTTTTTTTTTTTTTTTTTTTTTTTTTTTTTTCCTCAATTGACATCCATGTTACGAGACAATACATTTAGACTAATATATATGAGTTTAGTTATTAAGGAGGAATGAGCAGATGGAGTGTGTTATTTTTTTTTCTCTATAGCTGATAATCATAGGTATGAATAATAACATTGACTTTAACATGTAACAATGCTCTAGTTAATTTGTATACAAAGAGAGAGATCATAATAAGTATGATTGTAAATAAAATGCGTGTATAATTATGTACAAATAAAAGAAGTCTAAATACTAATTATTGACTATAGAATAACGATTCATGTCTCATAAAGACTTTTTCAAGTTGAAACATGCAACTAAAAAGTACTATCAATGCAAAAAAAAAAAAAATAGATGGATCTGATATTGATTAGAAGGACTATATAACCTTTCTATTTTCATAGTAGCTATTTACATTTTCCTTTTTTTTTAATAGTAGGATTATCTAATAAAAAAAAAGCAAAACACGAACGTGAAAGATAAAGTCTGTTAGCAGAGACGAGACAAGTTGTGCTTCGTTAGTTGGAGTTGCAAGTAGTTGTAAATTATTAGAATAACACATCTTTTTCATTAGTGTGGAATACCTTCAAAAAAGGTTGGATAATTACAGCATTGTCTAACAGTTTCTTGTTGCTGAAACCAGTCAACACATTGCTTAACTAAAGCTTAATGAAGTTTAGTTAGCAACCTTCCTCTATTCAAAACACGATAAGACCAATCACATAGTAGCTTTAAAAATCTTGAATTCTATTCGTAAATACCATCCTAATATGACTCCATCGGCTCTATTTGTGCTATTTCTCCATTGACTTATTATATGTTGTCACTTTGACTTTTACTTTGTTCATCTTTAATGAATTATATCATCTCTTAATTTGATGAAATCTATCATCTATCGCCCCTCCTTTCAATATGATAAATAATAATAATAGATATTTCAATTTCAGGCATCCTATAAAATTAGTATAGAATTCTGTCACTTGTGATCATATCCAATCAAATATAAAGGTCAATGATTGGCTAATATTGACATGAATCATCCCCTTTTTAATCATTTTAAAAGGAAACCTTAATTTCTTCTTCCTTTCTTTTTTATTTCTTTATTTTTTTTATTTTTCTTCTTCTTCCTGTTAAATTGTTTCTATATTTCAAAACATGTCTCCTAGAAAAGTCTCAATTGTTTGTCTTCCTGGCGACGGAATTGGACCTGAGATTGTAGCAGAAGCGGTAAAGGCTTTAAAGGTAGTAGCCAAATACCGATCAGAGGTCTTGAATGTCGAGTTTGATTTTCAATATGAATTGATTGGTTTAGATGCCATGGAAAAGACAGGTGAACCTTTACCTGATTCTAGTCTTGAAGCTTGTAAAAGAGCAGATGCTATTCTTTTAGGTGCCGTTGGTGGTTTACCTGGTGCACATATCAGCCATGGTCCTCGACCTGAACAAGGCCTTTTAAAACTTCGAAAATCCCTTGATCTCTATGCTAATTTACGCCCTGTTTCATTTGCATCTGATCGTCTTACAGGCATTTCTCCTCTCAAGGATCATATCGTTCAAAATACCAATTTTGTCTTTGTACGTGAGTTAGTAGGTGGTATCTATTTTGGTGATCGACAAGAAGCTGATGAAAATGGCAAAGGTATAAATATATATATATATATATATATATGTATATATATAATGTGTTGACTTGCAATCTTTGTTGGTTTTTTATTTAGCTTATGATACACTTCCTTATTCAAAAGAAGAGATTCAACGTGTAACGAGATTAGCAGCTCTTTTAGCGAGAAAACAGTCACCACCTAGTAAAGTACATTCAATTGATAAAGCCAACGTGTTAGCTACTTCACGTCTCTGGCGTAAAACGGTGACAGAGACGATGCAAAGCGAGTTCCTAGATTTAGAATTCGAACATCATTTAGTTGATTCTTGTGCGATGGCTATGGTTCAATGTCCTACAAGTTTGAATGGAGTTGTGTTGACAGAGAATATGTTTGGTGATATCTTATCGGACGAGGCCTCTGTCATTGTGGGTTCCTTAGGACTTTTACCTTCTGCTTCCCTGAGTGGATTACCTGATGGTCAAGGTCGATGTCTTGGTGTCTATGAACCTATTCATGGATCTGCACCTGATATTGCTGGTAAAGGAATTGCTAACCCAATCGCTACCATCTTGAGTGCTGCCATGTTATTAAGATATTCACTTGGATTTGAAACAGAGGCTCAAGCCATTGAAGAAGCCGTTCGTAAAGTTTTAGATTCTGGATTTTATACCCGTGACCTTCATGGTGATAAGTCAACGATTGAAGTAGGTGATAAGGTTGCTGAAGAATTAAGTATTTTATTAAAAGATAAACATTAAAAAAATAAAAAAATAATAATTCTTTTGTACATTATATAATCATCTTCAAATATGTATTATTATTACTATTATTATTCATGATCATCCTGTTAGGTGACATCATTATACTACTTGAAGAAGATGAAGGTGAATAACTCATATTAGTTGTAAATTTATCTTCTATTCTTGACAAATCAGTATTAAAAGACGGCGAAACATGGCTAGCTTGTCCTTCTTCTAATGACGAAAATAGAGTAGGAAAGATCAAATGAGTAGGATGACTCTTTACAATAGGTGTTGGTATAAACCGAGGAAAAATAAATCATTATCGACCATTATTTATTATTATTAATAACAGTGAAAAGTGTTGATATAACATTCTTCTTTTTTTTATATATACATATATACATATAAAGGTGTAACAGAATCAATAGAGTCATAAGTGACTTTGTATCACTTTGCTACTATTATTCTTTATTTAAAATATGGGCTATTTTAGTTAATTCTCTAAATAAGTGATTCTTTGGCAATCCAACCTAAAAAAAAAAAAAAAAAAAATTGAATATTATTTTAACATGAATATGATGTATATTTATTGACTGCTAAATATCCTATTACCACATTCCAATAATCACCATGTATAGATTCAACAAATAATGATGCTTCACCTTGAATACCGTATCCACCTGCTTTATCAAATGGTTCCCCTGAATCAATATCTATAAAACCAAAATTGTTAAAGACGAAAATTTATACTCTTTCTTTCCCTCTTACAAGAATTAATAATGTCTGAATCAAGTTTTGAGAATGTAACTTCAGTCCTTTCAACAAATCCAGTCCTTTCAACCTTGTTTTTATATTTATAAAATAGTTGAACGCCTGTCAAGACATGATGTGTTTTCCCATTTAATAAATCAAGCATATAAAGTGCATGTTCTTTATCTCTAGGCTTTTCTAATACAATATCAGTTTCTGCTGCTGCTGCTGCTACTACAATCGTATCTGCACCAATCACAATATCTGCATTAGGAAGTTGAGGATCTTCCTAACAAGAAAATATATCATTAGATATGCTTGTACGTGCTTGTGTATATGTGTATATGTGTATATGTGTATATGTGTATATATATTCTTGCTCTCTTTTTTTTTTTACCTGACATCTGTCAAAGACTTCTTTTGCTTTCATATATGCTGTATCTGCTACATATTCTGATCGTGTTTCATATGCTGTTGGATCATTTTCATCTGGTTTTAATGTTGTCACTACAGAGAATTTTAAACCCTATTATAACTTGTTAACAACAACAACACCGGGTAGGGACGAATTATCATTATTCATATTTCACCATATCTGTCAATATTTCACGTCTTCTAGGTGAGGCAGAGGCAAGTACAATTGTTTTATTACATAACGTTTCAAGAATAGGTAAAGGCATACTATTTAGTTTAATAAAAAAAAAAATAAGAATGAACTGAATCAATTCATTTCATGAGAAAAAAAAAAAAAAAAAAAAGGTAGCGGAGTTCACCGCTTCAAAAAAAAAAGGACGTCATCCAGATATGACTTTCAGTAGCAGCAGTAGCAGCAACAGCAGCAGCAGCAAGTCCTTAAATTCCCTTGATTATACCAAACATTATTGTTATTTTACCCCGCTTTTTTAATATTTTCTCTCATCTCTAATCAGTTATAATGGTAACTAAGAAAAAAAAAAAAAAAAAAAGAAAAAGAAAAACGAGTTTCTTCACATCATCATTGAAAATAATAAAAATAAAAATGATCGACTGATTTTAATTACTTGAATTTAAACTAGCCTGTTCCTTTTGAAGCACTTATTCCTTTTGCTATTATTACTGGTATGTTTACTGTCACTGCAACAGGCTTAAGTATCACCAGATACTACACGAATGATAGAAAGGTATATAAACCTAGTCCTCTCCAGCGTATATAACATGTATAAAAGATACTAATTTCATTATCATTAGCCTGGTAGATATGGTCTTGATGTTTGGGAGAAACAAATGATGGAACGTGATAGACGTTTAACTGGATCAATTAGAGGACAGTCTGTAAGTATAGATCATTGTATTTGTATGCATATACACATATATATCAATCTTAAACGTTTCATAGTCTGAACCTATTGCACCAGCAGGATTTGCTACAAATAGGTAAGTCATAATAAATGCTATGAGCTTTATTTATTTATTTATTATATTTCTAACATACTTGTATTATTTTAGTATTTGGTATTTAGAAAAGAAGATCTCACATTAAAAATAGTAAAAAGGAAGAGAGAGTTGATTATTTACCCGATATATACGATAATGTTCCATTTGTATCTCACCTGTCAGAAGTTATTATTATTAAAAAAAAAGAAGAAAAAAAAAAAAGAAATATGTATTGTAGATGTATCATATATCTATACATATAACAATTATAGTAGCAATAAATAATAAAATGATAATAATAGTAGTAAATGTAAAATAAAAAAAAAAGAAAGAAAGAAAAAGAGAAAGCAGGGGTAGGGGAAATGTGGACTATGACTACTACTACTACGACTAGTTATGTTTCATTGTATCATCTAATAAATCAAAATCATAAAGCTCTATTGCAATTTGATAAGGTTGTTGGGTATGATGCTGTATTTTTCTTTCCATAACGATGACAGCCTTTGTTTCTATCATTTGTAATTTCCAAATTGATTTTGCTGGCTCTATGAATGTTCGAAGTAAAGTCCCTGTCTTCATATCCCATAATTTAACCTCTCCATCTGATCCTCCACTCAGGATACGTTTCTTATCAAATTGTAGACAGGTTACAGAGTTATCATGAGCTGAAATTCGATGTTTACATTCATACGTATTCATGTCCCATACTCGAAGACATCCATCTGATCCTCCACTCACTAATGTATGATCCAAGAGTTGTAATTGACCTACTAAGGATGTATGTCCATATAATGTAGCAAGACATTCTCCGGATTTTGCAGACCATACTCGAATATTAGAATCGAGAGATCCCGTAACGACCTTGGATCCATCAAAGGCAATAGAATAAATTTGTGAATGATGGCCCACAAACTCATATACACATTCTCCCCTTTCAATGTCCCACAGTCTGGCTGTTGTATCGTAAGAACCAGATACAAGATAGTTACCATAAACATCTATGCATCGTACACTCCCTTGATGTCCTGTACAGACATGCCGTAGTTGGCCTTGATCTATATCCCAAATATGAAGTGTCGTATCTCGTGATCCCGTGATGGCTACCTTTTCATCACATATCTTTAAACATCGTATTGTTGATATATGACCTCTTAATCTATATTTCAATTCACCTGTATCTAAATCCCACACTCTTGTAACTCTGTTTAGTTGTTATATATATATATAAAAGAGTACATGTTAAATGATTAGATTAATCCAAAAGACACACTCTATTGCGTGTGTGTGTGTTTTTTTTATACCTATCACATCCACCCGTTACTAATACATATCCAACAGATGTCTTTATAAATTGAAGCGCCCAAATACCGCCTTCATGATCCGAAAGAGAACGTAAATGATGGCCTGTTCGAGTATCAAATACATCAATTCGGTTATTATCACAACCTATAACGATGTAGTCTTCATTCATCTGCATTGAAGTCACTAAGCCCATCAAATGAGTTACCTCACAACAAGGTATCATTCGACCTCTGCCCTGATTCCAAGCCGTCTCGATATGATAGTGTCGCCGAAAGAATTGATAATGATCAGTCGTCATGAGGAAGGGAGGTTGTTGATGACCGTTGCTGTTGTTGTTGTTGGAGGAGGAAGAAGAAGAAGATAAATGATGATAGTGGTACTTTATACAAAGTGACTTCCAGATAGTATCATCCTTTAAAAGACTGTTCCAATGTCTCGAGACAAGCGAGGCATCTATCAAGGTTTGAGGTTCGTCCAAGAACGAAATAATATGCAATGCTATCTCTTTAGGTAATTCTTTAAAGAAATCAATCTTTAATTTTGGAATGATCCAAGCATAAACGATTTGAAGGAGTTGATTATCGCAACAATGAAGAAGCTCAATTAGAAACGAATGTCGTTGTTGGGAACTCAGTTGCTGAAAGGTGGATTTAACCCGACTCATATAGTCTAAAAGCACTTTATCCATAATTGAATTACCACCATGAATGTCAAAAACATGAGAAGATCCTTGTCTTTGAAGCGACTGTTGTTGGTTTGCCAGTGAATAAGAATCTATATCCTTTGTTTGTGAAAAGAAATTCATCATAATATCAAAAAAAAAATAAGTGTATATAAATATGTATATAATGTGGAGAAGAGGAAGTGGAGGAGGAGAATAAAATAAATAAGAGTAGATTATATATGAAAGATAATAGTTCATTATATTCTTATTACGTAATATATGTATTATTATTCCTCTACTACTACTACTACTATCATTTGTAACAATAAAATAATTGTAATTGATATGTATTATAAATATGTAGTTGAGGGCTCATTATTGATTTAAATAGGATTCTTATATAATGAAGCCAATAATAGCTGTACATATACGTACATACATACATTTACATATAAAACAACGCTAAAGTTTGTTATCTGATAAGACGTTGGATTGTTTGTAGAATAAGATAAATTTATCTCAGGGATTCTAATCAAGGAATTAGTATCTAAATATAAAGTACTTTTCTTAATAACTACTAAACGATAACTCCAAATAGCAGCATACTCTTTGAAAGCTATGCTACAATATAGTAAGTGGTAAAGTGTGTATGTGTGTGTGTGTGTGTGTGTGTGTTATCTAACTATTTTGCATGTTTAATAAGTATTCCCTTTCTTTCTTTTCTCTTCTATTCATGCATCTCATAACATTTATTTCTTTTTTCTTCTTTCATGACTATTCAATCTGTCTGTAGTTTTACACTGAATGTCGACAATTTGAAAAAAAAAAAAATTATCTTAAAAAAGATTTCTACATTGTTCAATCAAATAAACAAGTAACAAAAGACAAAAGAATAACTCCGCTATTTAAACGTCATCAGGTTTTTTTTTCTGCGATATTATTGAGTGTATGTAGAAATCAATTATTAAGTTTATCAGAGAGAAAAAAAAAAAGAAGAGTGAATAAGGCGTTTCAGTTTTTATTTTATTTCTTCTTCTTCTTATTTTGGACTTTCATCATAATAAACATACCCCACCCTTTAAAACAACTTTAATAGTCCATTTCCAATATTTTTTTCTTAAAAAAAAAAAAGAAAATACATATACATATATAATTAGAAAATGACAAAAAGCAGTGGATTTGGACCTTATTCATATTGGACAGGTTTAACGATATCTCTCTTAACGATTGTTGGACTTTATATGCTTTTAACAGGATCAGGTGAAAGATTTAATGTTGGTAAAGTACTTCAAGAAACATCACCTTTTGCTTGGGCCTTGACAGGAATGGGTCTTTGCATTGGTCTTTCAGTTGCTGGTGCAGCATGGTAAAAATTGATAAATGGAGAAAGAAAGAAAGAAAAAGACGCGATTCTTAATACATTATTATTATCATTTTGAAATAGGGGCATCTTCATTACAGGCTCTGCATTATTAGGTGGTGCAGTAAAGACACCTCGTATTCAATCAAGAAACTTGATTTCCATTATTTTTTGTGAAGTCGTTGCTATTTATGGTGTCATTATGGCCATTGTTTATTCAGCTAAATTAGCAGATGTACCTCCTGAAAATATATTTTCTGCCTCCAATTATTTCACAGGTAAATGAAAAAAGATGTTCAAACAACAACAAAGTTAATTAATTTGGGAATGTTTTTTTTTATAAATACATATAAAAGGACATGCTATCTTTTGGGGAGGTTTAACTGTTGGTGTTTGTAATTTATTATGTGGTCTTTCCGTTGGAGTGACTGGATCAAGTGCAGCCTTAGCAGATGCTCAGAATCCTGAACTCTTTGTTAAAGTCTTGGTTGTTGAAATTTTCGGTTCTGTTCTTGGTCTTTTTGGCTTAATTGTTGGTTTATTAACAGTAAGTTTATATGTGTGTATATAAGTGTAAATAGGTAGTGAATCCTTATTTGTTTTAATAATAGACTGGCAAAGCATCCGATTTTCATTAATGTAGGAAGAATGAATATCTACATCTATATCTAATTTCTCAATATAAATAATTGAAATAAATGAATATGTCTATTAGATGTATTATATACATACATATATAACCATAAGTTTTATTTTATATAAGCATTATAGAATGTAAATACATAACAAGTTACGTATACATGTATATGTATATAAATAAATACATATATTTATAATGAATAAATAAAAAAATAAAAAAAAAAACGTCCAAAGAAGAATAAGAAATACAATAATAACCCTTTATCAGGTATAATACACAATGACCAGAGAAAGAAGATGATCAAAGGTAAGGAAACGTGGTAGTAGTAGTAGTTGTAGTAGAGAATGAAGAAGAAGGAGAAGAAGAAGAAGCAAAATTGATATTATCATGATGATGAGCCATTAACGGATGAAGAGCTGAATTCGATTGTTGAAAATAATAGTCTTGCCTTTGATCTCTATTTATTTTCCCCTGTATACGTTTACAATAAGTCGTATTTCGAATAGCAAATAATAAAGGTCGAATACATTCTGCCAACTAGATTTTTTTTTTTTTTTTTTTTTTGGGTAAGTAGTTTTGCTATTATGACTATGATTAAACTAACCTTTTGAAATTGAACTTCTTCGGCAAAATCTAAAGCAGTTTGCACGACATAATTCGCATAAGAATCTTTTAAAAGCTTCTCTAATGGAGCTTTATTCACCATTTCCTCAATTAAATCACGACGAGTATCTTCTTCTGCTACACGAATACACTAAATGAGAAATAAATAAATAATATGTATTTATAGGCTTTGTATTATGTAAGAGGTACCTTTTCCATTACATTTGAACTGTATTTTTGAACAGAAAGACTACTGATATGACCAATAAATTGACGAATCAAGTTATCAGAGAACTCTGCATCACCTAATTCAAGTACATACTGAACAACATAATTACCGTAAGGGTCTTGAACTAATACCAAGGCATTACGAATAATCTCCTCCACTAATTGTTTCTATTCTAAACTATGTCACACACGTTTTTCTTTTCTTTTTTTTTTTTTCTTTTTCTCTTTTTCTTTCTCTTTTTCCTTACCTTTTGGTTTTCATTAGAATAATCAATACAACGTTGTAATACACAACAACCATGCCGATGAGTAGCTACTTCAATACAATTCTTACTAACCGCATCATAAATAAACTGTTTATCTTTAAAGGTTAAACGATGTAAACACTTTTGAATAACATGATTGCCATTAATATCTTTGATAAGAGTAACCACATTAGAAGATAAAGCCTCTCTTGTTTTATGAATCTAAAGTAAAAAAGAAAAAAAATGAATGAATAAACGGATTTTTTTTTTTTAATTATCCATGTTGCTTCTCTAATCTCTATCACTCATCTTACTTGTTCAGGAAGAATTAAAAATTCAATCATTCTTTGAACAGCTCTTGTACCATGCATATTTAATGAAATAGTCATAATGGAATTTGATACTTGTTCTACAAGCATTGTTCTTTGATGATCTGTGCAATACTCCATCATTTTTTGACACAAGTAATTACCAAAAGGATCTTTTTTATTACAAAGAAGTTAAAAAAAAAAAAAAAGATTGAATAAGATAATTCATTATTTGGATGGGGGTCAACTTACCTATCATAAGTTCAACAAAATGAGGAAAGATTTGATTAAATATAATATCTCTTTGTTCTGGCTTTTGTTCTTCTAATTTCTTTTGAAAGAATCGACATCCATATTGATCTTTAGATAATGTATAAATTTCATCTATAACATCTTCTAAACGTAAAAACGCAAATTTACTATTATCTTCAGTGATAGTAGTTGTAGTAGTAGTTGAACTACTCTGTTTAAATGTCATATTATAAGTCATGGAATTTTTTCTACTATTAGGTGAAGGAGGTTGACTCTGCTGCTGTTGTTGTTGCTGTTGCTGTTGCTGTTGCTGTTGCTGCTGTTGCTGTTGTTGTTGCTGTTGCTGCTGTTGCTGATGCTGCTGCTGTCTAACAAGATGAGATACGAATAAAGGATTTGATACTTGATAATAAGGAGTAGGATAAACCATATTAGATGAAGGATAATGTTGATTAGGGAGAGAAGGAAGAGGAAGAGGAGGAGGAGGAGCAGAAGCAGAAGCAGAAGAAGGAGGATGCTTATGAAAGAATTGAAGATGATCATCTAATCCTGTTGATGCTATTACACTACGTCTTGCAGATGAAGCTAAATCCGGATTTGAATAAGAAGGTGTAATTAAACGATTTCCTTTATCTGTTAATAACCTTGAACGAGGATGAAAAGGATCCAAAGAGAATTTATGACAATAAGGAGTCGTTACTCCTGACATTAAAAATGGTGATCTTGATGAAGATATTTGCCATTCTGAAAAGCGTCGATCTACCAATGAAGGTTGTTCATAAGCTGTGGTACTCTATTTATTATTTTCATTTAATTTACAAAAATGTGTATAAATTGTGTATATAAATAGAGTCTTACTAAATTGGGATAACTTTCGCGTCTTAATAAATGTTGTTGCTGTCGTTCTTGCTCTTCATAATGATTAAAGAAGGAACTATTATTATTTGAATAGAAAGCTAGTTTTATCATATTAGAATCAATTTTATATGTATAAATGTATCTATAAAATTCCCTAATAAAATGATTTTATTACATGAATGAAAGAGAGGTATATCATTTGGCTGAGGAGTAAATGGTGATTGGTCAGTAAAAAGACTACGAAAGGAAGTACTTTCAGGTCTCCTATATAGACTTTTGACATTAGAATTCTCTCTCCTTTTCTTTTTTTTTTTCTTTTTTTTTAAATAAAATAAAATAAAACAAATATGTATAATTATATATCATAAATGATGTGTTATGATTACTTTAAATTAGAAGAATCCATTGGATGTTGATCCATGATATCAAGAGTTGCAATATGATTATGAATATCTTGATCAAAGTCTTGTATTGTTGTATCAGAACATGAATTAAAATCAATACATTTTTGTTGTTCTTCTTTTAATATCATTTTCTTTTCTTTTAATTAATTAAAGAAAAAGAGAGAAAAAAAAAAAAAAAAGAGAAAAAAGGTAAAATGTTTATTTTATAAATATTTAAATTTTAAGGGGCAAAAATAATCTTTTTTATTTTTATTTATTTATTTTTATTTTTTTTTTATTTATTTTTTTTCATATATAAATATTAGCCTGTTTATACTTGAAAGAAACAGAGCTTAATTTTTAGTTGTAACTTCTTTAACCCTTCTTTTATATTTGCATATACAAAGGCAATTTTCATAATTTAATGTGTGTGTGTGTGTGTGTGTTTTTTTGTGATATATACATGTATATGTAAATATAATCGTTTTATAATATGCTAAGAAATCAAATTTAACCAAAATTGAATAAAATGTCGGGACATAAAAGAAGATTAAACCCTATTGGTAACAAGAATAATATTGTTCAGATAGTAAACTCAATCAAGGAAATAGTAATGATTACACTACTAATATGTATATATGCGTATGTGGGAGGAAAAGTGAATGAATATTTGCTCATAATATGATGATGCCAGTTAGATAGAAGAGAGAGAGAGAGAGAGAGGCAGAGTAGACTCTTTTATAGACAAAAGGACCTTACCCAGTAACATATAAATCAAGGATAGCTATAGTCAGAATAGGAGAATACTTCACGTGTATAAATTTTATTTAAAAGGAACAAAAAAAAAGGGGGGAAGCAAACATCTTTAATTGTTCCTGGAATTTAGAATAGGTTATGCATTTAAAAGACAATAGAATAAAATGCTGCTTTTGTCAACAAGTCTGTTGTGGAAGGTAAATTGAACAATTATATTATTATTAGAAGATAAGGTTGATTCTTAATGTAGATTCGTAGGGTCTATTGCTTTACACAGAATGAATAATAGCTTGTTTGAGAATAATTTACAAGCCAAGAGAGTATCTTGTTTCTAGATAAAACAATTTGACAATTTATATATTTGAGGTCTTGCAAAGTATAATTGAGAGTATAACTAATAAGGTATACATGTTATACAGTATTTGTCTCATTTTAGTTTACTTACTTGTTAAAATAGCCAAGTCATCTTTGAAATAAATACTATTTGATAAAAGAAGGTAGCTAAACAATGGTTTTTTCATCCGATCAAAAAGGTACATTTTATTTTGTTTACTAACAATATCATTTCTCTACACTGATCGTCTATCCTAATAATGGTAGCTACATTTATGTTCAAATACTAGAATCTAATCAATTTTTATAGCTATTAAATGACCCTTCTTGCTGCAACTATATTCTAATAACATTATATCCTTGACTTCTTTACCCTTCCCTTCCCCCCCTCTGAAGAAGCATATGCTTTAAATTTGTCCGTCCGTCTGTCTTTTTTTATTTATTTATTTCCTTTATATATTATATACTGTATACAGATTTGAGTAATAATAATACTAGTGTTTTACAATAAATGGTAGCCCTTAAAAAGATCTACCTGGTTATTGATTTCATTCTAGATAAATGGATGATTTAAATGAAGAATGTGCATCCATATTGACAGAGATATATACATCAAATAGTTTTTCTATGTTACTGATTTTAATATTCTATGTGTATATTAGTTTTCTCCCATCTATTATATCAAGAAAAGAGAAATGAAATAGATTATGGTTGTGTTTGATAATAAATTTTTTTCTTACTGCTAGATATCATTGGATGATGATATCTGATTTACCCCTTAAAACTTTATTGTATCAGATGCTGAGTATTAATATACATGCAAAAATTTAAGTTTAAAGCATCATAATGGGTAAAAATGATGATGACTATTACATGAAGTATTACGTACTTGTATGATTCTTATTTATACACTGTTTAAAATGTATACTTAATCAAGTATATAAATATATATCTTGTATATATATAGCTACAACCATCTTCTAATTATATCTTTTTAAAATCTAAATAGTTTGTTACTATATCATCATTATACTTACTACCATTACATCTTCTCAAGCTAATTATAATCTTTTTTTTTCTTCTTCTTTTTCAATCCTACAACTTGATATCAAATTAGTTTATACGAATACACACATTTATTTTATTTATTTATTGAAAGTTATCTAGTACAGAGAGATTTTTATATACATATATATATATATACCTGTAAACTTATTAAATACAATGTCCAAGCTTGAATAATGGTTCAAAACTTCAAATTATAATTATAGCTTCTACATAGGAAGCCATTATTAAATTTTACAACATGGTTCTATTTAATTGAGAGAATTCTATCTATATCTATACCTATTTTCATGGACCTGTTGTCTTGTATGCTTTTATATATTACATTATTGACCAATAAGAATAGTATAGTGGACATTTATTTTCCAAGTCTTCTTTCTTCGTACTTGTGTTGATAGTTAATCATCATCGTCTTTTCTATCGGAGTTCTAAATAATAATTTCACATAATGCACCACCACCCTTACCTCCTGCTCACACACACCCCAGCTTTTTGCTGTATCTTTATTATAAGTTCCTTTCTTTAGATGTCTCAAAAAAAATGACATTGTCCACTTTTATTTATTTATTTTTTTTGTCAAATAGTATAAGCCTATATACATATATGTATGTATGTATATATATTTAAATGTATATGCGTCTATTTTTTCAAGTAATATAGTAATAAAATTAAAGGGTTTAAAAAGCAACATAATTGACAGATTGTTGAGTAGAGGTTTTAACTCAGATACTTTAAGATGATTCTTTTTTTCTTTGTTTGAAAAGAAATAGAATACTTTCGACTTTCAGAGAAAAAAAAAAAGGGACGCTTTTATCCTTATAGATAAAATCGGTTAATTGAAAGGATATCTGCAAGACTGTCCTTATTCAACAACGCTAGTGATAATAAATAACAATCAATTTCATTTTTCTATGCTAACGCAAGCAAATAAATTACCCAAAAAACTGGGATTTGAAAAAAAAAAGAAAATCTTCCGCAAAGGAATAAGTAGTACAACTAATAAATTTTCTTTCTTTCTTTTTTTTTTTTTTTTTTTTTTTTTTTTTTTTTAAAATAAATGATATTTTAATTGCACCAAAGGAAGAAAGATGATTCGGAAAAAAATGTAATGTTATATTAACAAAATATTTGCTGCATGATTATAAACATCTTGAGTTCCATTTTAAGAAACAAAATCAGCTCCGGAGGAGGAAAGTAACAAACATGAGTTTTATTTAGTTCATATCTTGAAAGTGTTTCACAGGGGGAAAGATTTTATTGCTCATCAATCACTCACTCACTCACTCAATCACCCACTCATTCACTCACTCACTCACTTCTTTTGCTGAGAACCAAATAAATGACATAATAACGCATCTACAGCAACAACAGACCCTTTATTAGATTATGTTATCTTTTTCTCATTCATGTGATATATATGTATACATCTATAAAGTCTTGAAAGTGAATAATACGATTAAACTTTATTTTTTTTTTTTTTATATATACACAACTTGTTATAATTAAAAAAAGAAAATACAAAAATTTTCTATTTAAATGAACTACTACTACTGCTACTACTACTAAAAAAAAAAAGGGAAATAATACAGATGAGGTAATGATGATTTGGTATCTTTCATGTAACTAAAAAAAGTAATTGTTCCAATAAAACTTGATTATTTTAGTAGATCCGTGTCTATAATTTTGCATGACTTTTTTTTTTTTTGTTTATCGGAAACTTAAATTCTGTTGATGGGTTGCGGGGAAAAAATGATAAAGTTGGAATAAAAAAAAAATGGAGGACTTTCATTTCCTATTTTACATTAATAAGGGTCAATATTTATTAATATATAAATTTTTCATTTTCATTTTTTTTTTTTTTTATTTTCTCTCCTCTTTTGCTTCTTCTTCCCTTTTTTTTTTTACATTATTTCTCCGAATACATATACATAAATATATTTATAAATAACTAAATAAACATGTCTTATACTAGAAAGCCTTCTGCTGTCGGTAACGATCGTCATCATCCTCATACTCTTTCTACTCTTGTAAGTTAATACGCGTTATTTTTTATTTTTATTTTTTTGTTGCTTTGTTTTCCTGTATAAAACTTATACCTCTCTCTCTCTCTCTTTTTTTTTTATTCCATGTTAGGACTTTCAAGGCGCTAGTTCTGCTGCTGCCGCCAAGGCTATGAAATCTGAATTGGCCAAGTTGGCTACTCAAATTCAAAATGAAGAAGAACGAAAGGTAAATACATCATAGTCATAATTAAAGTAAAATAAAAAAAAGAATCTTATTGTTTTCTTTGACTTTAGTATTTTACTCAAGAAATGGATAGTTTTTATATGCTCTTTACTCGTTATTTAGATGAAAAGAGTAAAGGAAAAAAATTGTAAGTAGTGTTGTCCTTATTTCATTTTGTTGGGGAAAAAAAAGGGGGAGGGGGAAAAAGGAGGAAAAAAGAAAAAAAAAGAAATAGAAAATTAATTCTAGTTCTAGGGATTGGGAAAAGATCCAAACACCATCTTCCGAGCAAATTGTTCCTTATGCAAGTATTCCCGAAGTAACTGATAAGTCTGATCTTGAAAAATTGGCTGTCTTGAAATTAAATGGTGGTTTAGGTACTACAATGGGTTGCGTTGGTCCAAAGTCTGCTATTGAAGTACGTGATGGTATGACTTTCTTGGATTTAAGCGTTCGTCAAATTGAGGTAATTATTAGTATTCGTGTTTAATAAAGTTGCTGTAAATTAATTTTATTTTCTTTTGGTAGTACTTGAACAAGAAGAATGACGTTAGTGTTCCTTTCATTCTTATGAATTCCTTTAATACGGATGAAGATACAAAACGTATTGTTCAAAAGTATGCTACTCATAACGTGGATATCATTACTTTTAATCAAAGTCGTCATCCTCGTATTAACAAAGAATCCATGTTACCTGTTCCTCGTTCTCCTAATTCTCCTATTGAACAATGGTAAGTTGTCACATTGGATAATAACACTACTATGTGTATGTCTATATAAATAAACATGTATCATCTATATAATAAACAGGTATCCTCCAGGTCATGGTGACTTGTATGAATCTATTTATAACTCCGGTCTTCTTGATCAACTTATTGCCCAAGGTAAAGAATATTTGTTTGTCTCTAATGTGGATAACTTGGGTGCTACTGTGGACTTGAATATTCTTCATCACATGGTTGAATCGGATGCTGAATTCATTATGGAAGTCACTGATAAGACAAAGGCTGATATTAAGGGTGGTACTCTTGTAGACGATGATGGTCATATTCGTCTTTTGGAAATCGCTCAAGTACCCTCTGAACACGTTGAAGACTTCAAGTCAGTCAAGAAATTCAAAATCTTCAACACAAATAACTTGTGGATTAATTTAAAGGCTATTAAACGTGTCATGGATGAAGAAGCCATGGATCTTGAAATCATCGTGAATCACAAGACAACTCCTCAAGGTGAAAAGGTCATTCAACTTGAAACTGCTGTAGGTGCGGCTATCAAACATTTCAAGAATGCACATGGCGTTAACGTTCCTCGTGCTCGTTTCTTACCTGTCAAGTCAACCTCTGACCTTTTCTTGGTCACCTCCAATCTATATTCCCTTGTTCATGGTCGTTTAGTCGTTAACCCTGATCGTATGTTCAATAATGTTCCTTTAGTCAAGTTGGGTGATCATTTCAAGAAGGTCAATGATTTCTTGACACGTTTCAAAAAGATTCCACATATTTTGGAACTTGATCATTTAACTGTAACAGGTGATGTTTGCTTTGGTTCCAATGTTGAACTTCGTGGTACGGTTATCATTGTAGCTAATCATGGTGAACATATTGATATTCCTTCTGGTACTGTTTTGGAAAATAAGGTTGTTACTGGTTGTTTGCGTATTCTTGATCATTAAAGCCCTATTCCCCTCTCTCTCTCTCTTTCTTTCCCTTCACCCACCCCACTTTTTTTTTTCTTTTTCTTTTCTTTTTTCCCTTTTGTATTTCATTTTGATGTGCATTACATATATATAAAAATAAACAATTATTTACAATTCCGTTTTATTACGTAGATTTTTGTATTTTTTCAAGTAAAACATCCATTTGAGCAGCCATGTTAGGTTGGCCTGTTTTAGTTTTAGACAGCATCTTGCCACGCTGTTCTCTTCTTTTCTTATAATACGCTTTTGTTTCCTTCTTTCTTTCTTCTAATTCTCTTAAACGTTTCTTTCTTTCTTCTTCTGTCTCTTTCTTGCGTCTTTCTCTCTCTTCAATTTGTGTTTTAAACGGATTTGGTTTCTTTCGTTTTTCAGCCTTTCCTTCCTCTTCTGACGAGGATTCAAGTTCAACTTCTTCTTGCTCTGGTTCAAATGTGGGTCTTTCTAATTCAACTACATTACCGTCTTTATCAATCGTACGTTCTGCACCAAAAATCTAACAAGAAAAAAGTAATAATGATGAATGAATGAACAAAAAGAAGAAAAAACCTCAAGTCTTTCACTCCCCCATCCCCCCTTTTTTTTATTTTACTTGTATGGGCTTACTTCTTTCACATAATCAGGTGTATCATCTTGAGCATCTTTGGTTTTATAATATTGACTTTTGATTTGTGCTTTATGGATTAATTCTCGTTTTTTTTGAAGTTCTAAGAAAATAAATATTCTTCCTAATTAGATCTCTCTCTCTCTCTCTACATGTATTCCTGTTTTTTCTATTTTTTTCTATTTTACGTTTTCTTTGTAATGGTGTTAATGGCTTTTTATTTCTCTTTTTAATCGGCGGCACCATGATAAATGTATAATAAAAAAAGAGGTATATAAAAAAAAAAAAAAAAAACAGTCTAAAAAAAAAAAAAAATTCATGCGAGAGGATAGGGTTCTTATAAGCCACCATTTTCAAAAGTGTATAATTCAACATCTTTAAAATCATGAATCATACTTTTAGCATCGTGAGTAACGTACATGACATTAATGATGATAAAAGATATAAATGAAGATATAATAAATATAATATCAGACCATCGTTTAAAATAATCAAATTCAATTGACCGTAAAGAGGATGAAATTAAAAATCTAATTCCATAAAAAAAAAACTCTGTTAAACAGAAGAGTCTATCCAATTCATGTCTTATTTATTACCTATATTCTGGAGGTAGGTTGAACTGCATCATCAATACTGAACTAATAAAATAGATTCCCATTAAATAAGTAATAAAAAGTAAAATAGGATAACTACATGTCGTTGTTCTCCTTTGTTTGTTGTTGTTGATATGAAATCGTAATACTATCTTTGTCAAAAGACTTAAAAATCCTTTAACAGAACTGAAGACAATAATGCCTGCAAACCAAAAACTAAGTTGTTGTGACCAATAAGTGGCATTAAATACTTTCTCGTTATCAAAATGACTCATCCAAATAGACAAAATATGAGTAATTGGATCAGAAGAACTTGTTGTTCGTTGAAAGATAACATTGAATAATGTCTAACATGAATAAGATGTATATACATATAAACTACTTGCTTGTTTTAATTAAAATACTTACTATCAATAGTCTGTAGATACAATAGATGGCAAATACTTTCTCTATAAATCCCCAGATTTGTCCTTTCCAAGTTGAATTAAATTGAATTTTAACCTATTCTATGTTTAATAAATATGATAATAATAATATGCATCTAATTCTATGTTGACGTACTCTACTATGTTCTAATTCATTCAAATCAGACTTCATATTTCTAGTCAACTCTTCTAATTGTTCTATCTCGGTTTGCAGGAGACGTATTTCTATCCTTTTGTATTACATTAATCAAGTCTTTTTTTTTTTTTTTTTTTTTTTTTTTTTTTTTTTTTTTTTTTTTTTTTTATTCCAATCTATGCTTATTACTACCTTTCTTTTCTGAGGTTGTATCAGAACTCAAAGAGGACATGATACGATGTATAAAAAAAGTAGATGAAGAACTCTAATCAATTAATTAATGTGCGGGAGGAATTACAACATTCTTTCCTAAAGTTATACATACATTATCTTCTGATGGTTGATTTATTATTAACTGGTTTAATAATTCTCGTCTTTCTTGAATTATTTTTTCAGTTTGATGATAAACATGTTCAGCTATCTTGTAATCATGTTCACTCACATGTCTTTTATATGCCAATAGAATCGTCCATGGTTTATTCACTACACCAAATCCAGACAAGATGGAAATCAATGTAATACCAATACAACATGTTTGAATAATACTACTTGATTCAATCCAGGATATAATACTAACTATTATTATTATTAATTCATGTATTTTATAAACAAACAGTTTTTTTTTTCTTTACCATATTTTTGCTTATTATCATTTCCACCACCCAATTTATAAAAGAAATAAAGATAAATAGACAATAGACATGTTGACAAATAAATAGACGGTTTCAATTTCCAACCTTTAAATGAATTGAATATGTCATTATTTTCCAACTTGTAAAAGTTGTTTCCCTCCCTTACGCCTCTCTTCCTTTTATTTACCTCTTGTCATGTATAAAAATGTGTATAGTTGAAACCAAGGAATGATGATAATAACAAGAAATAATAACACTGTCATATTCACTTTCCAATAATAATACCGAATGCTTTATATTATAAGAACTTATTATTAGCTTCATAGCATAGCCATAGACTACTTTTTGTATTTGTAGTTCACTTACTTTTTTGAAAATAATTGAATTATTTCACTAAAGATTAATAAAAATAATGTACAAGAACAACTAAAGGTCAAGGAGAATAAAAGTCGTGGTAATAGAGTCGATAAAGAAGAAGAGCGAATCAAGTAATTAACAGATTTATTCCGATTGTTGTCATTGAATACTAATTGAGTTATTTTAGTTGAACCTATTATAAATAAAGTAATTTGTATAGAAATAAGGATGCAATTATTTAGAATGATGGATGACATTAGATAAAGGAAAAAAAAAAGAAAAAGAAAAGAAAGAATAGTAGTCAATAATAACAACGTTGAATATTTATTTGTTTATTTTGCATAAAAATGCTTTTATTGGACAACACAATTGCTATTATTATTATTATTCTATACATAATATCTACATCCATCATGCTTGGTTTTGTCTCCATTCTACATAATCATCAAATAGTACAGGCCCTATTATATTTTAATCAACAAGAAAGATGAATAAGGTGTAATGTATTACATAATCATTTTATACGTACATGAGGATGTACTATCATAATTATCAAGGTCTTTAGGTATAGATTTACAAAAGTCTAATAAACTTGACCATTGATCTTTATTAATGACCTTTACTGGTTTTACTGTCTATGAGAGAAAAGGATGAATGATCTATAATTTGAACTACAAGACTATTAAACTTACTTCAATGAATTCAATAAAGGATTCAATAATTGGATATTGATCTTCTAATAAAAGATGCCAAAGAGCAATAGCCGTCTATAAAATGATAAAGTATATGTAATTATATACATACATACATGTATATAAGTATAAATATAGACAGACAGACTTCCTTTATGATTGGTGTAACTTATTTACCTCAATATCCATACTCTTTTGTCCAGTTGATTTCACATAGTTAAAAGTAAAAAGATACAACTGTTTAAATTTCTCAGTGTTTTTATCTATAACTTCTTTTTCCCAATCTATTAATACTTGTTTCAACTTTTCCTTTGTTCCTATACTAATTGAATAAAATAAATGAATGAATTATCATGTATTTTAAAAGACGTATTTTACTCATAACTTTCCATGCCCTTTATCCATTCTTCTTTAGTGAAATATCCCATACGACTTGCATTGAACTTCCAACCAACAATAAGAGGTAGTGCCTATTATACAAGTTAGTGTCTTTCTTCTTTTTTTTTAACTGAAAAACAAAATAAAATACTGACACTTTCTAATGACACGTCTAGATCTGTAAAAAATGCTTGACAGCCATCAGGTGTTATTAGGTCTGGATCATCTGCATCTTTATATTGCTGAAACCATTTCTGACGATTTTCTATATTTAATCGTTTCTAATTATTAAAAAATAAAAATAGAACTTTCCCTTAATGTACATGTGTGCATATATTTTAATAGTTTTTTTTTTTTACTTGAGCTGTACTATTAAAGTATTTAATGGATTGAAAAAAAAAAAAATAAAGGGAAGAATTATAAATCTGTCTCTCTTTCTCTCTCTCTCTCTTTTTTTTTTCTTTGTTTTGTTTAATTCAATATTTACGATTCTTTCTTGTGTTGAATTTTTATTTTCCTTGGAATCATTGTATTAGCTGCTGTAGTTGCTTTACGTTTAGGTGGCATTAAGAATGAAAAAAAAAAAAAAAAATTTGGTAATGAAAAAAAAAAAAAAAAAAATGCGACGTATGCCCTTAAATACTTGTAGATTAAAATTTTAAATACAGCAGCTTTAGATATTCATTTGATTGTTTGTTGTAGTAGTAGTAGTAGCAGCAGCAGCATAATAAACATATTGTAATACAAAATAAGAAATAATATTTTAATGCATCTGTGAAGATAAAATTTACTTTTTAAAAGAGGGCATACAATTTAATTCTATTTCATTTCGGTGTTTTTTTTTTTTTTTTTTTTTTTTTTTTTTTTTTTTTTTTTTAGCTTTGCTACAATATAGTAGAATCATGACAATTGCCACAGTAAACGTTGTATAAGCACGTCAACAAAATTATATAGATATTTCTTCTTTATCTATTAAAGTCATATTTAGTCAACGTTAGTATATTATTAATTAAAATAAATACACAGTAAGTATTCAGTGAGGTAAATATTGTATCAATAAACTCCTAGTGTTTCAGCAGTATTTTGGCCTCTTATTATTTAATTGTCTGTTATGTACATGAACAGTCCCTTGTTTTTAATATTGACTGACATAAATATGAATGTGTTGTAAACTCTGCGTTAGTGGCTGTGCTAAAACTATCCAGTTTTAGTCTTGATGAAACCAAATGCATCTGCTTTTGATAGGATAGAGTCTTTGTCTGTACTATTGTAAATTGGTTGAACGTTTGTCCTATTCAGCATAAACTCCTTTTGATTCTCTACTAAAATCAGTATTGTCCATCAATGACTGATGGCACAGTTTTGAAACGATTGATATAGTTTGTCCTCAAATCATCAGATATCTCAAAGCGCCTTCTTTCTCTGGCTCACCAAGATTCTAGAATACTAAATAGTCCTTTAGACATTGCTTCCTAATCGCTGACATAATAAATCATCGCTCCGTTGATACAAGTGACGAAGCCCTTTAGTGTGATTGAATTGAATATTATTTCTCTACTATCGTTCATTTCATTTTGTTGCAGAGGATAATTCTGTATTGTTCAATTGTCCTTCAAGAAGAGTTCTAAAAGTCAATTTCGATCTTCCAACATTACTTTCAGATTGGCTTATAAGACGTGTTTGTCGGTTGAACCTTCGTTTGTTCTTCTTTTCAAATTTTTTCCTTCGTCCTATTTGTCCTTATAAAGTGCCTTTAAACTGTTTCTTGACAGATAGTGTCTCCAGCAGATAAAGTTCTACTTTTGAGGCATAGTTTTAGATCTGTGGATGTCTACAAAGACACAAGAAAATTAAATAGAGAAGCATTGAATAAATTTGTCAAAACAGGATTGAAAGCTTGCTGATTTAGCTCTTCCTGACATGAATTCAACCTCAATCAAATCCTCAACGTTTGACCATTTAGACAGAAGAATAATGGTTATGATTGTATTGATTTTGTACTTTCTACAACGCCTTGTAGAGAGCATGAAGTCTGACAACTTTTCCTTGAAGATTGGCTATTTCATTTTTAAGCGGTCTAAAAAAGAGTGCAAATATATTTTTTACGAAAAAGAAGTAAATGAATAAAAAATAAAAAGAAGCGCAACTTTCTCAATAATTTAAGATTGTGAAAATACATTTTTTCTTCAAAAAAATGGTGTAACGAAGTATTTATACTTGCCCAGCTTTATGCTTTATTAAACAACATATGATGCATTTTGTATGTATGTGCTTCACTTTTAATTTATTATTATACATAATTTTTTGCCTTTGATGTTATACTATTTTATGATATGATACGATATGATATAAAATATATACATATATATATAAAAAAGATAGTTACATAAAATATTATTGTACCTTTTTTTTTCTGAAGTCAGTTAATACAGCAAAAAAAAAAAAAAATCATTAAATAAAGAATGAAAAAGTCTATGGTAAAAAAATACTTATTATGTGAATTCTAAAGCCTATCATTTATTACCCATTTGATATACTTTTTATCTATTGACTGTAAATATCCTTCATACAATAATACATTATTGAATCTGTCTGTATTTTTGTATGTACGTGCTTCTTTTTTTTTTTTTTTGAACATATAAAAACACTGTTGAGTTTAGTATTGGAAGCAATAATTTGAATGAAATGCTTGTTTCTATCATTTTGAAATAAGAATAATAATATATGCATTGTTTGGACTTTTTTTTATAGTTATAATATAAAAATAAAGAAAGCAATATACAAAAAAAATTTATTAAAAAAAATATATACAAGAATATTATTTACAAGGAAAGTTTTTTTTTTTTTTTTTTTTTTTTTTTTTTTTATATATATACAATATTTACAATGAAAGGTTTTTTTTATATATATACATTATTTACAAGGATGTCCTGGCCATGAGTATTTTATCAGCTTCCCCTCGCTGAACTTCGAAGGCTACCACCGGCTTAGAAGTCACCGTAGATTATTCCTTCCATAAGATCGTCGCCAGTGGTAGCCAAGGCCATCCCCTCAAAGTGTTCACAGAGGAGATCAACAGGATCGTCGACCTCCATGGAGTCATAGTCCAAGTCCATTAAGTCGGACTCCATGGAGGCCTGAGAGGATGGCAAAGAGTAGGAGAACATATCATCAACGAGAGGAGCAGATTCTTCTTCTGGTAAGAGCCAGGACACCCAACTTTCATTATCGTCGTCCTCCCAAGTAAAGGGAGGACAGACCCAAGCAGCAGCACCAGCACCAAAATCTTCATCACTCTCCTCTTCCACACCAGGGAGAGGAGGTGACCAACGGGCCACAGCATCTTCAGCTGCCATCATGGCAGCCACAAAACCACCAACACCAGCAACACCACCACCACCACGAACAGAAGACACCTCTTCTTCTTCATCGCCGACACCGACACCAAAACCAACACCAACACTAGCACCAAACAAACCAGCATCACCGCTGGGGGACGAACTTGATGAAACAGCAAGTAGACCAGCTACTGCATCGGAATCATCACTACTGGCCTGCCAGGTAGTGAGAGGAGGAGAGAGAGAAAAGGAAGCGAAAGCATAGGACACCGCTGTTGAAGCGGCGTAGAAAATTGTTGAAGCTGCTGTTGAAGCAGCTGAGGCAGCAGAGGAGCGCGAAAAGACTAATTTTTATAAAATAAAGTATCAATTTAAAATCACAGCTATCATATCCAATATAATATACTATACTTACAGTTAAACATTTTAATAAAATAATTTAATCTATGAAGAAAAAAAAAAGGGGTGAAATAGAAATAAAATAATTGATTTTATTAACTTTTTCATTTAGTAAAAAAAAATGTGACAAGTTTTTGTTTAAAAGAAAACAGGAGTAAAGTCTTTTTTTTTTTTTTGTTAAAAGATAAGAAAAAAAAAAGGCATCGCGTACAATTTTCCTTTTTGAGATCAATTTAATTACATGTTTTCAAAAAAACTATATCTTTTTTTCATATGCAAAATAATAGTTAAAAAAGTGGGGGAATAAGAACCAATTAAATAAAATTTCCTTTTTGAGCGTATCTTTTTTTTTTAGATGTGTAAATTTAAGGGGTAAAACTAACGATTTGGAAACTTTTTTTTTTTGAATTGAATGAAAAAAAAAAAAAAGATATATATGAAATTAAGTTGTACCTTTTTTTTTGAAGTCAGTTAATGCAGCAGAAGAAAATTAAAGTTCAGTAAAAAAATGTGCCATGCTTTTGTCAAAAAAAAACAGGAGTACAGTCTTTTTTTTTGGCCAAGAGTAGAAAAAAAATGTGTAACGTACGATTTTTCTTTTTGAGATTCATTTGATTACACGTTTTCAAAAAAAAAATATATATCTTTTCTTCACATACAAAATAATAGTTAAGAAAATGAGAGAATAAGAACTAATTAATTAAATGGTAATTTCCTTTTTGAGTGAGTCTTTTTTTTATATGTATGAATTTGTATGAGTTTGTATGAGTTTAAGGGGTAAAAAAAGACTAATACTTTAAATACGTTTTTTTTCTTTTGAAAAAAAAAGGGTGTAACAAAGAAGTTTTTACACTTGCCCAATTTTATACTTTAACTAACTCTTCATATCAAACTCTTCATATCAAATTACATCATTAAACACCATATAAGGCATTTTGCTTCTAATTTTGTATTTGGTTTACTTTGTATTTATTATTATATGTAATTTATTATTATACGTAATTTTTTTTCTTTGATTTTGTACTATTTTATGATATAATATAAAGTGTAAAATGTAAAGTGTAAAAAAAAAAAAAATGAATGATTAGCACTAATGTGAGCCAACATGTATCTTTTTACTACTATTTTGGAATGGTTTTTCCTCTTAAAAAAATATATACACATAAAATCAAATTGTACCTTTTTTTTGGAGTCAGTTAATGCAACAGAAGGAAATTAAAGTTCAGCTCTAAAAAAAAAAAAAAAAAACTTGCGCAGACAACCTTTTGAATTTATGGGTTGACTTAAACATGTTAACCTATATAATGTTTGACTGCCTAAAATTATATGAATAAATTATTTTACACACAAATAATAATATATGCTGTCCAATTTGACAACAGCATAGACGAGATAATGATAAAGAATTTTATTTATTGATTTGTAAATAATGGTATATATAGAGTATATAAAATAAAAATATTATGTTGCGGTATGATCTATAGTATACATTATACAAGTATAAACTAGAGTATATGACTTTAATATATGCTTAATTGACGGTATGATTTAAAGAAGAAAAAAAAAGAAAGAAAACTAAAAAGAAGTACAGTATAGTTTGTGACTTGTTTATTCAATGTAAAAAGAATGATATAAAGACTATTTTGTGTCTATACCAATTGCTTGTATTTATATTAATGAGTCTTGAAACAGTGTTAGTATTCAGCAGATATATACGTATTGTTGATTCAAGCTACTGATTTATATATATTATTATCTATTGGGCGTTATAATGACCTGATTAAGGTTTTAAATTGTTTGATTTAAGTATAGGTTCCTGATGTCTTTTTATATTTTATTGTATTGGATCAAAGACGACCTGAATCCTTTGTCAAGGTTATAAAAATATAATTTATACATCTAGACGATTGAATGTCAATAAGTTTTATATTATATTATTTATAAAATGTTATATACAGTAAGATATGATATATTTTATCGTTTATCCTGTGTTATGTAATCCATCTTTTATAATATTATTTATGCTTATATCCAGAGCTTATTCTATAGCAATTCCTTTATTAAGGTATATTTTATACACACACAAAAAGAGGATAAATTCAACAAGACAGCATCTATTTGAATATGTGTATATATAAAATGATTTTATTAATTTTGTTGTCTATTTTTTGTTGTCAAATAAATCATCATTTTCATGTCATGTTTAGTGTTTGTTGTATAGGGTTGATGATAATGTTGTCAAATAATAAAAATACATCTGTTATAATATTATATGCTTATCATATACACATATTTTTTTTTTTTACTATAAAATATCTCTCTTCTTCTATAAATGATACTAGAATATTACATGTATGCATTTTCTTTTCTTTTTTCTATTAAATAAAGAATTTTATTATACAAGTAATAATAAGCAAGCTATATTATATAGTATAATGTGAAGAAAAAAAAACTATAATATACGCTGATGATCTCTTCCCTCCCCCCTTTTTTTTTATTACTATTATGCATGAAAAAAAAAATTGTAGCCAATAACAATTAATAACGATGATAAATGTTGTGACCTTTTTATTTTATTTTTCTATATAAGGAGACAATCTGTTTTCCCTTTTTTTTTTCTTTTCTTTTCTTTAGTTCAAACTACATAGTAGTCACTACATAGTAGTTGTAGTAAGTTATTAAGAGACATGGATGGTACGATTCATACATGTTGCCCGTGCCACTATGACTGTGGCATAGAAGCTTTTTTTAGTATTGGAGTCCGCTTCAGTGCTAGAGGAAGTTAGTCGACTGTCCAGTCACATTTATCCATATCATGTCCTCTTCAATAGCTTCTACAAATTGTCGGATTTTGGTACCAAACATATCCCTAACTAGGATTAGATTAATATTTGCATTCAGCTATTTATCATGATCTATATGTGTATATATGTTCTATATATATGTATATATGTTCTATATATATGTGTATATATGTCCTATATATATGTATATATCGTGAGCACGTAATTAAAGTGTTTTAGCAGAGGCATACATCAATACTTTTATTATTATTATTATTATTATTATTATTATAAATGAAATAAAAATTATACTATTTTTTCCCTTTTTTTTTTTTTTTTTAAAAAAAAATAAAGGAGAACGTGTTTCACATTTATTAGTGTTATTATACTTTTAAAATAATAAAAAAGAGAAGCAAAGTCAATCTCCAACACAGCTTTTATTTTCTATTGTTATGGAAGAGTTGGTAATCGTTTTTAATGTTAATAAAATGAAAGTAAATCGTTTATAAGTGTTAAACCAAGTTAAAGATTGTAGACATATCATTGAGGGCTAGACCACAACATATAAATATATTCATAATATATATTGTTATAATTAAAGCTATTACAATAGCTGGAATACAGTAATTCTAAGGTAAGAAAAGCGTTTATCCTAAGGTGTAATGATATATTATAAAGAATATAATATAAGGTTAAGATAGAGCTTTTTGGGGGAGGGGAAGCAAGAACAGTGCATTTCTATGAGTTCCATCTATTGTAAGAAACAATGCAGCCCAGCTTGAAAAAAAAAGCGTACTATCTGGATAGAGGAGTGGGCACAAAAAGAATTGAGTTACCTGCAAAATTATGTGTTCCTAGATAAAGTTAGAATATAACCGTTAACATGTTTCACGCAAAAAACCTAGTCTAGGTGTGATAAACCTGCTATTGTTTAAATTCCTTCAACAAAGATTATTTCACATTCTGTATTGAGGGAGGAAGCCATGCCTGTTATTAGTATTGTATATGTGGTTATAAGGGAATCTAGGAAAAAAAGTAGTCGAGGTAAAATAAACACAAAACGTTTGAAGATCAACTATCAGTCCCTCCCAGGGAGGGGGGAAATTATAAGTGTCCATTATATATACTTCATCGTCGATACTACCATGGATATTGTGAATACCTTGTCAGGTATGAAATAATCTCACACAGTTAATGGATAATGTCCTCATCTATTACATTCCTGAGATGATTGATCCTTTGATCATAAAATAAGGCTATATTCTATCAGAACCTAATTCTAATGAACAATTCCAAGTCCAAGATTAAGCATCATTCATTAGAGGATATAAATACTTTGATTACAGAAACCCTTGAGGCCTGTAAAGCAGTTCTCCTTGAGCATCTTCATTATGTCGTAATGTTAAAACTATCAAGAACATTTTTGACATCTTTGTCTTTTTTTTTTTTTCTTTGAGACCTACTTGAATGAAGGTCCTTTGGTATTCCAATGATTAAAAATAAAAATTAAATATAATTTGGGCCATTAAAGTATCTTTGTGTATGTAATTGATGCTACACTCTCATACATTATTGCACTAAATATTTTTATATTATGTAAGATAACCTACATTATCAAATTGCAAATTCAACTGGACCTCAAGTCAAAAAAAAAAAAAAAAAAAAAAAAAAACTCTTAAATTGTTCACAGATAAGGTGAAATATTACATAGTCATACAAAACAAACCATTTATACATCCGAATATAAATAGACAGTAATGTTACTCTTTTTATAGAAATTGGTTCTTTATTTCTTTCTTAGAAGCAGTAATTTATTAATATCTGCTTTGTGGGTCTTAAAGTACAGGTAATTTACAAAATACTCTTAGAGCCATGAATAGACTTGAATCTTTTGTTTCTTGAGACAACATTGACGTGAGATAGCTATGGCGATGGATACTGTTGACTCTATCATCTTAGAGAGGGGTTTTGTACCAGTATATCTTTCTCCTTACTCGCCTGAGCTCAATCCTATTTAGATGCTTTGGAAAGCGTTAAAGGACCAAGTGAGAAAAGGTGAATTGACAGATGTAGAAACACTTTCTTCACGAGTAATTAAAGGCGGTGAGGATGTTCCTGTTGGACACATACGAAAAATTCATCCAGTACTCGATCAATGTAGTTTCTAAATGCTTGAATAAAGAATAGTTGTAATCGTTTTAATCTTTGGTCTTGAAGGTGAGCAATTTATTCTTGAAATGCTGGTCAAATTAATTTCAAATACTTGCCCAAATTTGTCATTTTTTTTTTTTTTTGGACAATTTAACCTAACACAAGTATCTAAAATTATTCAAAAAAATCGGCAAAACGAGAGTGGAAGCACAGTATTACGAACTTGCCTTGATTGGCTGCCTGGTGGTAAACCAAAGGAATGTCTCTTTCACTCAAACCAAAACTAGAGTCGACATCATGCTTACACATTCACAAATGCTTGTATTCCTCCTCTCACAATTGATGACCCAATATCGTTTCTTCTCAATATGCTCTTCCACAGCGTAGACCCCGTCGTAACTCTGATTGTCTTAGCTAGTTTATTCTCTGGTCTATCCTTTATACCATTTTACATGAATTGGATCATTATTTTCATGATAACTTTCCTCCTCCTGTTGATCCTGGTCGCAAACTGTTGAATTATTGATCCAAGTAATAGTGTGAATCTCTATGCTTATTCTGACCTCTTTTTATTTTTTTCATTTATTATATTTCTTTTCTTTTATTATTCTATATCTTTCAATTCTTTTGTTCTTTTCTTTTTCCCTTTCTTTTTCTTTCTTTTTTTTTCTTTTTCCTCTCTTGTTTCTTGAGAGGTTTTATAATTCTTATAATCACTTTATAACTGGCTCGGGCAATACAGCACATTTCGTCGCTATATGCCTATTGCCGAAAAAAAAAAACACCGAAATAAAATTAAATTTAATCGTATTACAAGCTTGTATTAATTTTCAGGTACAGCATTCTTTTAAACCAAAGCATAAACAGAGTGCTGCAGCACTTTTATATACAAACATTTATATAGGTTAATAAATAACAAATCAAAGATTCAACTTGTGATATTTACCATCCCCAACAGCAGGCATCCTTTGATTTTTTAGGTACTGAATGAACAATGACTGTTTCTGGAGGTGGCGTAGGTTGATAATAAAAATGACCATGTTGTTGCGTACCTACATTAAAATCTTCCGAGTTTGTATTTATTTTTTACTATTATCATTATTATAAAATTATTCATTATTATTACCATCTTTTCTTTTGTCCAAAGACCATGGTTTTGCATGTAAAGAATGAGAATCACTATAATGAGAGAAAGCTTGTTCTTTATTCATTGCATCATTAAAGTAAAAAAAAAAAAATAAATAAATAAATCAAATGAAAAATAAATCAAATTAACATTAAAAACGAAATCAGAATAATAATAAAAAAAAAAAGTTTACTAATGAATACAATAGAAGCGATTGTCCTCCCTTTTATTTGCTGTAGTTAAATAATAATAATAATAATAGTTCTTAAACATTAAAAAAGTCACGAATTTGACATAAAAAAAAAAAAAAAAAAAAAAAAAAAAAAAAGATTAATTATCTCTTAAAAATGTCGCATGAATTCTATGGCTGCCTTTCCCCTTTATTATTATTATGATTAATGAATATTAATTTAAGCTCTTTTAGTGGTTAATTTCATCAAATCAAATCAAATTAAAATAGACATATTTATTGCCGCCGAGTTCTCCTTTTATGACTCGATTCAGATTTATGTTTGTAGAAATATCCTTTTTCACCATTATTTAAATACATAGTGAGTCCTTTCAAAAAAAAAAATTACTACTCTAGTAATAAACATAATTAAAATATTCATCTTTTTATTAAGCTATGATGATGATGCTAGGAACTTTTTTTTTTTTCCCTGAAAAAATAAAATAAAAATAACGAGCCAATTAAATTTAAGAAAAATATTTTTTTTTGTGTGTGTATACGTGTGTAGTAGACGCGTTTTCTTTTTTTTTTTTTCTTTTATTTACAAGGAAAAAAAATTCAAAAAAAAAAAGATTAATTAATCCAAGATGGCTGACATGAACGCTATTGCTAAGGCTTTTACTGATTTCTATTATCAAACTTTTGATCGTTCTAGACAAGAATTAGCTTCTCTTTACGTAAGTATTCGAAATATATATGTATATACAATGAATGGATTGAAAAAGAACAAGTAATTAAAGTTGACAAAAAAAAAAATTTTTTTTTATTTATTCAAATAGAGACCTCAATCCATGCTTACTTTTGAAGGTCAACAATTCACAGGTGTTCAAAATGTTATTGAAAAGTTAGCCGTAAGTAAAATTAGGTTAAACTTGATGATAATATGCCCCTGTCTCATCACATACTCTTTTCCCTTTATTTGTGTGTGTGTGTGTGTTTATTTAGTCTCTTCCTTTCCAAAAAGTTCGTCATCAAGTTTCTACTATTGATGCTCAACCTGGTAATCCTAATGGTGACACCATCATTGTTGCAGTTACCGGTGCTCTTTTGGTAAAGTTTAATTAAAACTGAATGCCAACGTACAACATTTATTAATTATTATTCTTTTACCAGGTCGATGATGAACAAAACCCTCAAATGTTCTCTCAAACCTTCCATTTGGTTCCTGAAGGTTCTTCTTATTGGGTATTCAATGATATTTTCCGTTTGAATTATGCTTAAAGAATTCGATAATAAATATATACATGTATATAAATATATATAAATATATACAAATATATATGTATACAAATATACACACATACACATCTTATATATACAGATATCTATTCTTTTTTTTTTTCTTTTTTTACACATAAAACAAAAGATGCTTTATTTTTATATAAAGAAAGAGAGAGAGAGAGGAAATAATACATTAAGATATTATGCTTAAACAGCAACAGGAGTTGCCTTCTTATCAAAACTTGCTAAAATATTTTGACGAATATTAAAATCATCCAACTTGGAAGAAGAGACATCATCTGACTTGAGAATCTTGGAAAGACGTTGCTTTTCAGTATCAAGGAACTTATCGCCATTCACAAGCATCTTTTCCATGATTTTAGCATAATAGTTAGCATAACGAGTACCTAATTCCTTTGCAAATTGTTGAGCTTCCTTTTGGATTTCCTCACGTTTTTCCTTTTGATGTGTCATGAAACGAATAGCCAATTCATCTAATTCAGGAATACGGCCCGCCTATGAGACATGAAAATAGAGTGTGAGTTTCATTCAGGCAAATAAATTAATATACAAGATGGATATACTTACATCTGATTCCAATCCACCTCCTACTTTACGCTTAGTACCAGTATGTTCGTTAAGGAAGCTAATAAAAGCAGCTTCAGAACGAGCACCAGAATAAGCAAAAGGTGTACTTTCACCAGCAGGGAATAATTTGATAGTAGGATAACCTTCAATATCAAACTCTTGTCCAATATCTGCTTCATCTGCAGCATTAATCTTTGCAATGACAACATTGGGTTCATTAGCAAAGGCATGACCAAGTCTTTCCCAAATAGGAGCTATATATATATGTATATGTGTGTGTATGTGTGTGCATACATACATGTTAGTTCTTGAAAAGTTTTTTTTTCTTTTTTTACTTTACCAAGGTTTTTACAATGTCCACACCAAGAAGCATAAAACTCAACAAAAACGTGCTTTTTAGGATTAAAAACGATTTCATGGAAATTCTTTGAATTCAATTCAACTACGTTTGATTTTTGAGCTCTAATACGGGGAGCAATTCCAGACTTTTGTTGAACAAAAGAAGCTAAACTGTTTAAATCACGAGCACCTTTATAATCTTCAACACCTTCAGGAGAATGAACACCCTTGGGAAACCATTTCAAAGTAGGGAAACCTTGAATACCATAAGCAGAACCTGTTTCACGATGTTGATCAGCATCTAATTTGGCAATAATCACGTTTTCCTTTTGATGAGCAAAAGCATCAGCCAATTGACTATAGATGGGAGCTAAATTCTTGCAGTGACCACACCAGGGGGCATAAAATTCAACAAGAGCAGGCTTGGAACCATCGATGAGTTGCTTAAAGTTAGCATCTGTCAAGACAAGAACGTTACCGTCATGTTCAACAGTGTTGGAAGATTTAAGAATAGGTGAAGTCTTTTCGCGAACCAATTCAAGAATGTCACTCAATGAATTGACATTCTGAAGTTGAGCAAAGGCATTATTAACTTGTCCTGCAATCTTTTCAGGTGTGATTGATTTAAGTTCATTTACGTAATGGTGTAATTGGTCCTTATTGAGTTGTTTGGCGTTTTCTACCAAGTTAAAGGCAATTTGTCCTCCTTGATAATAATCATAACCAAGGAAAGCCGCATTCACGGCAATTAATAAGAAAAAGAGTTTTTTAAAAAAAGACATTTTTTTTTTCTTTTCTTATTTATGAAAAAGAAAAGTAAAAACGAAGAAAAAAAAAAGATTACTACGTGTACTAAAATTATTATTTATTTTGGGTGGGTTTTTTTTTTTTAACAAATCAATTCGCTCCAAGTATAAATTTTATATTATTCTAAAATTCTATTCATATTAACGTGTAAATATGAGAATCAAAACCTGTTTACTAATAAAATCTAATTTCATAATCATTTTTATCATATAATCTATATTACCTTGGGAAGAGATTCAAATCAATCCTTAACATGGTATTATAATACAAATACAAAAATACAAGAAGTTTCATTGTTTCAAAGATATAATACGAGGTATACCTAATTTTCTAACATTAAGTTTAATTTTTAGTATTCAACAAGTTGGTCTCCTTTAGGTTTCTTTGGTTTAAAATAATAACAAGTCAGACTTAAAATCACATAAAGCAATAAAAGCTATTTACATAAGGATTCAAGAAAGGTAAAAAGAAAAAATATGAGCAATAAAATAACTACTTGTCTATATTGGATGCACTTGATTTATTTAATGATACACAAGCGACAAGATTACCTATGAGCCCGAATATTACCATTAGTCAATTAGGCACGTAGACAAATTTAATAAATGAATAGCAATACATCTAATATAAACAAGTTGGGCATTATGTATTTGTAAGGGAAAAAAAATGTATTACATGAAAGTCATAGATGGCGTCACTCTTCATATTAATCATAGAGGATTCAATTTCCAACTTAACATACTTTTTTATATTAAACTGTTATTATTTTAACATGCTTCATTTCTTTCAGATCAAGCTAGTATACAATAAGAACTATTTGTAATATTTAGCTATAAAACATGTATAATCTCTCTCTCTCTCTCTTGTCAGTAATAGAAGAGTATAATAGAATCTAATAAAATAATAATAACAATACATGTATTTTATATACACTATTGTTTCAAATAATATTTCATGTAAAACTTCTTTTCATAGAATATAACTAGTAAGCTTTAGTTTATATTACATATTTAACTTTGTATACACATACACATATGTATATGAATAGAGTCATACTACAAACATATTATATACATACATATATATATATATTGCTATAACTAAGTTAATAGAAATAGACCACCATCATTTATCAGATAATAAAGAGGCTATTCATATATAAAACTAGTATATTGTACTGTACTCTACAACATAATATTCATTTCACATTCAGTTTCAATAATAGTCATTATTAGAATATTTGAGCATTCATAATAAGTATGTACATCATAGTATGTATGTAATAATAAGAATATATTCAGAGACACTATTTTTTTTTTATATATGATTCTTTATTATGACAGTATTTGCTTGTCCACATCATATTTCGTTCAATGTCGTTTACCTTGTAAAAACATTATATAAATAGCTCTTGACATTTATCCGTATTATTATTATTATTTTTTTTTTTTTTTTTTTTTCATTTAAAGCTTTATATTTATAAAAATTAAAGTTCCATTAGCCAACAATATTTTACTATTGTTGTTGTCCAAGAGTGGCCACGAGGAGGCTGAACTTTATGCACTCTCAAAAGTTGGTTGTGCGTTGCTAAAAGCATTGCACAGATAAAATACTCAATATAATACAAGCAACACGAAAGAATAATAATTCCCACTTTTTTTTTTTTTTTTTTTTTTTCCTTTAAACCCCCCAATTTACACCAAACATTCCAAAAATCACCAACATTAGAAAATTTTTCATTTGTGTTTAGGAGTTCCATTAGCCAACAATATTTTACTATTGTTGTTGCCCGAGAGTGGCCACGAGGAGGCTGAACTTTTGCACTCTCAATTAATTTGGATAAAAAAGAAAAAGAAAAAAAAAAAAAAAAAAAAAAAAAAAAAAAAAAAAAAAAAAAAAAAAAAAAAAAAAAAAAAGAGAGGAATATTGACCTCCTTTTATATCTTTTTTTTGGGGACTGTTATTCTCTTTTAAGACTTTGTTTTATGCATTTACGTGGGAAATAATAATAAGCTTTTTTTTTTATTATTATTATTGCATACTACCAAAAACGATAACAGTTTATTCACAAAAACGTATAAACAGGTTTAGTTTATTATAAAGATAAAAATTCTCACTCCCCCTTTTATTTTTTTTTCTTTTTTTTTACTTGTAATTTAACAAAAAAAAAAATATTCAACTATCAACAAGTTGAATGGATTATACTACACTCAAGATATTGTATTGTATTTTAAATACGATTCTTTTTATTACGTATAGAACCTGCTCCAGCTAAAATTAAAACATTGTTTATATTATTGATAATATAACTTAAACCGCATTATTTATATATGCTCATGTTCTCATTATATAACGTATAATATGATGTTGACAACAGTTGATATGGTGACGATGATGTAACTTTATATACATTATCCTATTACAATAAATTAAAGGGGGGATGAGGGGGTGGGGCTGAAAATTATAGAACAGGTTTCCTTGACGATGATGATGATGATGATATTCTTTACCCCTTGGATACGATAACACCTACCATATATAGTAGATCAAAAGTATATATATATATATATATATATATATTTTGCATGAATTAACGAAAAAGAAGGAAAAAAAAATATACAGTTATAAATGTTTGAAAATCAATAGATTAAAAGGAAAAAATAAAATAAAATAAAAAGAACTAGTGTAGCAAAAAAAAAAATGTTTATTTGCACAACAACAAGAGGATGACTCTATTTGAGAATAAGATATTCAATCATGGGCTTGTATTTCTGAAAATCCTTCCCCTTAAAATAAAAATCCTTTGTGTTACATAGTTCTCAATGTATCTCTTATATATTAAAGACCAGACGTAAGCGGCATATTTTTATTAGATAATTCTAGATGAGGTCTATTTTATATATAACAGCTAATAATATCTAGATAGACTATCACTATGAAGAAGGGAGTGCTATATTTGTATAAAGAAGCCTTTTTAATATATTCATTATCTTTTTGTTCGACTAAAAAATTATTTGTAGGTTTTAATATTACTTTTGTTTCTCCCATTTTTTTTTTTTTTTGATAAATACTATGCTAGCTTTAATAAAGAGAATTACTTTACAAAAGATATGTATATTATCTTGTTGCATTCATTCAATTTCATTCTTAAAAGAAAGAAAAAAAAACCCTCTCCCCCATTCATTTTAACATGACTATCAAATATCTTTGTGGAATTTTTTGATTGAAAACAACATATCGAACATTTATCTATTCCAACTATAAATTTGATTATAATAGACATGTATATTATTATTATTATTATTTATAATATAATACTCGTTTATCCGATTTAAAGAGTTCACGTATAGACGCTAATATAAATAATTTATGGAGTATTCTTTCTAAATATCATTACAAGTATAGTCCTCTAGATTAAGATCAAAAATAACTATCTGTTACGGTACGGTATTTAACTAGATCAAATGAAGTTGAATCATCTTTTTTACTTGATTCAAGATAATTTATATAGACAACTATGATTATTTTTTTCTGACTGGATCGATGTGTATAAATATTTAGGAACTAGACGATGATTTGTACTCTTAAAATTACTTTCATAGTAATTCAATAAAGTGCATTATCTCAGGTAATAAATAGATATGAAATATGTATAAATACTTTTAAAATAATAAAGAGATAGCTGGATTTTTTTTTTTTTTACTAAAATGAACGAAAAAAAAAAAAAAAAAAAAAAAAAAAAAAAAAAAAAAAGACTATACGTTCAAAAATTCAAGACATATTTTAATATCAAAGCTTATCAAACACTTATAAACGTATATATACATATGCATTTTCGGAAGGATATATTCTAATAACACTGAATGTATCAACTAAAAGATATTGTTTTACTCTAATACATTATATTATTTTACACGAGATCAAAAAATATATATATATATGCATGTCATAAAAAAAAAATATGAATCAATTGAAAATGACCCAAATTCTCTAAAAACGTGTTACTTGTCTTTTATTATTTTTTAAGATTGAGTTTAAATATTGTATAGTAACAAGAAGAAACAATGATGGCCACTCTTTTTTTTTTTTTTTTTTTTTTTTGAGGGGAATATTAAATCGGAAAACTAATATTTGCTGTATTTAATAAATATAGAGACCCAAGAATTTCTTATGTTTAAGAATTTTTTTAATTTCCTAGTAAAAATATAACAGAAAAAAAAAAAAAAAGAAAGAAAGGGATAAATTAACTATATACAGTCAAAAAGACCATTTTTCTTTCTGTACATACATGTTATGTAAAGATTTGAAAAGAAATAGGGATAAATTTATTAATTAATGTTGCATATATGAATACGATAAAATAATAGGGCATTTAAGAAAATGCTTATTATTTTGAAACAAAAAAAAAAAAAAAAATAAGAATTTGCTTATTAAACACGTTTTTGAATATAAAATATATAAATATAATTGTCAAGTAAAATATTCATCCTTTTTTATTTTATTTTATCCTTATTGTTATTAAAGAATACCTTTTCGTTAAAATGAAATCACATTTGGAACTAAAAGAAGATAATTTAAATTATTTAATTTTATATTTGGCTTTATTACAATCAAAGGTCTTTTGGACATGTTCAGTACTTTATCATGTTTTTAAGAAATCAGAATTTATTATACACAAAAGTCAACAGACAACAATAAAGCGTATTACAGACTGTCCACCTGTCATCAATAAAAAAAGAACAACGTCTGATTCAAATATTATTTCAATAACAGAAAAGAAGACATTTAAAGAAGAGAAAGAAGAAGAAAGTACTACTGAGCAAGATATGAGTTTAACATTACCTAATACTTCACCTATTCGTCATCGACCCACTATTGAAGATGAACGTAATGGAACAACATGTCCTCCTGTATGGTGGCAAAAGACTCAAGTTAAACTTAGACGCACTCGTATATCCAAGTCAAACACTACTACTAGTACTAGTACTACTACTACTACTACTTTATCAAATTTGAATAAAAAACAGAATCAACGAGCTTCAACATATCCTTTGTTAACTGTATTTTCTACTAAATCATCATCATCATCATCATCATCACCGTCGTCGTCGTCTATTCATACCTTTAACGAAGAGCATATACCATTCTCGAAATATACAGCAACAATTGAAAATATCTCAGATCATCAACAAAAGAAAAATATTAAAAAGCTTGTGACTAAACTTAATATTGCTTTACATAATATTCCCCGTCATCGAAAAACTAGTTTATCTGATTTGAAGAAAAAGAAGTCCCTCTTTTTTTAAATAATTGTATATATATTAAATGTAAATATGTAAAACAATGCCTCTTTTAAAATTATATATAAAAAATTAAAATAAAATAATAATAAATAAATATTTATACCTTTTTTTTGCTTTCATACTTTTAACGTATTATTACTACTTGGATTAATGATTGTTTATTTATTGAAGCAGAAAATATTCGTTTTCTTTGTTTTTGCCTTTTATAGAATACATACATAGATAAAAATGGAGATGACTAGCATTTATCAGTTAATCAGAGATCGTATGATGTATCAGATAATTAATTTTCATTTTTTTTTTTTTTTTTTTTGAAACTGATAAATCTAATATCTGTATAAATCAGGTCATAATTCATTTTTTCATTCATTCAAAAAATGAATAAATAATAATAAATCCTAATGATTATTTGCAATCATCATTTGCATATTGTTATGTAATAATGTTCCTCAGTAGAAAAAAAAAAATAATGCAAAATGATATTTTTTTTTTCTAAAGCTAGTAGTAGATAAAAAGTGTTGCTCGTATATTACCGGAGTTCAAATCGATAAAACAAGAAACGTCACATAAGCTCGGTACTTGTTATCATTTATAGTACCATTTATACAATCAAAAATCATCATCATTTAAATAAAAAATTATTTTTTTTTTTTTCTTATTTACGACAAAGAAAAAATAAAATAATAACAATCCTTTTTATTCTTGTTATTTATTATGGCAATATCAGATTCAAATAATAAAAAATCAAATAATAATAATTATGAAGTCTCTGCCACTATATGTTTTAATTGTGGTACAACGACAACTCCCTTGTGGAGAAGAGGACCCAATGGTGAAACAATATGTAATGCCTGTGGTCTTTATTTAAAAGCAAGAAATACATTGCGTCCACCTACTATGAAACGTAAAGTAAAGAATAAGCAGTCTAATACGAATACTACTACTACTATTACTACTACTACTACTACTACTACATCATCATCATCATCATCATCACTATTGACAACGGAAAACTCTATACCCTCTACTGAAAACCCACCAGCTGGAAGTTGTCCTGGTGGAGGTCAATGTAATGGTACTGGTGGGTCTGCCTCTTGTAAAGGATGTCCTGCTTATAATCAACATCAAGTGAATCGACATACACTTATTTGTGCTAATTGTAGGACAACAACTACTCCACTTTGGCGTCGAGATGAAATGGGAAACACGATTTGTAATGCATGTGGTCTTTATTATAAACTACATAATGTGCATCGACCTGTTAGTATGAAACGAAGTGTTATTAAACGTCGAAAAAGAATTATTATTACTGATAAAGATGGTCATTCAACTGAAGAAGAGCAAGATGAATTAGAATCGACATCTTCATCATCGGATAGTTCAAGTAATAGCTCGTGTGTTGATGATGATGATGAAGAGAAAGTGAAACAACACATTGAAAAGAAAAGAATTAAAAAAAGAGAAAAGAAGAGAAAGATAAAAAGAAAAGAAGAACGAATATGTCAAGCAAGTACAGCTCCAACATCAATAATGACTACTATAGCAGTACCGCCTATTGAAGATTATATTATACCTAAACGAATGACTATAAAAGAACAACAAAAACAAGAGCAACAGTCCAGTCTTGTTCGAAGCAATAGTTCACATCGATTACCACCTCCACCTACTACACCTCCTTTAAACCCTACCACGCTCCAATCAAATACCACCACCCATTTATTACCATCACTATCTACTACTCTTAATCACTCTAATAATACTACTACTATGACTCCTGATAGACCTACAACTCGATTTGATCCTTTGTTTAATTATCGTCGATCTTCACCATTAAAAGAAATCAATTTACCTCCTCTTACAAATAATTTAAATACAATCAATCCATATCAAGACTTGCATGATTTTGATGAAGCCATGACTCGACTTGAAAGACTTAGAAGACGTGTGCCGCCAGAACAAAGTAAAGTCTTGTCTAGATTAACTGATGCCCTCGAAGATATTGTGAATCAAGCCGAAGTTATTCTTTCAAGTACACAATATAACAAACCATCATCTTCTTATCTGCATCATCCTAATTCACAGCAACAACTTCATAACCCTCGTTTATAAAAATAAAAAAAAAAATGTTTTATTATGTAATATAGTAAACAAAACAAATAAAGTAAAGTAAACAGAGAAAACAAAAAAAAAATGTATTTTTTTCTTCTTCTTCTAATAACATGTATAATAATCACTCAAATACCACCACTAAACAGCAGGTTTCTAATAAGAATAATTGTAAAAAAACTTTATCTACTTTATTAGGTCCTTTTAATAGAGAAATAAAAGGTCAATGTTATACCATTTGTTGGTCATCATCTTCCATACCAATAAAGTCATCACCTCATCTCACTTATCGATTTATGACTGTTAAAAGACAATAATAATAGCCTGTTTACCATTTAACTCATGTATTCATTTCTTTTATTTATATTTAAACAAATCATTTTTTATGCTTGAAGAAAGAAAAAAAAAATTTTTTTTTCACCTTGCCTGCCTCTTTCCTGGTGTAGTCTTACATTTATCGTCGTATATAATCTATGAATTCTTTTTGTCCTCTTATCTTTTCTTTGTATTCTTCCCTGTTTTCAGTCTTTTGGCTTCATTGTACTTTTTTCCTCCATTAAATAAGATGTTGGTCATCTCTTTATTCGACCTTTGTCTGCCTTGATAATCATTGAAACGAAAGGGGTTGTAGACCTTTCATTGTAGAACCTGAAGATTTGGGGGACCCATGTTTGAGGGCATATACAATCTATAAATGCTCCATTTTTCAATGTCTACGGTTTTTTTTTTGTTGAAGGGAAATCTGTCTCGATGCTTTTAATTAAAGTTTTTCTACATGATAAGCCCTTCTCCTCTTGGAGCATGTATAACAATGTGTTGCTCTTTAATCTTGCATCTTATTTCTTGTTGATCTTCCTCATGGCGTAACTGTCGCTGTAAACATATGATCTCTGCCTGGGTCAACAGCACAAGAAAGCAAAGACCAACAACTCTTATAGCATCTAATTCAAACAGTTTTTTTTTTTTTTTTTTTTTTTTTTTTTTTTTTTTTGTAAATTACCTTAGGTATTATTTACAGGCAAAAGATTTGGCTTGTCTGTAAAACCAAGACAATTTAGACACTAGTAATATTCGTTCAATAAAAAAAGAAAGGAAAAACAATTCCAGAGTGTCTAAATTTCTTTCAAAATAAAATCTTAATCGTCTAATTTTTTTTTTTGGAAATAGTCTTAAAAAACAGTAGTTTATTTAAACTTTTTTTTTAAAAAAAAAGGGGAGGGGAAATCACTACTTATATACGTATAATACATAACTAAGGCTAAGTTTTAATAATCTCTCTTTATTTAATTTAAATAAATACAGCTATAATGCAACGAAAATAAATAATAGTAGAGGAAATGTCGTCAAATGATATAAAGATTTCCAATTAAAAAAAAAAAAAAGGATATCTCTCTTTTTTTATATTTTTTCAATAATTTTGGGAAAATGTCATTTAATTAAAAATCCGACAATTAGTTTTATTTTTTATTTGTTTTTATTTTTATTTTTTATTTTATTTTTTATAATTACAACTTTAAAATATATAAAATATAGTAAATAAGCATATTTTGTATATTATATAACAATTCTTTATATCCTCTTTATATAAAACATAACATATTTTCTTTTTCTTTTTTTCTTTTTTTATTAGTATAATAAATTTTGAATCTAATCCATGGATTCAAAATGGTAATAAATAAATAAATTCAACTTATTTAGTGTCTAATGCTTTATTTAAATTTAGTTCTTCAAATCCAACTGGAAGGGGTCCTCGTAATTATAAATGTATATATGACCCTGAACTAGACTTCCAAGGTTTAAGAACAAGTAATCATCCTTTATTTGAATATGGCGATGAATCTGTAAATAATTCAAACAATTTTTTTTTTCTTTATAATATTTTATAATTAGCTAACTTTAATAATCTCTTAGTCCTTAACTTCTCCACAAGATCCTCGACAAAATAAACTTGTTTATGAAAGAAATTTTTTAAAGAGTCGTTTCCTTTACAAAAAATATCTTTATACAGTTGAATATAAAGTAAGATTCAAATTTTTATTATATTCTTCTTTATGCGATGCGCGTTAAAATTAATATCCATTGTCAACTCTAGTTTGATGAACACTCAGTAGGCACAAAGCCTCCTAATACTATTTTAGTATCTCGTTTATCACCACTTATGACAGATACTCAAATTATGACTTACTTTTCAGTTTATGGTCAAGTTCAATCCGTTGAGATTGAGAAATGTCCAAATACAGGTGGCTCATTAGGCATTGCCCATGTTACGTTTGTTTCGGATGATTTAAATGATGGTCATGCTGCTGCTTGTTTAGCTGTTGAAAAGGGAAACGGTCGTAAAATGGGTGTTGCTGAATCTGTAAAAGTTTGCTTTGATCCAACAGGTAACCAAAAAAAAAAGTAAACCTTTAAAAAGAAATAATAAATTTCTAAATACATTTACATATTATGATTAGGCAAACAATTAAAATTAGCTATTGATGAAGCAAACAGACCACCTTCTTTACCGTCACAAGAATCAAGGAGTCCTTCTTTAGTTAGTAATCATCGCTCATCTAATACACCTCTATATAATAGTCGACATCATCATCATCATCATCATTCTTATTATGATTATTATAGTGGTAGTGGTAGTGGCAGTAATAGAAGATATCATCATTATTCTGAAGATGCAGATGACTATTGGGATGGTCGACATTATTCTCGTTCTTCGCGTGATCATTATCGAGATGAGCGAATACCATCTAGATATTATTCTTATCATCGTTATTTATCTCCACGACGCCATCATTCTCCTGAACATTATTCATTACGACGATATCGATCTTCTCATTATTATGATAGAAGAAGTCCAAGTCTTGACTCATATGATAGATATAGTAGAAGCCCAAGCCCTGCTAACAGTAGTCGTAGCAGTAGTAGTAATAAAAGACGTCGACCCACATCAACTCATATAGATAGTTATGATGATAAAAGAAGAAAGTCGAATTCATCAACACCACATCGTATTGTGCATCCAAAGTTAATCATCTCAAGAGAATGTTTACCATTTGTAAGAGGTGTCTTGGAAGAATTAAAAAAGATGTACTATTATTACGATTATATCGATATTTATCATGATGAAGAGGATTGGTTTATTGTATTTGATTCGTTAACAATAGCGAAAAGGGCCTTTGATGAGACAAATAAACAAATCCTGATGGGATATAAATTATCAATTACATTAAAGGATGTATCAGAGAGAACAACGTTATCAAAGCAAAATGGGTCTGATTCAGTAGTCAATGGAGTATTTCATTTAAATGAACCATCATCTAATGAAGTCGCTAGTAGTCTTTCCAATCATAAAATAAGTCAGAATACTACTGTCAATCGCCATACACCAATGACTGCTAAAGAGCTACTCTTTAATCAATTAGCAGATGTTTTCTTGAAAGATTTGAAGAACCGTATCGTTGGACCTACGATTTACGATCATTTAAAATCAATGAGAGAGGTACGAAAACACGAGATGTCACGTATCGTGTCGAGTCCTGATCAAATCATCGATTCAAAGGAAAAGATAGTTGAGTCTGTTATTTCGTCTAACAATATAACAAAAAAGTTGCCTCATTTCAAAAAGAAGTCTTCCTTGTTATTAACTTCTTTGAAGCGTAATGGCAAATCCTATCACGATCTTTATTCTATTTCTACTTTTTCATCAACGGCTGAAGAAGAAGAAGAGGGAGAAGAAGAAGCAGTAGTATCAAGACAGCATGATACCGTTATCTCACAGACTTTAGAACAAGTAAAGAAAGAAGAGACAACTTCAATATCCTCATCGCCACGCATTTTTTCATCCTCTTCTAGCTCTGAAGATGGTGAATATCATTCAGGTCTTGAAGAAGAAGAAGAAATAGACACTAAAGTGAAAAAACCGACAACGAAAGGCCGTCAGCCATTTCGTTTGCGGGACTATCTTAGTAGTGATGATGAATCCAAGAGTGAGGACGTTGGATACGAAGACTTTTTAAAACAATTACGACAAAAGAGTAGTACAGTAGAGAGCGAATCAGAGGATGACTTTATTGTGGAGGATGATGTTAGTTCTCAAAGGAAAAAGCGTAGACGTGTTAATTCAACACAAACAACAAGGAAGATAAAGAAGACGATAAAAAAATCAAAATTACATGAGATTGATGATGATGATGATGAATATACAGATAACGAATATGACACAAAGACAAGAATCAAAAAGACACATAAAAAGAAACAGATACAGAAAAATAAGACGACTTTAACTGAAGAAGAGCCACTACTTGAACGAATTTATGAGATAAAAGAAGAGGCAGCAACAAGGGAAACAAGTGTAGCAAGTTCTGATTATTATGAAACAGATGAAACAGAACAATTGAGTAAAGAGGAAATGGAAAAGATGCTTTTAGCTACAATGGATGAATCGGATAGTGAAGAATTAATAGAGCTCCCAGAGAAACTAGACGAACCACCTGAATGGGATCCTATGAATCAAATTAAAGATCCAGAAGATTTTGCATTTTTGCGTGGGGCTTTATTAGAGAGAGCAGGTTATGAGTTAAAAGAACCTATAACAAATGTAATTAAAGGTGGATGTGCTCGTGTTCGTGGCATAAATGATGCTAAAAAGGCTATACCTAAAAGTACAACAACACGTACAGCCTCAACAGCAACAATAGAACCAGAACTAAGTAATAGTACACCTGAACCCGTCTCATCACCTTCAAATAATCGAATTACATCAAGAGCAACTCGAGTCAATAACCGACGATTAGCAATGGGCATTGAATTACAAAAGAAGACGATTGATTCAGATATTTTGAAATTTAATCAACTTATGAGTCGTAAAAAGCAATTGAGATTTGCTAGGTCACCTATTCATGATTGGGGACTTTATGCAGAAGAGCATATTGATATGAATGATATGGTGATTGAGTATGTAGGAGAAATTATTCGTCAACAAGTAGCTGAGGAAAGAGAAAAGAAATATGAGAGATGTGGTATTGGCAGTAGTTATTTGTTTCGTGTGGATGATGATACTGTAATTGATGCAACTAAATGTGGAAATGTAGCTCGATTTATTAATCATTGTTGTGCAGTAAAGTAGAAAAAGAGTCTTATAGAATTGACATAAATATTAACATTATTATTATTATTTGATAGCCTAATTGTAGTGCAAAGATTATTACAGTAGATAAACAAAAAAAGATTGTTATTTACGCAAATCGAGATATTGAACCTGGAGAGGAAATTACATATGATTATAAATTCCCAATTGAAGCTGATAAGATACCCTGTTTGTGCGGTAGCAAGTACTGTAAAGGAACGTAAGTATTTTGAGTTTAAATTTCAACAAAAAATGGTTTATTCATTATTCTTTTTTATCAATAGACTTAATTAAAATAAGCATACGAATTCTATTACATTTAATACCTATATAATATATATGTATATGTATATGTATACGTAGATGTACATTTGTAGTTATTTTTATATCTAAAAGAAAAAAAAAGAAAGAAAAGAAATGCTTGAATATATTTAATAATAACTAATATAGACAATTTATACAATAAAGTATAGCAGTAATGCGTTTAATATTTTATCTAACAGTAAAGCCGCTTATTTTTTTTTTTTTTTTTTTTTTTTTTTTTTTTTTTTTTATTCTATACACAAAAGTAATGGCATCCACTCATCCTTACAACCAAATAATTTTGTTTGGAGTAATGTTATTTTGCTTTTATTCTAAATTTAAACTATTATTATTAACCCTTTTTTTTTCTCTTAAAAGGACTCAATTACTCAGGTTTAATATACTGTTGAAAATGATTATTGCAAAAAAAAAAAAAAAAAAAAAAAAAAAAAAAAAAAAAAAAAAAATATTAACTGCTATTCTAGTTTAGTTTTGATCCTCAATTACTGGGTTATGGTGCCCTTTTAGCTAATGTAAACCATAAACTTATTTTTTTTTGTTCTGTTTCAACATATCCATAAAGTATAATACTTTTTTTTTTTTTTTTTTTTTTTGCAATGTAGGCCTATGTTCGCAAAGTAGATGTGATTAATCGAGGGTTTTCAGGTTACAATACAGATTGGGCATTACCCATTTTACGACAATTGTTACCTACTGTAAAAGAGCAAGAGGCACAGGCCTGTAGGATTCATCTCATGACCATTTTCTTTGGTGCGAACGATGCTGCTTTACCCATGAGTCCTCAACACGTGCCTCTTGACCGCTTTGAATCGAATCTTTTAGCCATGATTGACCTTGTTCGATCACCTGCTTCGCGATTTTACAACCCTACCCTAAGACTCATCTTGATCACACCTCCTCCTATTAACGAAGTGCAATGGAAAAAGCGTTGTGAGGAGCAAGGGGATGTCTTGAACCGTACAAACGAAGCGGCTAGTCGTTATGCTGAATGCGTCAGACAGGTTGGCCAGAGGGCAGATGTGGTGGTAGCTGATATTTGGACCCGTATCATGAAGAAGACTGCTGAAGGCGAAGGTCGCGACCTATCAGAATTTATGTTGGATGGATTACATTTAAATAGAAATGGATATCAAGAATTGTATGATTTATTATTAGAGATTATTGCAAATAACTTTAAAGACATTCATCCTGATCAATTAGGATATGAGTTGGCTTATTGGAGGGATCTTGTAGGAAAAGAAAACCCACTAAAGCATCTTCATTTCCCATTATTACAAGACAGAAAAATAGATTAAAAAAAAAAATAAATAAAATGAAATCATTAATCATTTAGCTTGTCTGTAATAGTAATATTCTTTGCATGTATTTCTTTCTTTTTTTTTTTTCATTTAGCGTGTTTCTTATATAATCATATTATCTATATTATTTATTAAAATTCTGGGAATCGAGATTCAAAGGAAGGATCTACTTCAGGCGCCTTTGCTAAAGCAGCATCATATTTGAGCTCCTCAATAAATTGTTTTAGATCCTTTGCCACATGATCGCCATATTCAAATTGAGCACGTTCCTCAATCTTCTTTTGATCTTGGTCTTGCTTTCGAATATCTAAACCAATCATGCTCATTTCTAGACGAATCGTTTTCACTGCTTCTTCCATTCTATTCAGTTCAGATGCAATTGAATCCGCATACAGTCTAAACTCTTCTCTTTCCTCATTAATTTTATCGATTTCAGCTTGGTTGATACTTTTACCCGTCAATTTCCCCATACGAGCTGCTACCATAGCCTTTGCCTTTGCTTTAATTCGATCACTCTCTGTAACTTCACCATTAGGCCCTATACCGACAATGTTAAGTGGCATGAAGTTAGTTGTTGTATTTGCTTCTTGTTTTAAAGCCTTTATCTTTCTTTCCTTTAAATCATCCTCTGTCTCATTGAGTCGCACCAATAACCCTCCCTTTAAAGTGGCATCCAATATATATTCAATTTCATCTTCAAGTGTCTTCTCTTGTTCTGCTAGACTTGCTAGCTCAGTTGATTTAGCAATATATTCATCCCATGCATCTCTTGACTGTTCACCACCTGTCTTGGAAATCTCAATCTGTAATTCTCTTATTCTCTCTTTAAGTCCATCAATCTCTCTTTTCTCTAAAGATGATAATGCTGTATAAGGCTTTGCAATTGGCTCCTTTGCTTCTTCTTCAAGTTCTTTGATATATCGTCTTTTCTCTTCAATTTCTTTGCGAAGATCAAAGATACGTGTTTGCTTACCACGATAGCCGTAACTACTACTATTATTATTTGAGGAACTACTACTACTACTACTACGAAGAGAGAGATCACGTGTACGTGTTCTGTCAGGGCCCATACGACGTGCACTCGAGACATAGCCCACATCCGTATCTTCCTTTTCCTTCTTTTGTGCTGTCTTGGGAGATTCAGAAGGTGTGGATCTAAAATTAGCCAACTGACGTTTCTTGGCAATATCTTGCAAGATAGAGTTCTTTAAATGACTCACACTTTCATTCAAATCGCGAGTTGAAGGTGGTATTAACTCAGGTGGTAATGTCTCAGGTAAATTATAACCGTTTAACTTTCGATAGATTAAATGCATAGCTACCGCAAATTCATCCACATTCAGTTTACCTTGATTATTAGGATCTGATAAATTCCTATGATAAGCCTATCCCATTAATATATGTATATTTATTTGTTTTACTTCTTACCAAATTTGCATAAGCACATTTTGCGGTAATCCAGATTGAGAAAAGATTTCCTTTGCTTTTTCACCAGTGAGTATACCCCTCTTCTCTGTGTCCCAAGCTTTAAAAATTTTAGTGTACTGTTTTTTTTCTTCATCAGTGACGGCCCAAGGAATTTTGACGGAAGATGAAAGAGCTTCAAAGGAAGTGGGTGGTGTGTAGTAAGAGGATTGGGGCATCATGCGGTTTGTAAAGTTGAGTGTATTGTTCAACATACCAGAGGGCATAGCCACTTGAGGTGGTAGTTGTCTAGGGCTAGGGTTATATCCTGTTGGTTGAGTCGATATAGATGAATGTAGTGTAGATTGTGGATTATTTAATGTAAGTGCTGAAGATGAATTAGTGATGATGGAAACAGCGTTTCGTAATTCATTACGAATACTGTCTGGTAAAGCACGAGGAATGGTACTGCCTGACATTTTCATTGAAGTAAGATACATGGCTGTTGCAAATTCGGGAAATGTAAGTTGAGGTTGTCCTGTCACATTAGATAAATCCCTTTTTCATATTTATAATGATAATAATAACAATTAATGAAAAAAAAAATAGGATTACCAACTGTTTTCTTACCATATTTGTGCAAGGTTATCATCACCAATGTTTGACCGGGAAAGAACTTCCTTAGCTTCATGTGCTATGATTTTTTTTTAAAAAAAAAGAAGAATAAGAAGAAATAGACTTTTTACTTTTATTTTGCTACAGCTTACTGAGATTTACCCGTCAAAACATGACTTCCTCCCGCAACTTGAGCAAAGATCATTTCATATTTATTTTGGTCTACTTGGGCAAGAAAACTCAACTGAATTCCTATTTAAAACAAGTTATTTAATTATCAGGTATTTTTATTATTATTATTTGTTTGCCTTTGGATGGTCCCGCCATATTCTTATCGAGAAAAGAGGAAAAAAAAAGGAAAAAAAAGTGTAATTAAACCTTTCATATAAAACAGCGCTTTATATCGGAGTTTTATTACATCAATAATTGTTGTTTAAAAAGAGAAGGGGGCATAATATCTTCCATTTTTTATTTAATCAAATTAAATAATGTGGATGTCAATTTCCACTAGACGTAATGTAATAAAACAAACAGCTTCTTTATTTGCATCACGCAATTATGTCACTATACGACGTCAGACTTTTGAATCACTTCATAAAGATAATTCGATTCGTTTGATTTTTGACGATCCTCAAGCCTGGAAACATACACAATCTACTAATGCATCAACACCAGTAGGGCTTTTTGAAAATCCTTATTTTGCAAATCCACAAAGTATCGATAATGCTACTAAGCAAGCTATTCAACGAGCCCAACTGATTGTTGAGCGTATATCTAATGCGCCCAAGAATGGACTCGAAGAAATGCAGAAAGTTGTAAAAAACCTTGATCGACTATCAGATACCCTTTGTAGTGTGATTGATATTGCAGAATTCACTCGAAACGCACATCCTGATCGGAACATGATGGAGGCTGCTAATAAAGCTTATAGTGATCTGTGTTCGTATATGCATACTCTAAATATAGATGCTCGACTTCACCAGGTTTATTCATTATTATTAAAACGAATTAAATACAGTTTTAAAAAAAAAAGAAAAGAAATTAAACATTTTTGTCCTGTAGGTTTTGTCTATGGTACTTGCTGACAAGTCTATTGTTAATCAGTTTAAACCTGATGAGCATGCAGCTGCTATTGCATTTTTGCGCGATTTCGAAAAATCAGGCATTCATTTACCAAAGCAGAAGAAGGAAGAATACGTTTTACTTTCAGATCAAATAATTCAATTAGGTCGTGATTTTATTCAAATGAATCCTCGATCAGTTCATCACGTTCGTATTCCAACTCAATCATTAGTCGGGCTTAATTCAAATGTAATAGAATCATTACCTGGAAAGGGAGGATTTTCTTATATATCAACAGATTCAAATGAATGTCGAATGATTCTCAAGTATGTAAAAAATGAATCTGTACGACGACTTGTTTATGAGGCAATGAACTCAGCAACAAAAGAAAGTATAATGGTACTAGAGGAATTGATGCGAACAAGAGCTCGTTTAGCCACTTTAGTAGGAAGATCATCTTATGCTGAATTGCAATTATTAGATAAAATGGCAAAAAGCCCTAGTAAGTGTTTAAAAATGATAATTAAGGAATTAGGAACACTGAATATATGCCTTTTTTTTTAAAAAAAAAAAAAAAAAAAAAAAAAAAAAAAAAAAAAAGAAAACGTTGAAACATTCTTGAAAACATTATTAAGACATCAAGCGCCTGCTTTTAAAAAAGATTTGGAAAAATTACAAAACATGAAACAAACCGAATTACACCAATCTGCCTTATATAATAAGATACAAGCTTGGGATCGTGAATATTACATGAACTGTTATAACTCAATTCATCGAACACCTGTTACAACACCTTATTTCTCATTAGGCTCTGTTATTCAAACACTTTCGGGGCTCTTTAAGCAACTTTATGGTGTTGAGTTTCAACATGTTCCCTTAAAACCAGGTGAAGCCTGGCATGAACAAGTGAGAAAATTAGATGTGGTTTGTGAAGAAGAAGGTAAGATTGGTACTATTTATTGTGATCTTTTTGCACGTCCGCATAAAACAACGAGTGCTGCCCATTATACAATTCGTACCTCAAGACGTGTTGATAATGATGATCTTCAGAATGATATCAAGTATAGTGGTATTAATGGGTATCAAGGTAATTCTATTTTAACGGGAGAAAGAATTCGAGGTCAAGAGGGACTTTATCAACTACCTGCTATTGTCCTTACGTGCGATTTTACGACAAGCCAGCCTACCTATTTATCGTTGATGGAAATTGAGACATTATTTCATGAAATGGGACATGCCATGCATTCCATGTTAGGCCGAACAGATTTTCATAACGTGGCAGGAACACGTTGCGCCTCAGATTTTGTTGAGCTACCGTCTATCTTAATGGAACAATTCGTATGGCATCCACAAGTTCTACAATCTTTTTCAAACAAGACGATCCCATCAGATACTCTTCATTCACTTGCAGAGTCACGACAACGATTCAAAAGCCTTGAAGTGAATAGTCAAATTTTGATGGCTCTTGTGGATCAAGTATATCATTCAGATAAGGTGAATTGCTCATCATTTTCTAGTGTAAAGGAATGGCATCGTTTGCAAGATCAGATGGGACTGTTTCCTAGTGTATCAGGAACTATGTGGCCGGTTCAATTTGGACACCTATTTGGATATGGGTCCAATTATTATTCTTATCTATTTGATAGAGCGTTAGCAAAACGTATTTGGGAGACAAGCTTTGAGAAAAATCCATTTAATAGGGAAAGAGGACAAGCGTTTAGAGATCATTTACTGAAATGGGGAGGATCACGTGATCCTTGGAAGTGTGTTGCTGATGTTCTTGGAGGAGAAGATGGTGCCAAACTAGCTAATGGAGATGAAGAAGCAATGAAAATAGTAGGAGATTGGGGAATCAATGCTTAAAATAATAAAATAAAAATATTGATAATAAATCCACCATCAAGCGAAGAAGAAGAAGAAGAAGCATTTGATTTTCCGCTATTTATTTTTCACTAATAAAAAGACTAACATTTATTATTGTATCTTTATTTTTTTTTATTTTTTTATTATTACGTATATATTTATTTAAAATAATAATGAGCAATGTACTTGAAACCAAACGGTAAATAATAATAATAATACAAAAAAAATATATATTTTTATAAAACATGCATTGGTCAAATGGGTTTTAATACATAAAAATAGAAAAGCATGGGATGTCATTTTTAATGACCCCAATTTATCTCTCAATTCACTCAGACATCGAGCTATAGCAGGAACTGTTTGTCAAAGTGGATTACGTTCAGTTTGCTGGAAGGTTTCTAGATATACACGAAAAGAAAGAAAGAGCGTTTTATATGTATACTTATATTCTTGTGTGTATGCTTTGTTAGATATTTCTTGGTTATCTTCCTACTCTAGAAGTTTCAACTTGGTCTTCCTTGCAGTTAAAGGAACGACAAGAATATGGAGATCTTAAACGAAAATATATTGAAGAACCTACGAAAAAAATGAAGAATAGTGAAAAAAATGAAGATGATCTTTCAGATAATAATCCACTTGCTCTAAATGACAGTGTATGTATTTAAATGTGTTATATGCATAAAACATATACAAATATATAATTATTATTATTATTATTATTATACATAACAGAACCCATGGCAGCAGTACTTTATTGATGCTGAAATACGTAAAGTGATTCAGCAGGATGTAGAACGCACGTAAAGTTTTAACACATACACACACATACACACACACACAAATATACATATACATATATATATATATATATATATATACAAGTAATGTTTATATGTATATGACCCTATTTCTTTTTAAAGGTTTCCTGATATAGACTTCTTCCGAGACAATCAAGTACAACAAAGTTTAACTGATATTTTATTTATTTATTGTAAATTAAATGAAGATGTATCTTACCGACAAGGAATGCATGAGTTATTAGCTCCGTTGTATTGGGTACTTGCCTTAGAAAGTATAGATCAATCGAAACTGGATTATGATTCATCAGAGTAAGTAAACATGCTTGCTTACTTGCTTGCTTTAATGTTATGTATTTACAATTTATGCTTATTTTATTTTAGTCCTGCTACTAAGTTAATGGTTCAAGTATTGAATTCCAATTTTATAGAACATGATGCTTATATTTTGTTTAATAAACTTATGAAATATGGTAAATCATGGTATGAGTTTAATGATGACATACTGAATAAAAAGAAAAATATATCTACAAACAACAAAATTAAGGTATGCATACATAAATTGCATGTATATACAGCTATCATTTTAACTTTGACATATCTCTGTATAGTCGGATCTATTATCTATGGCCAATAATGATATACCTAAGCCTACCGAAGTAAAATAGAATATATTTACGATATATTTCTTTAAATGTATTTACCCCCTCCCTTCCCCCCTTTTTTTTTTCTTTAGAGTGCTCGATTAAATCCTATAGTAATGACATGCTATCGTATACATCATCATTATCTTCGTACTGTAGATCCATTATTATATCAACATTTAGAAAATTTTGGTATTGAACCACAACTATATGGACTGTAATAATAATAAGAATAATAGAAAGATATAGGTCTAATATATACATGTATATACATATATATATCTATTTTTTTTCTTTTCTATTCTATAGTCGTTGGATTCGTTTACTTTTTGGAAGAGAATTTGATATTTATGAATTATTAAAATTATGGGACGCTATATTTGCTCAAGATCCAACGCTTCAGATTGTGGAATATATATGTTTAGTGATCCTTTTACATATGAGGGATTTATGTAAGTACCTGGAATACAGATGATGTTTTATCATTAAAATTCAAAAACTCCATTATAGTATTGCAAAAGGATTATGCAGAATGCTTAAGCTTATTAATGCGTCCACCTCCTATTTCGAAACCCGCTTCATTAGTTGAACAAGCGAAATATTTGCAAGAAAATTTGTCAACAGATACTGCTTTACATATATTACAGCAAAATGATGTTCGATCAGGAAAGGAACCTCGTAAAAGTATGTCTAATGATATATTTACAGATTCAATGAGACAACATCCACCTTTAAGCCATAAAGGCTCGCAAGGTTTTGAGAGTTTCTCGAGACTTACGAATAATGTGATGAAGAATCCACAAGTGAGAGATTTAAATAGAGCTATTGCTGGTGTTATGGGCACCGTCCAAGTAAGTTTAATTGTATGTTGTTTGTTACAATTATTGTTTATAAAGATGAAAAAAAAATAGAAAAATGTAAATACGTTTGGAGAGAATATTTTGGGTAGTAGTAGACCTCAGGATGGATTAGGACCAAGACATTCTACAGTTTCGTCTGAATTTCCTTCTACTATTGAACGTATAATCACAACACATAAATCTGAGCAATCATCATCATTGCAAAAACCATTATCATCACTCAAGCATAACACTCCAACACAGCAACAGAGTTCTATCAATCATCAAATGGGTGAGATGATGGCAACATGTATTCGACTTTTGGAGAATGAACTATTTCCTTCGTCTGAAAAAGAAGAAATGACTTTAAAAAAAGAAGAATCTAAAATGGAAAATGGGACAGATGATGATAACGAAGAAGGCGACGATATAACACCTTCTGATAAAAACAATCACGCTAATACTCATCAAAAAATATCATTTGAAGAAAGTCCTAATGATATGACGATTATCACAGCACTTGCAGGTCTTAAGCATATACGTGATGTCTTACTCGGAAAACAGACCCAATTAGACTCTAGTGTAATTTCACAGTTTGAAAAAAATGAATCATCATCACCTCCTAGTGATGAATGGGACCTTGTTGACCGTACTGAAATAGCTGCTCTACCTCCGCCAAAGCTAAACAATAGATCGTTTACTTCACCATCATTACTAACTGAAGATAATGAAAAGAGTAAGCCTTTACAGTTTACTCCCTACGTACCAACAACGCCAACACCGCCCAAACAGCATATTAAATATCGAATCGAAGATCTTTTGTCAGATCCAGATCTTCAATTACCGAATCTTAAAAGGGCGACCTCTACTCAAAAATTTAAATGGGTATCAAATAATCATAGTGACAATAACACAAATATCCATTCTGATCATCTATTCAATGAAGCAGATAAAGGATTATTGCTTGGTACTACCAAGCCATCTTCTCGAAGGAGGACTAGTTTTATTCATACTAGTAGTAAAAAGCCAGTCAGTTTTCAGGAACAGCCAAAATCTTACGAAAGTGCTATTGATCCTTTAGATGCCAAGAATGTAGATAATAAAAAGGTTTATGAATATGATCTATCTTAAATTTATTATACAAATTAAAAAAAAATAATAATAATAAAAAATAATAAAAAATAATAAAAAATAATAAAAAATAAAAATAAATAAATTTCATAAAATATGTTATACTATTATCATTAACACCACTTTCCGATCAATGACATGATACCAGCTCCAATGTACATTGAGAGGAAACAAATAGTTTTACGGCCTGTGGATTCTTGATGGAAGGCAGTATTATGACTCATTTCCATGCTCATAAGAGAAACATAGGCATTATAAAGCAAAATACCTGCTGATAGGGAGTCCAAGATGGCCGAAGAGAGGACAGATGAAAAGGAATTTGAATTAAAGGTACTATGAAGCCCAACACCAATTGCAATACCGATGGGCGTCATCCAAATATACAAAAATCCCAAAGCAATAGGTTTGTACCAAGTCTTGAAAGGAATCTCATTTAAACGTGTACCTAAAGCCATACCTTCAAAGAACTATGTAAAAATAGATATGAGTATTTTTTTTCTTTTTTGTTTAATTTAACTTTATTTTATACCTGATGGAAGACAAGTGCAATTAATAAAGTAATAAAGGTATCATTGCCCGTATTAGCCATGGCAATTCCAATTAAAATAGAATGAATAGCAATACCTAGTTCGAGAATATAAGTTCCGAGATGTTTATAAGAGTCTTCACCATCCAAAAAGGCACTATGAGCATGAGCATGAGTATCACCCATATGTGAGTGACTGATTTGTTTTTCATTACTAGTAGGAACCTTTTCATTAAATTCATTTATAGATTGACCCATTTCAGCATCTCGTTTTCTTTTGATATATTTGTTCATATGAGATACAGATGCAATTTCTAATAATTGAAGACCAAATGAGGAAATCATACAAAAGATACCAGCAAAGGCACCATAAGAAAGCCAGCCTGCAGTTAAACAAGGACTGTAAAAGTTTCTAAAGCCTCTAGGAAGCATATGAACAAATGCAGTTGCTAAAATGATTCCTGTACCAACTAATATAACGTTAATATACTTTTTTTTTCTTTTTCTTTTTTTTTATGGAAAAGGAAAATGAAAAAAAAAAAAAAAAAAAAAAAAAAAAAAACTTACAAAATTTTCCTACGGTCAAGATCCAATCACGAGGGCCACCATGTTCATAAGGGCTAACTCTGTGTAAGACAATAGGAGCATATGTTCCTAACGCGCTAGTAACCATAATGATAAAGATAGAGCCTATTCGAATGCCCAAATGATAGTCTTCAACAGGATGACCCTCACACTCGTCTGCATTGCCTATGGCAACACCTAGAAAGTAAAATAAATAATATGTATGTAGTTAGAAATGTGTTATATAAAATGACTACTAACACATATATATTACTACCTTCTGCAGAGACATAGTCGGGTTGATTTATGAATAATAAAAGAGCACATGCTAAAATAAATTTCTTATATTCTATCATTTCTTTTAAATATAATTAATTAAATTGTACAAGGAAAAGAAAGAGATAGGGATGTAATAGAATTAATATAAAACTTTTCTTTCATTGAAGCTACTTTGCTTTATATATATATATATGCATAAATATTTACATAACAGAGAAATATATCTTTTTTTTTTTTTTTTTTTTTAGTTATCTAAAAAAAAAACTGATAAGGTACACATTTTAATATCCAATCATAATCAAAAATTTATGACATAACATTCACGACAACTGATGAGGTACATGTTCCCCCTGCGTTCTGTGATACAAAAAAAAATTAATATCCATATTTAGAAAAATTTTCTTTTTATAATAATACAGGTAAATTGTTTCACTTTTCGTCTTTTGAATAGCTGATAACATAGTTTGAACAAGTATACAAAAAAATATATATATATTAATAATAACTCACATTATTCTTCATATATATAAATGCATTCAGTTCAATTAAAAAAAAAGGGGGGGAAGGAAGGGAATCTTTTGTTGCTTTTAAATATATTTTTCATTGCAACGAACTGTTGATCTATAACTAAATAAATGTGCCTGTCAAATAAAAATTATTCGAGCTTAATTATGTGCAATCATGTTTCATATCCTTGAAATCTGCTTTTTATTCAAGGATTTGTAATATTTATAAACTTTTTTTTTCTTTTGCTTGAAAATTAAAAATGGATCATCAAATTAACTCAGCTTATTAACAGTAGTGTTAATGAATGATAATTTTGCAATCCAATCAAAAGCTGTGTATTATTATCTCTATTGAACATTAAATTGCATCCCTTTTGTGTATATGCGTTTAAAAAAGATTTTCGAGTAGAACTCGGTTTGCTACTATAAATAGCTTTGAATTGTCCATGATTACGAAAAAATTACATTTAGAAATAATGCATAGCGGATTTTTAGTTGTTGCAATGACAAGTAAAATCATAAAGAAAAAAAAAAGCTACGTAAAGCTTATTCAATGCATAGAAATAGTGTACAAGTATCTGCTGTGTTGATTCGGTATGCTGATTCTAATATGTTAGTTGTCGGGTTATATTAACATATAGAATAAATAGTGCTTACTTTGGAAGCTTTTTTTTACATGTATTTGTAGGGGAAAAAAGAAAAATAGTATTATTCATAAGAAGGACAGGTGATTAATTGATTACCTATCAGGTCCACATACAATTAGTTATGTATCAATATCAGCCCATATGTCTACATTTTTTTCATTATTACTATTATTATTATTATTATTCCGAGATCAATTGAACAATATCTTTATTCAATATTTTAGAGTGAATTATCTTGTGAGGAGAACAGTTCACAAATCGATCAACACATGTATATACAGAAAATTATATATTTTCTAAAGACAGGTCTTGTACATTATGAGCCAAATTATTCTTTGGTAACCGTTAATGTCTAGTAGAGTTACTGTTCATAATAAGTATAGTATCATAACTCCAAAACAATCGCTAGCTTTATAGTGTTGTAGCTTTAACTTTCCTACCAAAATAGTTGTACTTGTACACTTTTCTTTTTTTTTATTATTATTATTTCCTGATGTATGATAGCGTCTGTTTTATGTACGCGACTTTTTTTTTTTTCTAAAACACGAAAAAAAGATACATGTATATGAATATATACAAATGTGTGTGTGTGTGTGTTTTTATTGGCAGAAAAGAAAAATATTTCCACTTTTATTACCAATGAAAGAACTAAAAAATTTAATTTTCAGGTACAAATTTACCAATAAAATAAAATAAATAGTGTTGTTAAAAATAACTAAGAAACAAACTCTATTTTTAATATGGAAGCTTTTGGTCGTGTAGGGGGATGGAATTTTACATTATTGCCGTCAACATTAGGATCGACAAAGTTTCTTAAATGGGGCGGTAGTGGTTCTCTATACACTCGACGTACACTCTCTAATACACTATCAAGTTGATTAAAATTATGTTGGTCTTTAACAAAAGCTTGATGCATTTCTTCTCGCTCATGCTATTTTTAAATAAATGAATACGTATGCTTAGTTAGATTGAAATACTTTAAATGTAGACATCTATATAGCGTGTTACCTTTTCTTGATCATGGAACATCACATTACAGTTTTCACAAAAATGCGCGTCGTTTTTATCTTCCATCTTTTGCTTCTTTTGTGGATGCTGCTGTTCCTGTTGCTCTTGTTGCTGTGCTACTGTCTCAAACATACGTTTTCCTAATTTTTTAACAACAGAAACATCTTTAGATTCCTCTTTAACGCCTAAAGCTATACCTGCTGCTGCTGCTGCTGCTGTTGTTGTTGTTGCTGTAGTAGTAGTAGTAGTGGGTACATTTGTTGTGGTTATAGTTGTAGTTGTACCAAAAGGTTGAATATCCCTTCCAACAATCATTAATCTTTCGGTTTCATTATCTGTGTGTTCAATATTGCTCTTGGCTTGAGCTTGCTCACACATATTTACAATGGCTAACTTATTGGGCTGTTCAGTAGGATAAGGAGCCTGCTCCTTTAATTGCTGACTGACTTGAGGTATTTGATTATGTGATTCATTATTTTGGTGTATTGGATTATGTAATTGCTGTTCTTGTAGTATTTGATTAGATAGCTGATGAGTATGTTGTGGTTGATTATCTAGTTGCTTATTTTGGTCATTAGCATTCATGTCATCTTTTGTACGAATTCTTCTACCAAAAGGTGAACGATGTTTATAGGTGGGTTTCATACAAGGCCATGGATATTCAGCGGGCCTATTCTCGTCGTTAAATATTTCCTTTGTAAATTGTTTACAAACAGGTGGACGATAGATTTGCTGTGAATCCTCGACTATAAGGTAATGGCCTGTAAAAGGAACAAACACTGGTTTTCTTGCTTGAATAGCATGTTGAGCACCAGTTGATGGACCATAGAGTTTTTCTTCTTGAAGAGCTTTTCCTAATGCTCGTTTATCGCGTACTTCTTTTCTACCCAAGTTAACTCTTACAAAGAATTCTAAGGTTTTTAACATAACTATGGTAATCATATATATATATTTAGTATATTATAGTTTTGTTTGTAACAGTTTTTCTTATTCTTCTCTTTCTTCTTTTATTACCTTCTTCACTCCATAAAACAATTTTCCATTGAAGAGCGTTCTCAATTAGGGTATCTCGAGGGGTATTGGGAACTTCATTCAATGTCTATTAAATAATAAAATTTGAATGGTCATTATTATGTGATATAAAAATTATAATAAAAATATTTACTTTTGTTTGAGTTTCATTATTCTCAGGCCTATATTTAAACAGTACTTATTAGTAGATGAAAATAAAAAATAAAATAAAATAAAAAAATAAGCTTATGCTGTAATAATAAGTACTTACTGGGCATTTATTTTTTGCATATAATCTCTTTGAAGCATATTAGGTTGAGATGGGATAGATTTATTTGTAATGAGATGTGTACATTTATTAGAAAAGAAGGCTTCGCGTTTCTATATAAACAATATGGTTAATTTTAAAAAACGAATTAGAATAGAAAAAATATATATTAATACTATACTGCTCCAAGTAACTTTATTCCTCTTTCTATTTTTTGTTCAACTTTTGAGTCCAAGTTATCCAAGTAGAAACTAAATGAAGCAAATAATTTTTTTCTATTCATAATTTCTACTGGTGTAAGCTTAAGGTAATCAGTGTTAGGTATTCTGTTACTAGCATTATTTTCTTGGCTCTTGTTATTAGTATGATTAACGTGGTTAATGTTATTACTAATAGCACTACTGACAGTACTGTTAAAAGTTTTATTGATTATTTTGTTATTAGGAATGCTATTAGGCTTAGGATGTTCAACATGGTGTCTAACTAAATCATATTCAAGTTTTTGTTGTTGAGGTCGATGAGCAATTACAGGTTCTGGTTTTTTAAATTGATGGTATTGAAGCTTTTGATTTTGTGTAGGCTTTGATAAGTTGTTGTTAAGCATTATATAATATCTTTTTATATATAAGGTTGGTATTTAAATGGTATAACGAATAAAAGATATAAATTTAAAAGTTGACAACGAAGGAGAGAGTGCAATTTATTAATTTCTAAAATCCCTGAAAATTTTTTTGTGACAGTCACTCAGGAGAGGAAGTGTAAGGCTATGAACAAACAGTGTATACAAATATATAAATGTGTGTGTATGTGTGTATGTATGTATGTATGTATGTATGTATATATAGATTTACACAAATATTTTATATTGAGCATATAAATTTAACTGCCTTTTATTATTGTGGGGAATATTATTCCTTTTCCGTTAAAGATGTATGTAAGTATATTTTATATTAAATTAAAACTTTTTGTCTCACTTTTTTTTTAAAGGCACGCCAATTCATGATGCATATTTGTTTGCTTTAAAGATACATCATCATGTGAGGATAAATAAGCGAATATGATTAAGAAGTTAAAGTAGGTTGTATATTTGCCCCTTTTTTTTTCTTTTCAATGGATTTCAATAAAGAAGAAGATAGAGATAACTAATTTTAATACATATGTATATATATAAATCAAGTAGAGCTACTAAATGAAAACGATTAGTAGATCAAATGCATATTATTAAATAGCTTAAACACGTACATAAATAAGTAATTAAAGATTATATACGCTTGATGTAATACATTTTACCATGCGGTAGTGCCTATACATAAAGAGAAGATATACGTATGTTGAAAGGAATAAAGACTGTATATGTATAGTCTATATATATACATATATATATTTCCTTTTTAAAAGGTTATAGATGCTGAGATAAAACTTGATTTCTTTCCTTTTCCTTCTATGCTAAGTACCTGACCATTTTTGAAGTCTTGTTCTGTATAGAATAATTAAATATGCAATATAATTAATTATTATGTCCAATAAAACAATCCACGTCTTTTCACTGTTATTTCAATTATTGGATTATATAGTACATGCTGTGGTTTACAGGCAATTAAAAAATAAAAAAGGTAAGATAAAGAGAAAGGAGAAAAAAGAAGTACGCTGAGACTTGTTAATAAGCTTTATTAAAATTAAGTATTAAAGTAGTGTAATTAATATCAGAGTATTTATATATTTTTTTTTCGTGAATAAAGAATGATAAGTGATAATATTTGATGAAATAATCACAGAAGAGAATTATATCAAGACTCATTTATAGGTATTAAGTTTAGTGCTCTAACCTGCTTTACCTTCTTTGCTATAAAACATGTTTAATGATGTCTTGATTGAAGTTTTACCATCCAACACCTATTCATTCAGCTTCATGCCTACAACCGGCGCACTTTAGCCAATAGCTTTTCAATGATATAAACTCTCCAAACAACCATTATGTGCACACAATGCCTTTCAATCTATTTGTCGAAACTCTCCTAAATTAACAATTCTACTCATCTCATTCGATCTTTTTTTATCCACCTGGGTTGTCCAGCACCTACCATTCACTCTATTCTTTGGTTTTCTTATAACTCAAGGCTGAGATGTAGTTGTGCTTTACACTGGTGTCTTGAGTTGGTTGTCTGGTGGGTATTTGAATGCCATGTCTTTTCCCCCGTCTTAATCATAAGCTTCACTCAGCCTCATGCTACTGTCTGTTTAAATATGCACCACTGATTACAAATACCTGCCACCATGGTTGATCCTCTATCTTTTCTACTCAATCACTTTCTTAACAAACGTAAAATAACCACCTTTTGCGCGAAACAGTCTCACTTACACCTGCATAGATTATTCATTGGCCCGACAAATATGTAGTATACTTTTTTTTTTTGAACTTGGATTACCTTCATCATGGTAAAAATCTCTATTGGAATCCTTTCTCTCTCTCTCTCTCTCTCTATCTCTCCTCCCCTTTTATTGGTACTGACTTGATCAATTGATTATACAGTAATTAATCTAGTATTTGAAGATATAGTTCCCTGTTTATTTTTCCCTTCTATATCCTACCCTTTTCCCTTTCGACTATCAATAAGTTTTTTTTTTTCACTTTTTTTTTTTTATATCTGACACAAGCAATACGATATGTGCTCTTAATGGGTTTTAAAATATTTTATACATGTATTTGTTGTTAGTAAATCAAGTTCTGTAGGCTATTTTAAAAGAAAAACAATATGTTTCATCTTTTTCCTTTATATTTTCAAGATATGAATGTTTTGTGTTCTTTTTCAATAGTATCCACGTTTAAATTTCGTCAGTTAAAACATATAATTTATTTATATAATCACAGAGAAGAAGGCAATAGTAATAAGACTTTAAAGAGAGAGAGAAAGAAGAAAAAAAAAAAAAGAAAAAAAAAGAAAAGAAAAAAAAACCAATAATTTTTGTCTTAAAAATTAAATCCACCTTGAGGAGCTTGTTCTTGTTGAAACATGAAGGTTTGATTTGGATCAGTATCAGGCACCATAGCAGTATCTTGATCATCTTCATCACTAAAGTATTTATCAATCAATTGGTATGACTTTTTATAGATATCAACATTATCATGGTGTTGTAAAGCATGAATATATTCAACCCCACCGCATTCTTCAATTGATAAACCATAAGGGTTTAATCCATCCATTGTATTCATCTTCTCCATTTCTCCAACCTTTAATATATTATCTAAGCCATCAAGTGCTACCAAAATCACTTTATTGTCTAGAGTAGCCAACATATCACAAAGTGGTTTAATACACCCCTCGTTTACTAAGAATTTAATTTGTTCTGGCTTATTGAGTCCACCAGAGGTTGCATTACAGATAGCCCAACAGGCTTCTTTACGTGACTTCATGTCACCTCGAGCCAACACTTGAATAAGGGGTCCGATCAATCCATTATCAATAACAGCTTGGATTTGACTTGTATTGCCTGCAGTAATATTTGATAATGTCCAACAAGTTTCCTTTCGAATCGTCTCTTTAGGACTGCTTAAGAGACTCATCAGAGCTCCCAGGGCACCAGCGTTAATTATCATTTGGGTCTGATGATCGTCACCCGTGACGATATTACCAACAGATCTTAAAGCAGGTGTTTGAACAGTTGTAGAAGGATGACTTAATAGCTCAACAAGTCGACTACAAACATTAGATTCAATCACTGCTTGGATACGGTCGTTAGGTCCATCCGACAAGTAGGAAATGGCCCAACAGGTATCTATCAAGATTTCTTCATCAGTTGAATTGATCAATTGAGATAGAACATTTAAAGCTGGTGCAATCTATGTTTAAATTGTTAATTAATTATTATTATAGGATTTTTTTTTCTTTTTATTTTTTTTACCAATCTCCAGTTAGGTTGAGGATTCTTTCCTCTACAGAAATTAGATAAAGTCCAAGTTGCATTACGAATAAGAGATAATTTGGAACTGTCTTCAAATATAGCTAATAAAGGAGGGAGTGCACCTGTTTCTAATACATAGTCACGACATTTTGGGCTATCACCTGCAATATTACCTAAAGCCCAAACAGCCTAAAACAAAAAATAAATAAATAAATAAATTAAATATATATTTTTTGCATTACATTGATATACATTATGCTACTTACTTGTTCTTTGACATCCATAACAGGACTACTTAATAATTCTATAAAGTAAGGAACAGCACCTGCTTTAATAACAGCTTCAGTTTGATCAGGAGAACCAGAAGCAATATTAGTTAATGCCCAAGCAGCTTCAAACTATTTTAGAAATAATTATTTATTTTATTTTATTTTTAAGAATATATACACGTCATAGACCTTACCTGTAATTGACTATCCTGTGATCTAAGGAATTCCACAAAACGAGGTACAACACCACATTGAATAACTTCTTTAATGGGAGGATTCTCCTCCTTTGATAAAAGTTTTCTGAATTGTGTTGTTGTTTGAAGCTGCATTGCAGGATCAGTAGAATATATGTTTTGAACCATAAAGGGTAAATCGGCCATGAGCTATACAAGAAAATATATTAGTTTAATATGCATTATAATCATCTAATATTTACCCTTGCATCTTGTGCCTCTAATTCATCGTCTGAGTCTTGAGATAGCATTTGCGCGTTGAAGTTTCTTCTTTTAGCTAAATTTTCTTCCTTTTTTTGTTTTCTAATCTCAACTTGAGCATTTTCTCGTCTTCTTCTTATCTCTTCAGGTTTAAAACGACTACGTTCTTTATAAGCACTACGACGGAAATCATTAGGATCCATATTTGATTGATTGAGGAAAAAAGAAAAGCAAAACGCTACGTAAAGACCAGAAAAAAAAAAAAAAAAAAAAAAAAAAAAAAAAAAAAAAAAAAAAGAAAGAAAAAAAACTTCAATATCCGACTTTTTTAGTTGCTTAATGCGTGTCATCAAAACTTTATTATTTGATGTAGTATATGTTGATAATATTGCCTTTTCTCTCTCTCTCTCTCTCTTTCGTTAACTAAGTATGTTACTTCTTTGCAAAACTTGACCAAATACTTTATATGTAAAAATATCTTTTCTTGACCTCTTTCAATGATCAATGCCAATACGTAAAAAAAAAAAAAAAAAAAAAAAAAAAAAGGAAACGAAGTAAGGTGTTACGATATACTGCACAGGATTCTAAAGAAGTATAAGTTTTGTGCACTAAATAAGTCTTCATAATTATTATTGTCTGTTTTACCATAAAAGCTTTGGTTGACAATCAACGCTTGACCTATTGACGTCTTAAATACTATCAATTGTAAACTATGGAAATATAAATGGTATCTTAGCAGTTTGAACAAGTTAAAAAGATAGGCGAAGGTATAATGCATAAACTAATTAAAGCATGATGTTAAAAATGCGCAATATGTAGCTCATTTATATATATTTCTCATAGAATAAAGTGTAAGTTATAGCATTGCCTCTTCCTTTGAAGTAAGCAGCAACTATATAATATATACAACCGTTTTTAATTTACTCTTCTGTTACCAGAACTGATATCTCAAAAGAGCAAATATATATTTTACAAAGCTTTTTATTATTATTATTATTATTTGTGCGAGAATTAAGTCAAATATATACTGTGTACAATAGTGATAGACTCTAAATAACATGATGATAATAAACAGAAAAAAAAAAGAAACCGTTTTTAAGCATGGCGAGAAATTACATGTAAAAATACGTGGTGGATGAAAAAATTGACACCTTCAGAAAGAAAAAGAATGAGTTCCGGTTTGTCTGGTATTTTAGATCTAGCAAACAAATATAATGGAGAGAAACTACGTGGCCACTATGTAAATAAGCACAAATGAGTACCAAGCAGCATATCAATCAGTCTGCAAGAAGAATGAGAATACATTTACAAGAAGATTGTATCTCTTTATGGTTAGATGTCTTATCTGCTTGACAATATATGTTTAATGAAGGACGTAAAAAATGGCTGACTATAAGACTGTTGGATTGTATTTTGGAAACAATTCAAAGTAGTCAATATTTCCTTAATCCGAAGGATGTCAAAAAAAAAATTAACTAAAGATGACTATAGCTACCAAGTTTGGATGTCTCTTAAAAAGTGGCTATTTACTCAATAATTATGCAGTGGGTGATAAAATTGACCCACAAAACCTTAAAATTAACCTAGCTACTGTTCTAAAGATACTAGAGTTTCTAAATTTGGAATATACATACGTATATTTTATCTTAAGATAGTGGGGTTTTCCTTCCAATTATGCGAAACTTTAATCACCATTTATCTTTATGTGTGGTGATTGAGTTAGCACTTATTTATTAATTAAAACGCGATTTTGCTTATTTCTGGTGTAAAAGAGAAGTAAACTTAAAAAATCATCAGCATAAAGGAAAAAAAAATTTGATTGAAGAGCATAAGCAATCATTATAATAAAAGTACACATAATGGCAAATCCACTCTTCATAGTCAGCAGGACTCATTTTCTTTATTGAATCCATTATGTATGGAGTGAGCTGATCCTTCTCACTGAGCTCTTCATGGTGAATACCAAACTTCATCTTTGACCAAAACTCTCCTATGAGGCTCAAGAAGGGAGAGTAAAGCGACAAGTAAACACACTCGTATCCTCTACTTTCAATCAAGCTGCGGATGAGCTCAGACTTGTGGATTGACACATTATCCATGATCAGATAACAACCCTTTATATCACACTTGTCAAGGACATCTAATGTGTTGCTGATAAACTCCAAATAATGTTCTGTTCAAGTCCTCATTGTTGTATTTTTACATAATATAAAGATACAATAAAACATAAATGTTGAATATTAATTACACAATAATGTTGTATAAACAATATTATCATCATATTAAACATAAATTATGTAATCATTAAACGTAAAACCTGCAAATTAGGCCCATATTGAATTAACGATATGTCAAATATAATACCAGATCATGACTGTTGATAATATCATAAAGAGGTCAATATTTAACACAACACTAATGAAATAGTATCTATAAATATCATCTATAGCTGCCAAGAAAAGTATAAATAGCCAGATAGTTTGTACAAGAAGAATAGATAACTCTTTGATATATACACGGTTTTTTTTTTTCTAATAAAATTATTTTCACTTGTGCCTGTGTCTCACAATTTATTTTGTCTTCTTATAGTCTTAAACTATAAAACATTTTTGACAATGAATTTGACATGCCAAAATAAAACAGAAGTGTGACAAGCACAATATGGATTTTTATCAATTTCCTCTTGTTGAAAGTATGGTAGCTTGTGCTTAATTTTGGTTGCGTCCCTAGTTGCGTCCCCAGTTTATGCCGACAGTTGAATTTTGCATTCACTCATAAATCCATTTACCTTTGCTATCGCTCCAATCTATTTGAAAATAACCTACGGCAGCCGGCCACTTTATTTACTTTATACATGCTTCCAAACAATGGATTTGGGGGGGTTCATCAGCCAATTCATGCCGAGAAATTTCATTATTTTTTTTTTCATTTGTTTTCGAGTGCTGTAACGGATTGAAAAAGATTAAAGATATCAATGAATACTTTGCTATGGAGTTAACAGATAAGAAATTGAATGAAATCATTAAAAATACCAAGGAAATGATCAAAGACAATGAAAATACGGGTATTCTTCAAGTATTGTTGGAACAAAAAGGAGTAAGTTCTTTGGCACAGTCAACCTCAGCAGCCAACAAGAAATTAGTTAATGCAACCTTCAACTATGTACAAACATTGTTTAATCACTAGTTTTATTTATGTATATCCCCTTTTATATTGCTATTACACCAGTCACATAATTCTACCTAATGTGGGCATGATGTGCAATTTAAAGCACCTGTAATTATACAGAATAAGATGATGCAATTACTGTTGTTAAATTGTATTTTTATAAATGGTTGGTTTTTTTTTTTATTGTATTTTTATTTTTTTACGAAAGACTGATTCACTAAAGATAGCACAACAGATTTGCAACTGGGGATGCAACTTCGGTCTCATTTGTATATGGGTCGGCGACTGTTACTTCACTATAGGTAACAGTGACGAGGACATCTTGAGATGGGGCATATATGAAATCACAGACGACGGAGCCATGGTGAATTCTGAACTTTTTCAAATAGAATTAACATAGTTTAGAGAAGGCACAGCCTCAGATATTATTGGAAATAAAATGAATATAATCTTATAAATCCTTTAAAGTTGCGTTTTTAAATCTTGCAAATTGTGCACTAATGATTTTTTGAATTTGCACCAAAAATGAGCAAACACAAGAGCGAACAGTTTTTAAAATTCCGTGAATAGGAATGAAAAGTCCACTATAACACTTTTTTTTTAAAAAAAAAAAAAAATGCAACAAAATTTTTCTTATAAGTGGGACACTATTTTGAGATGAAGTGTATCTCTAAAAAAGGAAACAGCCACATAAATTTATACAAGCAACAACTCTTTTTTTTTTAAGCTAGTTTTTTTTTTTTTTATAATTATACAATTATGGATGCATCACCTACAACAGCAGATAATGATGATCAACAACAACAGCGCCTCATTCAACGACAACAACTTAACCGGTCTTCCTTTTACATGTTGCTCTTTTTGTTTTCTTTATTGTTTTTCAATTTTTCAGATGATAATAGCAATGTTCGAGTAGGAAAACCAACTAAGGGAGAATTGATAGAAGACTTAGAAAATGAGAAGAGTCTACTAAACAATTTGACTTTCGGTGAAAATATAACATACGTAAGAAATGTCAACTGTAGAATTATGTAATTAGTGTATTAATGCTTTTTGTATGTGTAGCCCATACCTAACACAGTAAAAGGACCATTAAAAGAATTATGGTCAATTGGTCAGCAACCAGAAACATCTTATTACCATAATATTACAGGGATATTTCGAGGTAATTAGAAAGATTGCTTTGTTTTGAATCTTGCTAATTAGTAATTTATATAGGCGAATGGATAAATAGAAATATTAGTATACCACAATCTACAAATATAACCGAAGTAAATAAAGCAAGAAATAACTATAGTTTTGAAGGACCAGGTTCATGGACGTTTAACGTAAAGGCAGTCAAAACAATTGATCATGATATGAATTATATTGAGGTATGTATACATGTGTATATATACATAATAGTCAAATGTAAGCAATGATTGCTTATATGTTGTATAGGGTTATTTTCGATTTAAGGATGCAGAAAAAAGTGATTATGGCGCATTACTGCTGGCGGGAGGCGTTCATTATTTAACTAATGGTACACTTTATCTAATGGTTGTTCCAGACAGGTAAATAAAATATACTGATATTCCACACAAGATATGCTTATATTTAAAAATAGATATCCACTTCCATTGGATGAACTATTACACATGTTACCTTCTAATGACACATTTATTATAGCACGAAATGTTATTAATGAACAAATAGACAAAAGAATTGAAGAGTTAAAAGAAGAAAGATACTGGGATTGGCAGTCGATTGATGATGGAGGTAAATAGAAGTGTTAACTACAAAACAATAGGACTATTAAATCCAAAGTATATAGATCATTCTGAAGACTTGCCTTTCACTTGTAGCTTTCAAATGTTTGGTCAACTAACCCCTTCAACTACTACCAAAGAATCAGACTTATTAGACTATGAAAAAGGTACATTTAACTTGATAGTTAATTATGGCACGCTATTTATTCAAATAATATAGAACTGGAAAATCCACAAGGCATTTCTACTATTAATCCACCGCTATTATTATTATCTTCCGAGATGTATTCTCCAAATTGTCAGCTTTTATTATCTACTTCGAATTCAAAGGGTATCAAAATCGAAAATTATTATAGTAAAGCTATGACATATGCAAGTATAGCTAGTTTAATTGCAATTATTCAAATATTTACCTTGATTGATCAAATGGAGTTTACACCGACACCTTCTGTAAGTAAGGGTCTATATATACATATATATCACATATTTATTTATTTGTCACATTTAGAGTGTATCAAATGTCTCTTATTGGACAATTGCTATGCAAGCTGTCATGGATGGTTATCTTTGTTTATTGCATTTAACAACAGGTGTGGTAATCGAGAATGTCTTTATTCCTTTTGCTACAGCTGCATTCTTTACTTTTATTCTTGTCTCTATATTTGGTATGCGATATTTACTTGTTGTCTGGAGAATTCAACGTCCTGAATCCATCCGACCACCCTCCCCTGATGACACGGTACGTCGACCACCAACAGAAGAATCACAGAATCCACAACGTGATATTACATTTCTTTATTACAGACTATGTAAGTACCTGACAGAAGATGTTCTGTTCTCTTTTTCTCTTTTCTCTAACATCCTCTTTAGACGCAGTCTTATTGCTGGGCCTCTTCCTATTCTATCAGTCTGTCACTCGATCTGCCTTTGTACAAAACATGATTGTAGGTACATTGGGGCTTGCATTTTATTCTTTTTGGATACCACAAATTGTTAGAAATGTATTTAGAGGATGTCGACATCCATTAAGTCAACGTTATGTTTTAATTATGAGTATTACACGATTATGTATACCTTTGTGTAAGAGTTTATTAACAGTGTATATCTACACATGTAAAAGCTAACTTTTTATATATATTGACATAGACTTTTATGGTTATGAAGATAATTTTATTGGCCATGAAACGACTCATTGGATCTGGATTTTAGTTATATATGTGAGTTTACAAGTTCTTATTTTGTTTCTTCAAGACACATTTGGGCCAAGATTCTTTGTACCTTCAATGGTAAATAATCAAAAAAAAAAAAAAAAAAAAAAAAAAGACTTTCTACAAGCTAATTTTTTTTTGGTATTATAGTACTTACCTCAAACATATGACTATCATCCAATTTTATCCACTGCTGAAGATGAGGAAAGTATAGCAGCTAATAAAGACTGTGCTATTTGTATGTTACCTATTGATATGCATCATGGACATTCGAGTTTAAACGTTGTGTTGTCAAGAACAAATTATATGGTAACACCTTGTCATCATATATTTCATACAGAATGTCTAGAAAAGGTAAATAAAAGAAAAAAAATCCATATATAAGCATGATTGTTCATGTTTGTACTAATCTATCTGCATAGTGGATGAGGATTAAATTAGAATGTCCTGTTTGTAGAGCATACCTTCCTGCTTGTTAATGTTAATAAAAAATATATGTCATTTTTTTTAATCGGCGTTAATTTGCCCCCCGGTCTATTTTATTAAAATGCGGGGAAAAAAGTGTTTTATTATATATTTATTACATTCATTTGTTCCTGTTTTTTTATATCATTATTTTTTCTTTTTTATCTTGAAAAATAATGTTGTGTTCACGTACTAGTAAACTTCTGAATCCGGTTATCTTTAACCGTTCCACACGTCTTTTCAGTAGTGCCTCTATTGCTTTGGTAAATAAATGCAAAATAAGTCACTTTACTTCTCCATTAACATCATAGCTTTATAGCAAAAATTTCGTGCTGAACGTGATACCTTTGGTGACCTTCAAGTTCCTGCCGATAAATATTGGGGAGCCCAAACACAAAGGTTAGTTTATAATGGAGGTCCGGGACTTTATATACATATATATATATAAATATATTTTGATAATTAATTAAATAAAACAAAAAAGATCGTTACAAAACTTCAATATTGGCGGTAAGAGTGAACGTATGCCCGAAGCTTTGATACGTGCCTTTGGTGTAGTCAAGAAGGCGGCTGCAACTGTCAATATGACCTATGGTTTAGACCCTAAATTAGGTGAAGCTATTCAGAAAGCTGCTGATGAAGTAAGTGATTAAGAAAGAAAGAAAGAAAAGTAAAGGAGGGAAGGAAGGGAAATGTTTGACCGTATCTATTAGGTTATTGATGGTACTTTGATTGATCATTTCCCGCTTGTTGTTTGGCAAACAGGATCTGGTACGCAAACCAAGTAAGTTCTATCGGGTTTATATTTTATTTTATTTTATTTATTAACCTTGTGTTTTATTTAGCATGAATGTGAATGAAGTAAGTGTGTGCATAGAAATAAACAGTAACAAATAAAAAATGAATGTCATGTGTTTTAGGTTATCTCTAATCGTGCTATTGAACTTTTGGGTGGTGAACTTGGCTCTAAAAAACCTGTTCATCCCAATGATCACGTTAATATGAGTCAATCTTCTAATGATACGTAAATGGAGTAATAATAATGATACATAACTCTAAAAGTAAAACTAACATGTATTAATCTTCCCTCCCTTCTTTTATTTTTTTGGGGGTAACAATAGTTTCCCTACCGCTATGCACGTTGCTGCTGTGGTAGAGATTACACATCGTCTTTTACCCGCACTTACTAACTTACGTGATAGCTTGGATTCCAAGTCCAAAGAATTTTCCCAAATTATCAAGATTGGACGTACTCACCTTCAAGATGCAACACCTTTGACTTTGGGACAAGAATTTTCAGGTTACACACAGCAAGTTAGTTATGGTATTGAACGCGTTCGTTCATCTCTTGATCGACTTTACAATTTGGCACAGGGAGGTACTGCTGTTGGTACAGGTCTTAACACTCATAAAGGTTTTGATGTCAAGATTGCTGAAGCTGTTGCCAAGATTACCGGTTTACCCTTCAAAACAGCCCCTAACAAGTTTGAAGCACTTGCTGCTCATGATGCTATCGTTGAAGCTCATGGAGCACTCAATACAGTTGCTGTATCTCTTATGAAGATTGCAAATGATATTCGATTCTTGGGGTCAGGTCCACGATGCGGTCTTGGAGAATTATCTTTGCCTGAGAATGAACCTGGATCTTCAATTATGCCTGGTAAAGTAAACCCTACACAATGTGAAGCAATGACGATGGTCTGTGCGCAAGTTATGGGTAATAATACAGCTGTATCTATTGCTGGTGCCAATGGACATTTTGAGGTAATTAGTATAAACGAAAAAAAGAAAGAAAGAAAGAAAGAGAAACAATGATTTATATATATTCTTTATACATATAGCTTAATGTTTTTAAGCCTGTATTGATCAAAAACTTGATTCAATCTGTTCGCTTGCTTTCAGATGCATCCACCTCTTTTACCAAGAACTGTGTTGTTGGTATTAAGGCCAATGAACATAAAATCAACAGCATTATGAATGAATCATTAATGTTAGTAACTGCTTTAAATCCCTATATTGGTTATGATAAGGCTGCTCAATGTGCAAAGAAAGCTCATAAGGAAGGTACAACCCTCAAAGAGGCTGCTATGTCTCTTGGTTATTTAACATCTGAAGAATTTGATCAATGGGTTAGACCTGAAAATATGATTTCATCCAAAAACTAAACAAATAGAATTTTTTTTTTTTAATTATTTATTAATTTAATAAATATCCTCTAACAAATGACGCGGCGATAACATAGTAGATTTATAGAAAAAAAAAATTCCCCCTGTACAAATAAAAAAAAAATATATATATACGGTATAACATCACTTAAAGTATAATAATCGCACTACTACTTCTTGATTTGCACTTTTCCCCTTCTACATTGATAACTTCGATTGGTTTATAATTTGTAGCATGACAAGAAGAATATATTCTAAATTTAAATTGAATTTCCGATAATAATTTGCTGTGTATCATCATGGAATTATAAAAATAAAATACAACTTGTATTTTTTTATTTTATTTTTTTTTTCCTATAGCCCATTTTATATAGAATGGTCGATTCTTCTGCTACTCATGTTGCTAATTACATGTTAGATTCTATTCTAAAAGATTTAGCATTCCTAAAAGATAATAATTTTTTACCACAACAAACTTACAATGAGGTACTTGCCATACTTCCAACACAAATAACGACAACGAATGATAAACGACCACCTTTACCAACTCGTAAGTCAACTAATGTGGCATTACCGATGACAGCTTCTTTACCAAAATTACCTGTTAGACGTAGTGTCAGTACTACACCTGAGAAGCTAGTTAATAGAGTTCTACCTATCGAAGAAAACACCACACCACCACCTGCCTATAGTCAAAAATCACCAGAGCCATTAGCTACTGCAGAAGCACTATATGATTATAAAGGGGATCCAGAAACAGATTTATCGTTTAAACAAGGCGATATCATTGAAGTGATAGAATATGGTATATATATATATATATATATATACATAAATGGATGCTTAAATAGATAACATGAGTAATGATTTCTTTATTTTATTTAGTAAATGATGATTGGTGGAAAGGAACTGTACATGGCAAATCGGGTATCTTTCCTCAAAATCATGTTAAGAAAATACCGTATGTAGTAGTAATATGTTATATACATAATAGTTGAAGATACTAAAATAGTCCCTTTTTTTTTATAGACCTTCTATTAAGGCTAAACGTCCTTGGATACCACCATCCTCTAATAAACCTCCTATGACTGCAAATACCACTACTATAGCAACAATGCCTTACAGCTATCCTCCTCCACCTACAACTATTTATGCACCACCTCCACCTACACAACCACCTTCTCAAATTTATGGACAGCCATCATCAACAACAGTCATTGTTCAGCAGCAACAACAAGAACAATCAGAAGGAGGAGATAGAGTGGCTAGTATGGCAAAGAAGTTTGGTGGACATGTAGCGACAGCTGCCACATGGGGATTTGGTGCAACATGTAAGTTTACTCATATTAATTCGATTATGTTAATCACTTTTTTTTTTTTTTTTTTTTGATAGTGGGTAGTCAAGCTGCAAATGCAATATTTTAATAAAACTTTATGTTATTTGATTGGCTAATTTATTCAAATAAAAAAATTTTTGGATATTTTTTTGGTTTTTTTTTTTTTTTTTTCTTGTAATCTATTGATCATGGCTGTAGAGCAAGGTATATAAAACTTAATGAGCTTGAGCATTAAAGATGAATAGAGACAGAAATATAAATAAAGTCATTGATCAACTGAATGAGATGAAATCTAAATCCCTATTTTTTTTTTGTTTTTTTTTTTCATTATGTATTAGGTACTCGTGTCATTTATGACCGTACTACACTTTTGGCATTAGCTGGTAGTCAGTTTTCAAAGATGCCACCTGTCAAGATGGCATTCATTCCTGGTGTTACTAGAACTCCAAATCAAAGTGATATTGTCATGTCCTTCCGTAAAAACAAGGAAAAGGAGAAGAAGAAGGAAAAAGAAAAGAAAACATGTAAGCTACGATATAGCTTATATACATATATATGAGCAGTATAATTAACTTTTTTTTTCTTTTCTCTTCTTTTTAATAATAGTCAATCCTTTCGAACTTCTTGGTGATGATGAATAAATGTATACACATTAAATAAAAAAAAAAAAATTTTGTTTTTTAGTTTCTTTTTTTTTTGGCTTTTTTTTTTTTTTTAATCAGCTTTTATTCAATATATTCCTTTATTGGTTGAAATTTGTTTGTTCTTTAATGAAATCACAGACGACTCTAATACAAGTACGGTATTGAGGAGTATCAGGTATAGGAGTTGTCATGAAAGCATGAATGGAGCCCAATATACGCATACCAACTGTGTAAACACCTGCCTCAATTAATTTAGATACATAGGCTTCTCCTCCATCTCGTAGGATATCACATTCAGACGTCAGAACTAAAGCTGGTGGTAAACCCATTAAATCTTCTTTAGTGGCCAAAATGGGTGTTGCATAACGATCGTTTAATTCAAGTGCTGGCTTGGGTAAATAAGCCTTGGAGCAAAGCTCAGCTTCCTTTAATGACAAATAACATTCACCACCACCATATAACTTATAGGACTCGTAAAGAGTAAAGTCAGCATCAACAGCAGGGTACATCAAGATTTGTGCCTTAATAGCGTTAGGTATGCCACGATCTTTAGCCATCATAGAGACAACAGCAGCCATGTTACCACCTGCAGAATCACCTACTACAGCAATTTGATCGGGGTTGATGTTGATAGATGAGCCGTGCTCGCGGAGCCAACAAAGGGCTGCAAAGCTTTGTTCGTTGGCAACAGGGAATTTGACTTCGGGGCTCAAGCTGTATTCAACAAGCATGACAGCTGCGTGTGTCTTTAGACAAAGATCAGTAGCAATCTTTCGATGAGTTATAGCATTACCGAATACCCAACCACCACCATGCCTATACATTTGATATTTAGTTTCTTTTTTTTTTCACTTTCTCTTTTTTTTTTTTTTCTTTCCTTTTCTTGGACTTACAAATATAATATAACTGGTAATATTTCATTTTCAGTATTTAAAGGTTTAAACACAGTTGTACCAACTTTAAGGTTTTTGGGCCCTCCAAAGACCTCTTGTTTGAAAGTAATAGTCTCGGGGACAGGTACACGTTTAGCAAATTCATCTGCCATAGTACGTAATTGAATGATAGCTTTATATTGCTGCTCAGGTGTAGCTTCATTACTACCTATTTCTGCATAGGCAGCTATAAGCTGTTTACTGTGTTCTTCGCAGACTGCTTGATAGATTGGATGAATAGGATGGGCTTTTTTTGGGATTTCCATATAGTGTATGTATGTAAAGAAAAGAAATTGAAAAAAAAAAAAAAAAAAAAAAAAAAAAAAAAAGAAAAGAAAGTCAGTGAAATATGATCATAAAGGGTAGTATAATAATTAAAATTCCGACTTTTAATAATCAAACTAATAAGAGTATTGTAAATGATATGATATGATATAATTTCAAAGTTTAAAGAAAAAAAAAAAGACTACAAATTATTATAAAATGGTCAGCATTAAACCTAGAAGTAAAATCCTTCTATTTTCTATAGAGGTTCAATGATTTTATAAATTTTAATTTGTTTTTTTTTCGGAGTGAGAAAAATAAGGAAGAACTTGCAGATCTTTTCTTTTTCTTATATATTAATTAAGAGAGAGTTTCTCTTCTTGATCATTGTTTAATATAAAAAAAAATGTTATAATTTGCAATAATTAATCCAGTTCCAGCTTGAAAATCCACTAATAAGTGTGATACATGCTGCATATTGATAAACAAGTGTATAAGAATCATTGGAAGAAACCAAATAAGCCATCCACAGGACACCCACGGCAGGCCCTATGCTATGATACAAGACAGCCATACTACCCTTTATAATCGACCGCTTATATTCTGATACAATTAGGTTATCTGCTTTGTGGGTAGCAAGCAGCCAAATTATCTGAAATGATAAACCTATATTATAATTTACCTATCTGTTATTATTCTTCACTCACTCACACACACATTGATTTGTTACCTTGTATAAATTGCAAAAAAATAACTAGAAGTTGTGTTATCAAATGACCAGATTTAAGCCATAATGCATTACATATCATACTAATCATCAATAAACTATATACTATAATCACCCAAAATTGACTTTCATAGATCATCTATTGTATATGTGAAGTTAAAAACACGTACTATGTAAACGTTCAAAAAAAAAAAAAAAGTCCTTTTTTTTTTCTTTACCGAAGTGATAAACTGTGCCAACAAGTCAGTAATAATCATAACACTTCCTACAGCACCTATTGTATGCATGGGAATATTCATTTTATCCAAATAAACAAACAAAAGGCTTTGGGTCATACCCCAGATAACACCTAATGTAAACATCGAACACAAAAATGAATTGCTTATTATTTTGGATGAGTCATTATCTGTTTCTCTTAAATAAGTTGGCAGATTTATGAGAACAATGGCAGCAGATTGTGTTGGTGGACAAGGTGATTGTTGAGCCAATTCATAAGGAATACCAATTAGCTTTCTATTGAGATCATTATTCAACGTGGTATCAATGCTTGATTCCTCAGAGATATGCGATAAGTGCTCATGAAACAAACTATAGGGCTTATAATAACTCACAAAAGAAGCAGTTTCTTCGTGTTGGTCATAGACAGTCATATCTTGTTGGACATTAGTTGAAAGACATAGAAGAAATAGTATCATTGAACTGATAAGCACCGTTACCATTAACGTATCAAAATCATGGTCATCATCTAAGGACCATCCAATACCCAACAACATGATAACCATCGTGTATTTACCATATACTCGCTCATTCTCTAAAAACGATATTTGAATTATGTATATTTATATATAGAAATATAAAAGTGTATAGTTTACCATACAATGTTTTATAATCTCCTAATATTTTAATCATGGCATTATCGACAAGGACCTCTAACGGTTGATAAAAAATCCCGTCAAAGAAAGAGGTGATAATGGCCACAGGTAAAGCAGCAGCTGTCCAAAGTGGGTAAACTGATAGGACCAAAAGGATGCCCACACTGCCGATAACTGTCAAAAGACCAGTAAGAACCCCTTGTAGTGAGGGTTGAGAGTCTACCCAATAAATCCAAAATGCAGAAGACGGTACCCTCAATACCATTGCATTTGATAGCAGCAACGCTAATGTCCAAATATCAAATTTTAACATATGAAGATAATACAAATAGAGAAATGGATGAATGCTTGTTGTTGCTGCATGAGCTGATGTTAATAATTTTGTCCAAAATAGCATATATAATTGTTATAGAACGAATTAAAAAAAAAGGAAAAAAAAAAAAGAAAAGGTAAGTGTGTATCAATGATATAATAAATAAATATACCATTCCGAAAATTATTCTTTTGCTTTATGCAACTATTTAACACGTTGTACTAACAACATGAAACAAGTTATTATCCACAACATTTCATGATAATGAAAACTAAAAATTATCAAACTTTTTAATAAAACATATTTTTTTTTCTTTACTATTCAATTTGTCACATGCATTATAAAAGTTTATTTAATGGGACTTACAACCATAAGGAAAAAAAGAGAAGCCCAACGGGGGGGTCGAACCCCCAACCTTGAGATTAAGAGTCTCACGCTCTACCGATTGAGCTAGCTAGGCTTGTTGTGTTAAAAAATTTACGGACAAAACTATATTTAATATTGACAAAAAATTCACCGGAATATCACGTGATTGTGCGGTTCATTGCCGGCATTTTTTATTTCTTCCGAGATATTTGAGGATTTAATAAAAAAATGATGCAAAAGGTAATAATAGTACATATTCTTATTATTTACACACATGTTAATATAATTGTTATAAAGGAAACAAATATTTCAATAACTATATTATTTTCTTGATATTTAAACAGCATAAACATTACATTAAATTTATTTATAAATTGCTTTTGCAGTAATCCAAAATAATTTGTTACTAAAAGGAAGGATAATAATTTAATACTGATTCAATCGCATGATATTCGAAATAGATGCTTGATTTAATAACAACTATTTTTTTTTTTACTAATGTTATCTTATATTATAATATAATATGAATATGTGTGCAGAAAAAAGAAAAAGATTGAATTGTAACTATAGGCTTTTAATTAAAAGTAAATAACTAGTGAGATACTCATTGTTATTATATTTCAAGCTACTACTTCAAAGTGTCATTCACTTTTATAAATTCGAATTAGATTATTTTCTTCTTCTTCTCCATAATATGAAAAAAAAAATAATCATTTTTTTTCTTTATGTTCTATTTCTTCTTTGATTATAACTGATTTTCTATCTTTATATTTTGCTATTATTAAAGTTGATTTTTGTTACTATTAGGAAATAATAATACACGCACAAACATATCTGTATATATACATCTTTATGTTTAATCAGATATCTACACACTTACTACAGCATACCAATGATCAAATAAAACAAAGATAAAACCCATCTTATTAAAGATACATTTTGCATTGTATTGTTAAAAAGGAAGTTATGAAGACAAAGGACATAGTTTATGATATAGTTATTTTAGTATGAATCTATTTCTTCCAAAAAATAAGAGCTTATACGACTATAGTAACATTTAAATTGTGAATTGCTTACATCATGGTTATACGTCCTTCATATAAAAAGCATTACTGTTCTAGTCTAAAGTAAATTGAATATCAATACGAAATACTATTCAGATGATTACAATCACTTGTATCTAAACTTTTTTGTATTTTATTCGACTTTATTATTTCTTATATAAATAGTTAATAATAAAAGTAGAAGTAGTAACAGTAGCAGTAGCATTAGTAATAGTATTAATGAATCACTCGTATTTTTTTCTGCTTTATTTCTTGCTTAAATAAAAAATATACTTACGTTCCAAGTATTAAATCAGAAAACTCCACATTAAATTGTTCGTTACCGTCTTTTTTTTTTTTTTTTTTTTTTTTTTTTTTTTCCATTTTCTTTCCCCACAGAGTTTTTACTTTAACTTTTATTATTATTATTGACAATGCCTATTCATAAAGTTTTACAACAGAGATTATGTTTAAGCTCTATGACTAGTTTACAAAGATTTAACTTACTTTATTGTTCTCCAATGATGAGTCGCATGTCACATCAACATGTAGCATTAATCTCTTTATTACAAAAAAATTTCTATAATACACAAAACGAACCTTTCAAGATTGTCAACTATAAAGATATTAAGAATATTATTGAACATAAGGTATAATAAGAGTCACCTGTATATAATATACATGTTTATCTATTATTTTTTTTTATAGGATGATTCTTATATCATTGATGTACGAGAGCCAAAAGAAGTGATTAACGGCTCAATTCCTACTTCAAAAAACGTACCAATGGTAAACTATATTTGACATATATTTGTATATGAGCAACACTTTTATTTTATATTATTATCTTTTTAAAAGAGCCAATTGATGCACGCTTGGAGTTTATCAGAAAAGGATTTCGAAAATCAATTTGGATTTCATAAGCCTAAAAAAGATGCTAAAATTACTGTTTATTGTCAAGCTGGTGTTCGTAGTACGAAAGTAGCCGAATATCTTTCTAGTTTAGGGTATAAAAAGTAAGCCAAAAAAAAAAAAAAAAATAGAGTATTTATCAGTCTTATTAATATTTATAATAATAGTCTCCAAAACTACGTGGGCAGTTGGGCTGATTACATTGAACACCAAAAGGGAGGAAAATGAAAATAAAGGAGTTCTCTTTCTTCCCTTTCCCTCCCCCCCTTTTTTTTTTTTTTTTTTTTTTTTTTTTTTTTTTTTTTTTAAATGCTTTCCTTCTTTCATATTGTTTAACCCCTTTATTATAAAATTTTGATTATAATCTCTTTTCTTTCTTTTTTTTTCTCCTTTTTTTTATACATAAAATAATCGATCTTTTTTTTTCTTCTATCTCTCTCTCTCTTTTTTTTTTTTAACAAAATAAAAATATGGGTACATGTATATCAAATGAAGAAAGAGAGGAAAAGTTACATAGTTTTAGTATTGATCGTTCCCTGGAAGAAGAGAGTCGAAAATTAGAGCGAGAATTCAAAATATTATTATTAGGTAGTGGTGAATCAGGCAAATCGACTATCTTTAAACAGATGAAAATCATTCATCAAAACGGTTATTCAAAGGAGGAATTATTGAACTGGAGAATTACTGTTTACAGGAATTTAATTCAATCAGCACAAGCTATTATCACGGCTCTTAATCAGTTTGAATATCGATTACAGTCAGAGAAGGCTGAATATGAGGCACAACATATTCTGGAATATCGTTTATTGCCACATCAAGGATGTATTGATCCTTGTTTTATTGATGCCGTTAATACTGTTTGGCGTGATCCAGGTGTGAAAGAATTGTTAGATAGTAAATCATCCGAGTTTTATTTAATGGATAATGCATCATAGTAGGTATTATTACTATTATTCTATACATATAATAACAATAATAATATAAATAAGCTTTTTTGAAAATATGCAAAGAATAGGTCAGCCTAATTATGTGCCTACTGAACAGGATGTACTAAGTGCAAGAGCAAAAACAACAGGCATAGTAGAGACACGATTCATGATAAAGGAGACAAGTATTCAGTAAATATTATGATATATACTATCATCATCTCCTAAACAAAACAATATCTTTATTTTTATAGTATGTTTGATGTTGGAGGTCAAAGATCAGAAAGAAAGAAATGGATTCATTGCTTCGAATCAGTAAAGTCGATTATATTTTGTGTTTCCCTGTCAGAATATGATCAGGTCTTATTGGAAGAATCTCGACAAAATCGAATGATGGAAAGCTTAGTATTATTTGAATCAGTTGTGAATAGTCGTTGGTTTTCAAGAGCAACCATCATTTTGTTTTTAAATAAAATTGACATTTTCCGTGAAAAGGTTAAAAGAATCCCAATAGAAAAGTTTTTCCCTGATTATGGAGGTGGTCCTGATGTAAATAAAGCTGCAAAATATATTTTATGGCGTTTTAATCAAACAAATCGAGCAAAACTTCGTATTTATCCACAGTAAAGTATAAATCTTTTTTTTTTTTTTTTTTTTTTTTTTTTTTTTTTTTTTTTTTTTTTTTCCTTTTTTACTTGCTAATGATATATTTTATATTCTAGTTTAACCCAAGCTACTGATACTTCTAATGTAAATATTTATATAAATGTTAACATCAAGAATGAATGAACAAACACTAATTTATGTTTACAATAGATTACTCATGTATTTAATGCTATTAAAGATACCCTAATTCAAAATCATTTAAAAGACTCTGGTATCTTGTAAAAAAAAAAACGTATCTTTTGAAAATATATCACATAATTATTACTTTAAATTATTATTGTCTGCATACATCTCTGTAAACAACTTCCCATAATAAAAAAAAAGAAAATTATAACACTATTTTGTCTTTATAAAAGAAAAAAGTAACTCTTTTTTTTTAATGTTGAAAATATGTGTGATTTGTTTGTGTATTTATTTATTTTTGTTTTAAGCAGAAGCAGCAACAGCTTGTTTCTTGGCTTGAGTACCTTCACGGAAACCGTTCTTGAAACGACGTTGAACCAACTTCAAATATCTCATACGGCCAGTACCGGTGGTCTTTCTACGCTTACCCTTTTCGGACCAGTTATCTAATAGGCAAACATAAGTATGCAGCATATCATTATAATCATTCAAAACTTACAAGATCTGGTCTTAGCAGCAGGATAACCACATTGAGCACATGTCTTCTTTTGCTTGTGGAAAGAGCGGTTACCGCAACGACGACATAAAGTATGAGTCTTGGTGTGACGCTTACCGAACGAACTGGTACCCTTAGTCTATTTTTTTTTTAAAAAAATTAAAAAAATTAAAAAAAATAAAGTAAAAAGATTAGTATACAGAATTATCAAATTGTCCAAAAAAATAAATATCAAACGCCTTGCTAGACAATAATATAATAACGGTATTTTCATTGTTAACGTAGATCATTCATATACGGTATTGTAAGAAAAAAATAAAAATAACAAAAGGTCAAACAGGTGGAACTAATTTGACTATAAAAATAGATTGGCGCAATCGTTCTTCCTTTTCAGAAAAGAGTTATTTTTTTTTCGCCCCACATAATATATGTTGACATTTTTGATTGTAAATTAAATACATTTCTCCAAATTTATATACTCCAAGTGATGCGACAGTTTTTTTTTTGTTTGTTTGTTGTGTATAGATACTATGATTGTTATTATGAATCGTTCTTCTTACTAATTTATATTTATTTTTTTATTTTTGTTTTCTGAGAATTGAAATTGACATTTGACATTAACGTAGCAAAAATAAAAATTGCTTCTATTATCCATTATATCCATCCATCCGTCCAATTTATTTATATTCCATCCGTTATTCTATATGTCAGGGCATTTGATATTCATTTCTATAGAGGGAGAGTACGTTACCATTCTTAAAGATTAGCACGTAAAAGGAAAGTTTACAGACTATGAACCCATTTTTTTTAGCTTCACGTTAAAAAAAAAAAAAACCTAGAACAGACAACAAAATTTAAACCGCGATAATATTCATTTATTTATTGATCTGGGATAGAAAGCCAGTAGTTAGTTGCATTAACTAACATAACATAGAAAGCTTTTCCTTTCCTTCTGCAACAGTGCGGCGTGTTGGATATCTTTTCGACGCTTTTAATATTCCATCTTTTTTATCATTGGTTGTATTCAGTTGTAATAGACTCGCTTTATCTTCTTGCTTCCCCTTCTTTTTATTAAGTTGAGTTGAGGAATCTTCTGGTTTATTAGGAAGGGAAGATGTATTTTTAAGATGATCTGTTTCGACTCTTCTTTCCAGTCTCTTCTTCTCTTCATTTGATATCTTCATTACTTTCTTTCCTTTGCTTGTACTATTTTCGTTTTCTCTTTCTTTTCTTTTATATCCTAGCAAATCAACCAGGGGAATCTCGCTATGAATCGTATTTTCTGAAGGCTTATGTATATTTCTTATCTTGTTCTTCTTTTTCTTTTTCGAATGGTTACCGCCTATTTTTCCTCTTTCAATTAACAGATTAACTTCTTCTTCCTGTCCTAACGTTGATGATGGTGTTAGAGTAGTCTTTATAGGCTTCTGAGATGTAGCAGCAGAGTTTGGTTCTTGAACTTTGTTTATTTGTTTCTTTATTTTCTTTTTCCTTTTTGAATCACTTGGCTTTATGGAATTATGATGTTGATCTTCTATTAAGAATATAAGATATTGACTCGAATGAAAGAATATGTGTATTTATTACCTTTCTTCTTATCCTTTGGTTCCTGTGATGGTACATTGAATCGTTCTATTAAAACAACAGTAGATTGTGTTTCCTTTTGTTTAACACTAGATGTTGAACTTGTTTCTTCATTATTGTCGAGTAATATTGTATTAGTAGCAGGTAACTTTTTCTTTTCTAAATCGTCAGTTTCTGTACTATTGAGTTGTTCCTTTTTTTCGGATACACCTTCCATTGCTTGTTGTTGCTCAGAAAGCTGAGTAAGCTTCTTATGACTACTATTGACAGGTATATTTTTAGCTTTCCTTTTTAAATTGTTATCTTTTCTTTTATTATCTTCTATCTTTGTTCTTTCAACTTCTGCTGAAACAGACCTTTGTCGTTCTTTGTTACTAGACCTATTTGTCTTTTTCTTTTTAGTTGTATCCTTCTTTTTACTTTCCAAGTCATTCGTTATTTTCTTATTTGATGTCATCTCTTGATGCTCAGACTGTTGTTCTTTTATTGAATTCTCGAGAATACGAGAATTTAAAGCTGCTTCAATATCCTTTAACTGCTTGGATTTATCATGTTTTGTAATCTTGGTGGTTTTTGAGTCTTTTGATTTATTTCCTTTAGCATCTGAATTAGTCTCTTTTTGTTTATCCCTGTCCGTTTGTTGTTGTGACTCTTCAATGATTTGAGCATATTTCCTGTTATATTTATCTCTTGAATATCTACGTGTAACTGGACGACGTATGGTATCTTCTTCTGTCTTATTGGATGGGCTTTCTGCATCAGATTCTTGTTCTTTATCCTTCATATTATTGTATTCAATTATAGATTGTCTTTTATGATCTATTTGTTTTATTTTATCAATAACTGGCTGGATACTTGTCATTAAAGAAAGATCTTTAGTTTTTTCATCTTGTTTAGTGATCAACTTGAACACATCTTTTGGAACATTAGTAGTCAAAGATGTTTCAGGAAGATATAAAAATGGATTTATTACATCATCAAAATCATCCTCATCAGATGAAGCCCATCTTTCTTGTTCAAATTCTGATGTATATATACTATTTAAGCAAGCAAGCAAGGAAATAATAATTAGTTAATTAATTAACTAACTAATCCAAAACATGTCTATTAAACTTACTCCTCCATTTGAGACTCATGATCATTTTCAGATGATTCTACTTTGCTTATTGTTCTAAACTCGCATTAAATTTATATTTAACATGAGTATTTATACATATACATGTATTTATGTTTCTTACTGGATTGTTTCAGATTCTTCTTCACTATCATCAATACCGTTTTGTGAAATATAATTTCCTAACAAATGAATGCCACTATTCAAAAGTTATACAAGCTGTTTAATTTATACATTCTATGCTTACTTTGGCCCTTCTGATCTAAATAATATAGTTTCTCCACGTAAACATGTAATGTCAATCACTTGCTGTTCAATCTAAAAAAACAAAAAACAAAAAACAATCAACTTCATCTCTTTCTCTTTCTCTCTTCTTTTTTTATATATATATATATTACCTTTTCTGGAATTAAAGAACAAAGCATCAGGTCTGTACCCTGCAACCGAATATAGAGTGATGTACGTCCTAACCCATTAAACTGATAAATTGATGCCTAACAAAGGAATTAATGTCTGCTGAAAAATGATTCATAGATCACAAAATACCATTGTAATTTTCAATGAAGCTGGGACTTTAAACTTCAATTCTTCATTAGACTTAATTTGTAAACCTAATATATAATCAAATAAAAATTAAAAACATGACAATGTTTGGTTTGATACAAGTTACCCCATAGACCGCGAATGATCATGATTTCTTTGAAACAAAACAAAACAAAACAATTTTTTTTTTATGCAAAAAACATTAACGTACTAATTTAAAGTCACTAAAAAAAAAAAAAAAAAAGGAAATTTGGCTATGTAGGCTATTAATGACATGATATCATGTTTATTATAATTAATTCAAATTTTCAATCAAATTCCATCGTTTAATCCACCATCGACCTGTATATTGTTGAATATCACCTTCCATGCCAAATGAAAGAGGTGCGAAATAAATAAAATTCATTACCACCATCAGCATCACTACTGTAAATACAATAAATCGAGACTTTCCACAAAAATGTTCAATCAAGAAAGGCACCATAAAGATACTAAAGTAAAGAGCAGGGAAATAATGATGAAGATATGTTACTCGTCCCATCATAAAGAACGGTACATAATGAAAGAACCAGCCCAAAAAGAAGAGTTTTCCAACAGACCAAAACTTTAGTAGCCGTCCTTTTTATTGAAAGAAAAAAAAAAAAAAAAATCAAAATAATGCTTCATTTTTTCTTCTTCTTCTTCTTCTTCTTTTCCTTACCTGGCGTAACATTTAAAATAATGTGTCTTTGTTTGCGAACCTTGTAGATAGCCAGACTTGCAACAAATCCAATAATAGCCATTGACGATATCCACCACACTGTTGGGTTCCCTATCAAATAGTATTTAACTGTATTTTTATCCCAGTTACACATACGTAGACCAGTCAAGACGGTAGGCCACTCAAGGGGACTTGATGTCAGCATATCGTTCTTATCAGGGTCAGGTATCAACGCATTATTTGCATTCCACATTGCAACATTGAGACGCCAAATGTCTTCTAAATAATTAGATTTGAAAGTATATTTAGGGGCAGGTGATAATTGTTCATGTCGATGCTCTTCAACGTTCCACCATGTACGATGATCTTGTCGAGAACCTCTACGATCACAATAGACCTCTTGTTGTTTAAAGCCCCAGGATGGCAAGTGGCTAGTGTGAGTGGCGAGATAACAATGAAGGTAAACATGGCGTAATCGGAATCGAGTCATGAGGGAACCAACCTGCTTATCTTGCTGAACATTCTGGACTACCTCTAGCTGCCAATGGTCTTGAAAGTCACCACTTGATTCATTACCGTATGCACTGACCTCCCAGTGCTTTATGGAAATAGGGGCAGGAATAGGATGACTGTGTAAATTATGTCCGGTATTTAAATGAAAAAGTCGTACAATATCTCCATCCTTTATGAATTGGACAGTAGCAGTATCATTATTATTATTAGTAGCATCGTTATGTGGATATCGCAATTGCCAAAGATTATTAAGATCTTTAAAGGAATAAGCTGTAATCTGCTGCTGTCTTGATCCTTCTGGATAAAAGTGTGGGTGAGAATGAAGTAAGCCACCCCCATATCCATAATTTTTAAGAGTGACGTTGGAACCAAAAGCAATTTCGAATGGGTTATCTTTGATGGTACTTCCATTAAGATTAGCTTGGAAGAGTGAACTCATGACGGCGTCACCTGGTCCACTATTGCTCAAGATATAAAAGTGAACAGCAAAACTTGCAACATAAATGAGTAAAGGGATCAAGATGAGACAGAGGATACGAGATAACCAGTGATTTAAATATGTTTTTTTAGGCATTTTCAGATCACCTAACATATCCCAAAGGTCCTCAATAGTATAGGTGCCTGCTAAAGCTACAGCAAATAGGCCAACCCATTTTACACTATAAAAAGGGATTACTATGTATATATGCATATATATATATTTGTCTTTATAAATTCATAACGCTCTTTTACCTTAGTACACACCCTAGGGAAATACCAAGTCCTAATAACCAAGTCCACCACTGTCTAGAAAATGATCTACAAATATACAAAAAAGTGAACGCTTGAATTTTTTTACACAATATATATATATATATTTACGCATTCCTATGTGCCCTGAATCCTGCTAGACAAAAGAAAGTCATACTAGTGAAGAATAACAACATAGAATCTAATAAAACAAATCGACTAATTGTCAAAAGTGCATTATCCAACAAAACCATCGTACTAGCCAACAGACAACTACTAAATGATAATTGCAGCTGATGAGCTGTTCCAAATGCTAATGGGACCAAAAAGACTCCCCAAAAGGCATTTAAACGACGCATAGTTGCAATATCCAAATCATCAGGATAGGCTTTACCAGACTCAAAACTAAATGAACCATTGTAGTTTGCCAACCAGCCTGAAGCCCCCACTAGCATTTTACCTAAAGGTGGATGGACATCAAAATAGAATTCATGTCGCAAATAGAATGACCCAAATTTGCCAAAATGTGCCTAAAAAATAAATAAATAAATAAGTAAAATGAAATAAAATAAAAGATCTTTAACTTGCCTCATCCCAAATAACTGTTTTGGATCGATCAATAAGTCGAAAACGAGTCCAAAAAGATAAGATGGTTAATAAAATGAACGCAATCCAATTTCGATATTGAATAATAAATGATAGTGCCTATATCAGTTTCATTAATTTTAGGGATATAAACTATATGATTTACTTACCCTCTTTTGTGCTTTGGATGTCTTGCTTGTCTTTTTATCGTCTTCCAAATGAATTGTTTCAAAAGAATCATGATATTGCTTATGATCTTCTGAATGATATAAATGTCTTCTTTTAAGTGTATCCATTTATAATTTAGAATGAGAGAAAAGATTCTTTTTTCTCTCTCTCTCTTTCTTTTTCTTTTTTTTTTAAACAATGGATAATGTAAACTTATTATTCTTTTTTAATTAAATCGATTTAATGCATAATAAATAAAGCTGTACTAAAAAAAAAATTTTTTTACCCCTTGTTTTTTTTTTTTTTTGTCATTTAATGTCATTTTTTCAAAAAATAGCATACCGCTCTCGACTATCGAGACCCATCAGTGTCGCGCCTATGGTGGACATAACGACACCAGTAATTTAGGCTGATATCTAATACTACATATGTTTTCTAACCTCAGTTCATTAGCAATTTCTAGAATTATTGCACATCATTAGCGGTCAAGAGCGGTTTACTTATTATACAGAAATGCATCACTGTCAAGCTATCCTTCATCATAGCAGCCATCTAGAACGATTTGTCGGGGCACCACGATCGAATGTGGTAGTTCAACTTGGTGGTTGCGAGCCTATAGCAATGGCTCAAGCAGCTCGTACCTTACAAGATCATGGTTACTCACACATAAACATAAATAATGGTTGTCCTAGTCTCAATGTCCAACATGGTCAATTTGGTGCTGTTCTCATGAAGGAACCTCAGCGAGTAGCTGAAATACTATTAGCAATCGAACGTGCAGGTGTCACTGTACCTGTCTCGGTTAAGTGTCGCATTGGTGTAGACGATTGCGATAACTCAGAGTTTTTGCATAATTATGTAAATACTTTAATGAGTGCCAAGGCATTACCGCATCTTATAGTTCATGCAAGAAAATGTATTTTAAAGGGGCTTTCACCGAAACAAAATCGAAGCATTCCTCCATTGAACTATGAGAGGGTATATGAACTTAAGAAACAAATGTCAAACCTACCCATTTCTATTAATGGGGGATTAACAACAGTAGATCAGATTGAGTCCATGTTGATGAAAGTGGATGGATGCATGATCGGAAGAAAGAGTAATATATAGATATTCAAGCACTATTCTAATCGACTTGCTCACATATTTAATATTTTTATATATACATAGTTATGAATCAGCCTTTATTTCTCCAAGAAATAGATCAAAAAATATATCAGCAACAAGCTAAATCTATAGAGGAGATTATAAATGAATATTTAGATTATGCAGATCGACTTTATTCCCGTAAACCTGATGAGAGTTATGGATTACCCCCAGCCACTCTTATGATTAAACCACTCATGTCACTTTTTACAGGTAAACAAGGTCGTGATTTTCGTCGGCTTATACAACAAAGATTAAAATCGGATACATCTCCTCAATTATTTTTTGCCATTGTAACTGATGCATTTGATACAATTAAAAAACAACAACAACAACAACAACAGCACACACACAACCTCTCCCCCTCATTGAAAACATAGATATAAATAAATAATATATTACATTAGATTCTTTTTTTATATGTATATACATATTAATGAGATAAGTTTTTTCGTCCCTTCATGCGTCGTCTGTTAAGAACACGACGTCCATTTTTAGTTGCTAATCGAGATAGAAATCCATGTCTACGCTTACGTACTAACTGAGAAGGTTGATATGTATTACCATAAGTTACAAATCGCATCTGTCCATTATTACGAAATGCCCCTAAACTATAAAAGAAATTTAACTTTTTTTTTAAAAAAAAAAAAAAACACATTGACTAGTTAAAAGTTACCTAGCAGATAAAATGCTAGACTTTTGATTAGTGGCTATGGTTTGAAATGTGGAAGTAAGACGTGTGGAGACTGTCTGAAAGAATTGTTGAAATAGCATTTTAAGGGTAAAAATAAAAAATAAAATAAATAAAGCTGTAGGACCCCTTGCAGAGAGAGAGAGAGTTGAAAGGTTTCCAAAAAAAAATATATATTCTGAGATTGAATTTTGATATGAATTGATTGATCGCTTAGGATCATTTATAGGAACCCTCCTGCCTGTCAATGGAAAGTTAATTCTTTTTTTATTTTTTATTTTTTTTTTTTTTAAAAAAAAGCCGTCATCTATTTCTTGTCATTGTCTCATCACAATGCAATAATATTAAAGCTTTAATGCCTTGAGTGTGTCTCTTTTTTCAGAATATATTTATACAGTTTTCCCCTCCCTTTAATATAAATACAAAAGTTTAAATGGAATTCATACTTCAAAGTCAGGTAATCATATCTCTTTTATACATCTACTATGGGGATCAACCAAGTCTGTAATAAAGTCAGAGATACGGCTGTCTTTTAGTTATTGTAGCCACTTTAGTTACAGCAAAATAGATTAGCCTTCATCTATTTAAACAGAAGTGCTAATAAATGCGTGTATTCTTTTATTTTGAATACTAGTAATAAGATTTCCAAGATTAAGATATTAACGATAAAAAATACTGTACTTTGTATTTATACATTATTTACTGACAAGCCTTCCTACATTCTTAATAAATAAAAAACTAATCTTCTATAAGATGATATTCTCCTCTTGCTGTCAATTCTAATATTTTTTTCTCTATCCAAAACTTTAAGCATTTTATTACTTGTGATTTTTTCATACCAACTCTAGTTGCTATTTGTTCACTTGTAAATAATTGCTCTATATATAAAATTATAAATTAATATTTTTTTTTCTCCTTAAAAAAAAAAAGAGACTGCTATTAACCTTTTGTTTCAAATACAGCTATTACCAAGGCAGCATCAGGAGTCGCCACCACTCTGACCGTTCTATTTTCAAACTCTAAATCTAAAGTCACCATGCCTTTTATTGGCATAAAATTTAACCTTCTTGACGCTTTCACATGTTTGTACTTTTCCTTATAACTCTCTATTGTGTCTTCAAGTCCATCAAAAATGCCTAAATTGACCTTATCATTGTCGTTATCATCATCATCCTCATTTTCACTATCACTAGGTGCTATCCAATAGTTACTCGTAATCATTGTTGAATGTAATGGAAACACAAACGTGCCAGTTTCATGCAATTGACGATCTAATCTTCGACTATTCTCCACATCCTTCAACATAATATCACATCTCAGAAAAGAATCTACTGGGAAATGCCGTTTAAGTAACTCAAGTCGACGAACCTCAGTATCAATATCATATTGCGCAATCATCAAAGAGTTACAAAGTACGTTACTATAGCCATCAATAAAATCCTTAAGTGATTTACAAAGACTTATAAGCATAGCAATTGGGTCTTTGACCTTTATACAAAGACGATCCAAGCGAGCTTGATGATAAGAGTTGTGAGACACTTTGTAATTTAATATATATATATACAAGTTTACCTGGTTTATCTTTGTCCAAGTCATCTAAAGCATGTGGTACTTCCTCATCATTAATGAATGATTTCTTAAAGACATAGAGTTGAGAGGTATCAGTGGGGTCTTCATCTAGACGATCACGTACTTGATTTACAATGCCTTGCAATACATCAAGTCGATAGTTTCGTTGTTTTCTAAAAAAAAAAAAAAAAAATGAATGGGCTGAAAACTTTTTGTAGTAAAAAGATTTTTTTTTTTTTTTTTTTTTTTTTTTTTTTTTTTTTTTTACAATAGGTAGTTTTTGATAAGTTTGATAGTAGGTTCCAAAATTTCACAAGTCGGATCAATAATTGACAGACATGTAACACAAGCCTCATATTGGGTTAAAATATCTTGTAAAGACGCGCCCAAATGTAGAAGACGATCGCGAATTCTATATATATATATAAAAGGGAAATGAAAAGTAAAAATAAATAATAACGCTTTCCTATGTCATTTCAGAGTAAGTTACTCGTTCATCAAGACTGTTCTTAAATCATCTAATAATCCTCGTTTTGTAGCAATAACCTAAAATTAAGTTATAAGTCAAAAAATAAAAAATAAAATAAGCAAATCAAAATTTACTTTACATGGAAATCTACAATAGCAGGCTTCGATGCTGGATACTCTCTAATAATATCAAAGATATCCCTGACACGGATTCGATAAATTAACTCATACAAAATATGCTCTGCTTTGATTTTCTCTCTCAAGAAATTATACCAATCCTTATCTAAAGGAAAAAAAAAAAAAGGTTACTAACCCTACCCCATGTATCATCAAATCTACTACTATTATTTACCTGTTTCATCTTTTGATGTAATATATGAAATCCAAGGCAAAATAAAAATGTGTAGCCATTTCAGCATAACTTGCACTATGGATATCGTCCAATCCTCTTTTATAGATAAATTTTGCAACTTTTGTTCAATTACATCCTTTACAATCTCTGTCCAATCTTCTATCAACTCAAGCTGGTTCAGTTGTCGACAAATTGCTTCAAACTCTTCTGTTTTTTCTTCAGATTCAAAATCTTCTTCCATCACATCTATTGTTTGACTTTCTAAAGCCTCTGCTATTACCTTATTACTCACACATCTCACACTTTCTAACTCCATTAATTGATCGTCCAAGATTTTTTGTACTTGAATTAAAGGATTACGTGAACGATAATGAGGATGGAAGGGGTATTGGGTTACAAGGAATTTGCCAAGTTGTGTTTTGAAGTAGGCTGTACATGCTTCATGAAAGGTGGCGGGTATCATACTGTGAATTAGGGATAAACTTGATCGTTTTACAGATTGTTTTAGTTCAGGAGAAGCTAATGCACTTGACCTAATAATATTATCAATAAAGAAGGATATATGCAGTACATGAAAAAAAAAAAACTTACAGTGGTATGGGAATACGAAATAAAATTCCAACTTCCTTGTAGCATTGATGTATATTTTGTACATATTGAAAGAAGAGAGCATCCGTATCATTTTTCGAACTCTTCAAGAAATAGACAATAATAATAAAAATCACTTTTCTGTCTATAAGATACATTATTTACTTTCCTCCCCCCCTCCCTCATCTTTACCTTATAGTCATTCTTCCAGTCTTCAAATAGGACAAATAAGGAATTTTCCAAATAATCCAAAGCATTGTATAGATACCAGCTATGTACAGCAAGAGTAGGTAATTTTGGATTATGCAGCATCTCTAATGGCGAATGACGCACTATGAGCAAAATGGATTCAATTAACTGTTCACCTTATGGTTGTAATGCCTTTTTTTTTTACCTCTTAGTAATCGAGGCCTTCCAGTACACATGTCAACGATTTCTTCCATAGTTGGTAATGCCTAATTTTTAATTGAATTAACGATTATTCTTTTGCACTATTCTCTGTCTTTTTTTATACCTCTCTTTCATTGTAGCCTTCAAGAATTAAGCAAGATTTAAGATAGCTATTTGCGCTACTTGTATCTATCTTTTTTGGAAACTGAGAATAAGATCTCATCATTTTAGATCAGAAAAAAAAAAAAAAAAAAAAGCGTCAATGTTTTCATTGTACGGCATTTGAAAGATTATATTCATATTTGTGTGTGTGTGTGTATAGTATTTATTATATAAATTAATTTTTATTTTTATTTTTACAATAGGGTCTATTTCTGAATGGTATCCAAAATGCTTTGTTTCCAACTATCATTTGTTGACGACATTACATCTAAGCTTTTTCTCCACTGCCAAATTTCATTGTCTAAGCTCTCTTCTTGCGATGAACTATTCTGAATTGTTCCTAAACTTGATTCGATCAATGTGGTTAATGTAGATCGATCTAATTCAAATGATAAACGAGTTGGAGCTGCTGCTACCATTTCTTTAAACATGGCTCTTGAACGTTCCTCCGCTTCTTTTAATTTACGTTCCCTTTCAAATTCACTCCATTTCTTCATTGTAATTTGAGATGAATCAAACTCACCTTCTTTATCTCCATGTCCTTTATTCGTATCACCCTCAACCTTACGTGTCTCCCCCCAAGTAAAATCATCAAAGTGCCAGTAGGCATAAACTGGTAGTACGAAATTCCAAACAGGCAAACTAAATAAATAGATCACCATCCATCCTACATAGACCCACTTACGGCTCGTCATCACAATCAAGACTGCAGGCAAACCCAAGATCAAGGCTAACAAGATAAGCGAAAGAATCGCGGGTTCTCCCAAGATGGCCAAGACTATCAAATACATGGTAAAACTAATAGCAGCTGGTAGTGCTAAGGTACCCACTAATTCCATAAAGACGACAAACTGCATCGAAAAGCAAAAGGTCCCACAGAGATCCTTTACAAGCACTAGTTCCATCAAGTTGTGAATCGTTGAGTTGATCCATCGACGACGTTGTGATAATAGAACCGTGAAGGTATCCGGTACCACCGTCTTGCAAACTGCCTGAGGCACAAATAACATCTTGCGTCGTGGAAAAGTTTTGAGCATTAAAGTAGATAGATATCTATCCTCACCTAATAATAATAAGTTCTTTTTGTGAAGTGTGTCAACCACGTTTTCAGAGTATCGTTCAATAATATCAGGGTTAGCTAGAATAGGTACCCAATGGCCCTGGGTCCCCTTGGGGGCCTTTATTCGATACATACAGAAACAGCCTGGTAAACATGTCACACCACCAAAGATAGATTCAAATGCCTTGGATTGATGATGAGAGATATAATATTCAAAGACTTGTATCATGGAGACCCAACTATCACATTTATTACCAATCTTTGTTTCTCCACATAGACCCATCACGTCTGGGTCATTGACCATACAACTCACAAGTTTCGATAGACTATCTGTATAAATTTTGGTATCTGCATCTACCATCAAGACAATCTCATAACGATCAGGGCTGACGCCCGTGATACGCCACCAGTTTACGAACATTTCATATTCAAGTGCTGTCATGCGTTCGTCAAACATCACCTTTTGTAAGAATGACATCAAGATGACTTGAGAGTCCCGTTTACCTCGATTACCTGGCTTTGCTTCCGATTCTTCACTGGCTGTCCCACACTTGACGATCGTAAGCATTGGAACCTGCTTATAGAAGCCCGCATAAATTTTGGCCATGTTGTGTCGTTTCGTACCATCTGCGATGGCTACATAGGAGGCAGCTTCTACCTTGGCTGGATCCACTAAAAAGTTCGACATGAGAGAAAGACAAATATCGGGGGTCGAAAGGGCGTTACCATGACCGATAATGAGTCCATCAGCAATAACCAAAATAAGCTTGTGAGAGTTAGGAAAGTCAGTAGTAGCAATACTATCCAAAGTAGTCCGAAGACCTTCTTCGCCTTCCGAATAACATGTAACTAGACATATAGTATGAGCTAGATTTGTTGTTGTAGTAGTAGTAGTAGAAGAAGAATTAGCAGTTGCAGTAATAGGGGTAAGTTGAGGTACAAAAGAGGATATTCCGTACGGACAATGGGTTGTTTGTTGTGAATTGGATGTGTCTGTTGACTGTCTTGAATTATTCTGAGAAACACTAAACTCTGTTGTGGATAGAGTAGGACGTAGGGTTAAGATCCCTGAGCCATTTGCAAAGATACGCGATGAATTTGCATGTTTCCATATACTGGTTGTTGTTCGATCAGCATTAAAATGCATGGATCCTGTATCAGGTAAAGTAAATCGAGACTTACGTGGCATGATGGTTCGTTTTTTGTGTATCGCCAGATCCAAATAAGGGTTTGTTACAGCGACTTGCATGTTCTTTGTCCAGTCTTCAATGTCGCGATCACGCTGCATACGGTCCTTATAGCTTTGTGGCTTGAAGTTGCCCAATTTCCAAGATAGGAACCAGCCAAAGATGACAGCTAAACCAAATTTAATCAAAATGACACCCAAAATGACTATGAGTGAGGTATAAAGGATAACATCCGATACAAGACATCCAAAGTTTTCTGTATCCATTTCTCCAACTTTAATGATCTCTAAGAGACATTCAGCCTCTTGTTTCCAAGTTGTATTACGGTAAACAGTATGTGTAATATCTTGTCCACCAAATATACTCACATTTTTCAAGATACTTTCGATGAGACCCTCATGAGGCAAAACAAAGAGTGATTGAGGTAATGCTGAAAGTAAATTTAAATTCAAAACATAACTGAAAAAAAAAAGAAAAGAAATAAAAATAAGATAAGTCTCAGGACAAAAAAAAAAAAAAGAGAGAGAGAGAGACAAGTCCTTTTTTTTTTTTCTCTTAATTATTACTTATTATAGACTGCAAGATGTGAAGTGGTATTAATATCATTCCAATAATAAGAAACTCTTCCCCCTTTATCATAATTCCCTTCAGAATTAAGTATTCCATGTTCTCTAAGATCTTCAAAAAACTTGGAAGTTTTCTTCACATTGTGGCAAGATGTATGATCGTTAAAAGTCATAGCGCTTGGGATGAATTGATGATCAAATAATTGACAAGGAAAGTAAGCAAGTTGTGGCTCTCTAGGTACAATCACATCTGAGCATCCTCCTTGCATATTTTGAAATAGAAATGAGGCATCCTTTCGACTAGCCAAGATAGGTTCATAGATGACGTTTAAGTGAGTTTCATTACTGTTAGGTATGGGTGGATGTTGGTTCCATGAAGCTAGTAGGTATGCCCAACCATGAACAATGATATAGCCTTCACCAATTGTGTGAAAGCTAAGGGGTGGACGAGAGCAGAGGACTTGAGTTAATCCAAAGGTTAAAAAGCCAACAAGGGCCATGATACTGAGAATAATCGTCACCAGTCCCATTTTTTCTCTCCAGGCCATCTGTGCATGTGAATCCTTTTTGCCAAGAAGTCGTCTTAGTATGTAAGTAGGAAAACAGCATGTTACTAAATGACAAAAGAGAGTCCAAAGATGAATGACTCGTTTGGATGTCCCCGATTCAGAGTTGATAGGTACATCTGGTTCTGGTTGACGTAAGCCTCTCTGTAATACTGAACGTCGAGGAGGAGAATATTGGTTTTCAAGTATACGTTTACGTGTGTGATATTGGGGATGATATGAGTTGATTCGACTACGTTCTGGTCTTACAAGTGATAGGATACGCTTTGGTTCATGCTGATTTGAATTTCTGAAAGAAATCTCCATGATATGAAAATAATAATAACAGCAACAAAAAAAAAAAAAAAAAAGAAATAAAATAAAAATGGAAAAGAGGACGTTATAAAAGGGTAAAGTAGTTCATAAAAGGGGATCAATTTTATATAGAAAAGGAGAGATTGAAGGAGAATATTATTCTCCTTTTATATGAACTTTAGACAAATTAGAATCTGAGTCTCGACGACCTTAGATAAATAAATACATGTATATAAATATATATATATTTTTTAACAGAGTCTGTTGGTAAACAATTTCTTAAGTTTAGAAATGCTCTTTTATTTTATTTTATTTTTATGTTTGACTGGGAAGAATATTACCATTATCAGCGTTGAGCTTATTTAAGAGGTACATAGACAGAGCTTCAAGAAATAAAATATACCTTTATAACTTTAGGTATATCGACATTTTCGCTTTGAATTACGTAGGCCTAGAAGTATCTGATCTGCCTAGAGTAGTATTTCCTATTTTTATACTTGTTAGCAACGCTCATATCTACTATCTTGGTTAAGATCTCTTCTATTTTTTTTTATTTTTTTCGTTATCTTTGACAAATACTTCCTCATAAACTAATTTAATATCAACATACATGTATATCTTGCCTTACTTTATTCCTATTACATTAATTTATATAGATTCAAAAAAAACATATGTGTATATAAAAATATAATTTCTTCTTAAAGCATGTAATTATTGATGCCATTTATTTTTATTTTATTTTATTTTTTTTATTGAAACGTACAGAAGAAGAAGGTCAAAAAAAAAAGTAAATCATATTCTAATATTCAACTCGTATACACATACAAAATATAAAATAAAGTAGTCTAAACTCAGATTCTGATTGATCTTAAGTTTTTTCGGAAACACTGTAGTTTGAAATGAAATATTACTTTTACAGTCGACGAAACTAGGTTGGGTTAATTAAAATTTTTTTGGGTCAATTCCGAATTAAATTGGGACACCAAAAAGAAAATAGACAATGTTATTTTTTTTTTTTTTTTTCACTGATAATTATAATATAGCATGGATGACCTCACACCCAACGGAAACAACAAGATATTGTTTGGAAACATATTCAAATCAGACGGGTTTTCTGCTGACCTTGTATTTTATCGAAGGGAAAGAAAGAAGAATGACTCTGACGTCAAGATAACTCTTGAAGACTTCAACTTCGAAGGGGTCATCAATCAATATCAACCAGTTTTCCTTGATCCAGGACGTAAATCATTATTTACAGCTGTTGTTGGTGTAGAGCCAGATAAGCAGATTCGGAAGTCAGTCACAAAAGAGTACTATCATTTGACAGGTAGTATTGTTTATAGCAAAAAACTTGAGTCAAGGAAAAAACGCTCTGGTATCCTTACAATCGAGTCCCAAATCCCCACACCAAAAACAACAGAACCAGATTCGTATGATGATTATATCAAATACATGTTAGCACACCTTAACACGTTATTGATCTTTTACGGCAAGGATACCGCAAGGTATAATTTCCAACTATATCAAGGCAGACAAAGGGCACCAGAAATGGTAGCCAATATGTTAACTCATGGTACTGCCGAGTACAACAGATCGCAGAGGAGGAAAAAAAGAAAGAAGAAGAATGTCAAGCGAGGGAAAAAAAAAGAAGAAAAAGTCCAAGACAGATAGAAAAAAAAATGAAGGGTTGAAATCAAAGCCTGATACAATAACAAAGAAGTAAGTAATAAGCCTTTCTTTAATAGACATTACTAATTTTTTTATATATAGGTTGAAGTGGATACCCCTTCCTTTTAGAGAAAATAAAGAAAAGTGTCCTTTGGTCGTTTTTGGTGATGGTGCTTTTGGTAAAGACATGGTCAAGCTGAAAAAACTTCGATGTGGAGTAGTAGGCAAACTGCTTTTGGCATTAAAAAAACGCCAAGCTGCTGGTGAGTTGGTCGTTTTAACGATCGACGAATTCAAAACATCTAAAACGTGTAGCATGTGTTTCTCGATTGACCTTAAGGTGGTCAAAACGCCTGGTTTTAAAGGCAATTCTGTTCTTATTTGCTCCAAATGCAACAAAGTTCGGCAACGAGATGTCAATGCTGCAACAAACATGATGACAATCTCGAAAGCAGTTTGGATGGGAGAAGGACGACCTGAACCATTTAAGCGAGGGAAAAATAATGCTTAAAGAAAATTATAAATTTAGTAAGAGTTCTTTACGAGAACATGAAAAAGATAATAAATTTAACAAATTTCTGCTGGTCATGTCACATTTTATAATCAAGTATCGCCGTAGCAAACACGGTTTTCCTTTCTTCGAAAAGGATGAAGATCATTTCAGGTAAAAATTTGAACATGAACTTCCATTCGTCTCAAAGCTAATTCTCTTTTTTGTCTAATTTCCTTTTTTACTTTGACCAAAAAAGGTAGGCCAAATTTTTCCAAAATTAACTTTGATTCGCCTGAAAAAAAAAAAAAATAACATTGTCTATTTTCTTTTTGGTGTCCCAATTTAATTTGGAATTGACCCAACCTAGTTTCGTCGACTGTAATAAATGTGTGGATGGACTATCCAGCTTCACTCCCAAATCCTTGAATCTTCTGAACATCATCTCTTTTCAATACAACAACGATTTTCTGATAGTTAATTACCATCACTTATACATATACTTTAACATTTTCCCTTTTATCCCAAAAGGGGTTTTCTTTCCTTTTTTTCCATAGCGATCTGACCAGGGCAAAACAACATATATAAATGCTATGTGCTCATTGGTCATTTTTTTTTTAATTTTTTAATAAAATTCTTCTTTAATTTTAATAAATGTGTGTTTATGTGTGATGGTCCCTGTCGGTATTTTAAATATTGCCTAAGTATCATTTTTTATGCGTTTCTATTTTTTCTTATTTTTCTTATTTTTCTTATTTTTCTTATTTTTCTTATTTTTCTTATTTTTCTTTTTTTTTTTTTTTTTTTTTTTTTTTTTTTTTTTTAAAAAAAAATTACACTTAAAATGAGCTGGAAGGTTAGTTGTAGTTTAAATATGATAAAGATACTGTATTCAATTTCTTATATTTTTAGGGGCTTCAAAAAGCAATTAGTCGATTACCTCATCAACTCATGTTAAAAAGGGATGAAGGTAGATATTATAAATTAATAAAAGTAAAGCAAAAGTAATTTATTTTATATAAGCAACGAGGGATGAAGAATTTATCAATTTAGAAAATAAATTTAATGAAAGCATAAAGAAAACAAATCAATTAAAAATAGAAGCACAAGCATTTCGTAATAGTATTTTAGGTATACATTTTAGACATAAAAAGAAAAGAAAAAAGGCAACTGCACAATAATTCAGAGCATGACTTACTTACTAACTATTACTGTCTGTCTGTCTGTCGTCATAGCCATATTAACCCATCAAACAGAAATAGCCAATTCTATCTCTTTAGTTTATAGTAATTTTGATAAAACTAACGAGATTCAGTCAACTGCAATACAAGCTGCAAACGATGCAGAAGCTGCTATGGCTTATTGTCAAGAGGAAATCCTACCTAGTCTTAATACTATGGATGCCGTTATCATCTATCCCCTTTCTGATCTTCAAGAGCTTGTCAAACATATCCAAAAAACAATCACAAAACGAAATCATAAACTAATTGATTACGATCGCTATCGTCTTCATCTTGCTAAATTACAAGCTAAAACTGAAAAGACTTTGAATGAGGAAAAATCTTTACTTAAAGTTCAAGCACAACATGAGATAGCAACACAGGACTACGAATATCTCAATAATTTGCTGAAGGAGCAATTACCTGATTTTTTGATCCTATTGAAGACACTTATGGAGTCTATCTTTCAGAGTCTATATCAATTACAGGAACAGATATATAGAATGATATATGCAAGATGTGATGAGTTAGTTAGGGCAAATGAAACACATTTTGTGACATATGCTATGAGTGTAGATGAGGGATATCAATGGAAAAAATCACAATTTGATACGCCAACAGAAATACAAAATATGGATATATTTAAATCAGGAGGAAAAGTAGGGTTAACATGTAAGTATATTATTAGTAATAAAGGCGATCATCTAAATATACATACATACATGCATATATGAAAGCTTCTGGAGGTGAAAATAAGTTAAGTTTACAAGAGAGGGCATCATTAAAGCAACAAAAAATATATGGGCAGCATCCATCATCTTTAAAGCCAAGTTATGATATCAAACAGCCTTCTAATATACAACAACAATCAGCGGTTACTCCCATAACTGTACCAATACCAGTAGCACATACATCAGTAATAAATAAATCCGTTTCTTCATCTTCTATCCAATATGTATTAGCCCTTTATGATTATGAAGCACAGGCAGAAGGTGACTTATCGTTTAAAAAGGATGATAAGATTGAACTTATTCAACGCACATCAGATACAAATGATTGGTGGACAGGTAAATTAAAAGGTATCATTGGTATATTTCCTGGAACGTATGTTTCTATCATATAAGCTATGCTGTATATACATCTATATATGTATTACATCTATTTAAATAAATGCTTTTATTTATATTTTCTCTGAAAAACTCTTTATCCATTCCTTTGATAGAAAAACATTTCTTTTCACAGGATAAACACTCGATACTAGTTTCTAATGAATAAAGAACAAAGAACAAAAAAAAGACTAATTTAGTCAAGTATTTAAAATTAAGTTGACCAGCATTTCAAGAATAAATTGCTCACCTTCAAGACCAAAGATTAAAACGATTACAACTATTCTTTATTCAAGCATTTAGAAACTACATTGATCGAGTACTGGATGAATTTTTCGTATGTGTCCAACAGGAACATCCTCACCGCCTTTAATTACTCATGAAGAAAGTGTTTCTACATCTGTCAATTCACCTTTTCTCACTTGGTCCTTTAACGCTTTCCAAAACATCTAAATAGGATTGAGTTTAGGCGAGTAAGGAGAAAGATATACTGGTACAAAACCCCTCTCTGAGATGTTAGAGTCAACAGTGTCCATCGGCATAGCTATCTCACGTCAATGTTGTCTCAAGAAACAAAAGATTCGAGTCTATTCATCACAATTGCAATCTTGACATCCAATTTACTGTTATGAAGATGGCAGGTCATCACTAGGAGAACGTTGACATTAAAGATAGTTATGCCTGGCAAGGTTTGAGTCAGCAAATTGTGAATAGACGAAAAGCATACATGAACATTGTATCCACACAAGTCAAATGAAGTAAATGCATTGCTGTTTTGACAAGCGCGTTATGCGCAAAAAAAGAAGCGTATGTATTTTTGAAAGAAAAGCATAACGTTGATTTTCGCTAAAAAATAAATAAATTACTCAGTGAAAAGGATGATTCTGCTTGCAAATCACTGTTGGTATTGAAATAATACTATACGTCACCATGAGAATATAAAAGCTGCAAAGGTTAAATTAAACAAATATTGTTTTTTTTTTTTTTTTTTTTTTTTTTTTTTTTTTTTTTTTCGAACACAATCACTGTTCTCTACTAGATTATTTGTCTTTACAAAAAAAGATTAAATTGCCATGCCCATGTATTATTATATATCAAGTAATGCTGTTTTATAGTATACATGCTTACTCTTAGATGTTTTTTGCAATTTGTTGATTGTTAAAGAGGACAACAACCAATTCTTATTAATAGCTCAGCTATTCTGCTCCAATTTGCATGTCACCTTATTCCTTGGTTATACTATAACTCAAGGTTGGGAGGAGCTATAGGATAGTTGGACAAACGTTTGAAGAAGGGTATAAATCTTGTTCAACTTCTAGGACTAAATGTTAAAAAAAAAGGAGTAAAACCCTAACATTTGGACTAATAAGCATGGCATGATGGCATCCCGAACTTGATTTACTGCTTATTTCTCTTTTGAAACTTAAGAAACTTGATGTTCCTTCACAATCCGTAGTTTCATTATACATGGAATGTAGGCTATTTTAATTACAAAACCTGCGACAGATATTACTACTGATACTAAAGGTGTTTTTTTTTCAAGCTTAGCTACGATATAGTAAAATCATGACAATTGCCACAGTAAACGTTGTATAAACACATCAACAAAATTATATAGATATTTCTTCTTTATCTATTAAAGTCATATTTAGTCAACGTTAGCATATTATTAATTAAAATAAATACACAGTAAGTATTCAGTGAGGTAAATATTGTATCAATAAACTCCTAGTGTTTCAGCAGTATTTTGGCCTCTTATTATTTAATTGTCTGTTATGTACATGAACAGTCCCTTGTTTTTAATATTGACTGACATAAATATGAATGTGTTGTAAACTCTGCGTTAGTGGCTGTGCTAAAACTATCCAGTTTTAGTCTTGATGAAACCAAATGCATCTGCTTTTGATAGGATAGAGTCTTTGTCTGTACTATTGTAAATTGGTTGAACGTTTGTCCTATTCAGCATAAACTCCTTTTGATTCTCTACTAAAATCAGTATTGTCCATCAATGACTGATGGCACAGTTTTGAAACGATTGATATAGTTTGTCCTCAAATCATCAGATATCTCAAAGCGCCTTCTTTCTCTGGCTCACCAAGATTCTAGAATACTAGATAGTCCTTTAGACATTGCTTCCTAATCGCTGACATAATAAATCATCGCTCCGTTGATACAAGTGACGAAGCCCTTTAGTGTGATTGAATTGAATATTATTTCTCTACTATCGTTCATTTCATTTTGTTGCAGAGGATAATTCTGTATTGTTCAATTGTCCTTCAAGAAGAGTTCTAAAAGTCAATTTCGATCTTCCAACATTACTTTCAGATTGGCTTATAAGACGTGT